AGGCGATTCGTGCGTGGGTCGTTCGGCGAGGCAGTCCTGGTGGTGGAGGGTACAGTCCTGCTGGTGCTGGAGATACTAGTCCTAGAGGTGCTGCTGGTGCTGGAGCTACTGGTCCTAGAGGTGCTGGAGGTGCTGGAGGTACTGCTGGAGGTACTAGAGGTGCTGCTGGTGCTGGAGGTACTAGAGCTGCTAGTCCTGGAGGTACTGCTGGAGGTACTGGAGCTGCTGCTGGTGCTGGAGGTACTGGAGCTGCTAGTCCTGGAGGTGCTGCTGGTGCTGGAGGTACTGGAGCTGGAGGTATTGGAGCTACTGGTGCTGGAGGTACTGTGGGTACTGGAGCTGCTGGCACTGGAGGTGCTGGTACTACTGGTGCTGGAGCTGCGGGAGCTGCTGGTCCCGGAGGTGCTCGTACTAGAGGTATTGGAGCTGCCGGAGCTGGTGGTGCTGCTCGTGTTGGAGGTGCTACTGGAGCTGCTGACCCTGGAGGTGCTGGTGTTGCTGGTGCTGGAGGCGCTAAAGCTGGAGGTACTGGAGCTGCTGGAGCTGCTGGTCCTAGAAGTGCTCGTACTAGAGGTGCTGGAGCTGCCGGAGCAGGTGGTACTGCTGGTGCTGGAGGTGCTGGAGGTGCTACTGGAGTTGCTGGCACTGGAGGTGCTGGTGCTGCTGGTGCTGGAGGAGCTAGAGCTGGAGGTACTGGAGGTGCTGGAGCTGCTGGTCCTGGAGGTGCTCGTACTAGAGGTGCTGGAGCTGCCGGAGCAGGTGGTACTGCTGGTGCTGGAGGTGCTGGAGGTGCTACTGGAGCTGCTGGCACTGGAGGTGCTGGAGGTACTGCTGGTGCTGGAGGCGCTGGAGCTGGAGCTGGAGGTACTGGAGGTGCTGGAGCTGCGGGTCCTGGAGGTACTCGTACCAGAGGTGCTGGAGCTGCCGGAGCAGGTGGTACTACTGGTGCTGGAGGTGCTGGAGGTGCTACTGGAGCTGCTGGCACTGAAGGTGCTGGAGGTACTGTTGGTGCTAGAGGTGCTAGAGCTGCCGGAGCTAGTGGTGCTGGAGGTGCTGCAGGTGCTGGTGCTACTGGTGCTGGAGGTGCTGCTGGGAGTGCAGGTGGAGCTGCTCGTGCTGGAGGTACGGGAGCTACTGGTGCTCTTCCCCACCTTCTCAGTCTTCCGCCAGGTGCTACTGACTTCCCAGTGGCAGGTACTACTCCCCCGTTACTGTTTCCACCAGCCGACCAGTCTCAGCCGCCGCTGCTACCGCACTCCCCACGGCCTGCTCCTACTCCTTACACTGCGGTGACACAATTCCTGTCTGAGCGTCGAGAGCCTGAGTCTAGCTTTGACCTTGAGCCCGAGCCTAGAGCCGCTGTCCGTACTCGTGTTCCTCGTGTTCGTCGTCAGCGTGCTCCGGCTGTCCCAGGCACTCACGATATGACACTCCGTCCTTCCTCTGTTCCACCGTGTGTTGTCCTGCCGTTACCTCCTGTGTCCTCTCTTCCTGACGTTGCTGGCCCTCCGTCTGACCTTGCTCGTGCATCCAGTCCGACTGCTACTCGCTTTCTTGCTACGGTGGTCACTGACCCTTCGTTCTCGTCTCTTGCTGCGTTTGCCTTAGTCGCTGAGCTCGTTGACTTTGCTAATGTGTACCGCCTAGACTACCTTGCGAGCCTTGTTTCTGACCCTGTCCCTGCCTGTCCTCCGTCCGTCGGGGGTGAAACTGCCCTTGGCTGTACTGCCCTTGGCTGTGACGTTCCTGAGGACAGGCAGGAAGAGTTGTAGTATCTTGCGGCCGTTGCACCCCATCTCGCGACCATGCTGCTTGCCCCTGAGGGAGACCCGGATGCACTTGACATCCCCACCCCGCGCTCTTACAGAGAGGCGATTTCGGGTGAGTACTCCTCTCAGTGGCAGACAGCCATGGACGCAGAGATGGCTTCCTGGAAGTCCACAGGCACCTACGTTGACGAGGTTCCCCCACCTGGGGCGAACATTGTCAGTGGCATAAGGATTTTCAGAGTGAAGCGGCCGCCGGGTTCTCCGCCTGCCTACAAGGCACGTTACGTTGCTCGAGGCTTCAGTCACCGTGCGGGGGTCGACTTCTTTCAGACCTTCTCCCCTACTCCGAAGATGACCACTCTTCGGGTGTTGCTGCACGTTGCAGCACAGCGCGACTACGAGCTGCACTCCCTCGACTTCTCGACAGCTTTCCTACAGCGTAGCCTTCACGAGGCCATCTGGTTGCGCCGTCCAGAGGGCTTTACTGGGTCGTTTCCTGAGGGTACCCAGTGGAGCCTACGGCGACCAGTGTACGGCCTGCGTCAGGCGCCCCGCGAGTGGCACGACACACTGAGGACGACACTTGCGGCTCTTGGGTTTGCTCCTTCGACTGCTGACCCGTCGCTGTTTCTACGCACCGACACTACTCTGCCGCCGTTCTACATCCTCGTGTACGTCGACGACTTGGTTTTTGCTACTGCTGACACTGAGGCACTGGCCCTAGTGAAGGCGGAGCTGCAGGAGAGACACACCTGCACTGACATGGGTGAGCTGCAAAGCTATCTTGGCTTGCAGATCACTCGGGACAGAGCACGACGCACCATCACCCTGACTCAGTCACACATGGTGCACCAGGTCCGTCAGCGCTTCGGCTTCTCGTGGTCCTCGCCACAGCCCACTCCTCTGTCTACCGGCCACTCGCTCTCAGCTCCACCTTCGGACGAGTCCGTAGAGCCGAGTGGTCCGTACCCAGAGCTTGTGGGTTGCCTCATGTACCTGATGACGTGCACACGACCTGACCTCGTGTACCCTCTCAGCCTCCTGGCTCGCTACGTGGCACCCGGTAGACACCGAAAGGTGCACTTTGATGCTGCGAAGAGGGTACTGCGTTACTTGTGCAGTACATCGGGCATGGGGCTCGTGCTTGGAGGACAGGGTTCAGTGGTACTCACAGGACACTCTGACGCTTCTTGGGCTGACGACCAGGCGACTCAGCGTTCGTCACAAGGTTACACCTTCGGTCTTGGCTCTGGTTCTGTCTCGTGGAGGTCCACTCGTTCTTCTTCTATGCTTGGCTCCAGCTGCGAGGCCGAGATCTACGCTGGGGCCATGGCTGCACAGGAGCTACGCTGGCTGACCTACCTGCTGACCGACTTGGGGGAGCGGCCTCGTTCTCCTCCAGTTCTGTACGTCGACAACAAGGCAATGCTTGCCTTGTGTCGCGAGCAGAGACTGGAGCACAGAACGAAGCACATTGCTCTTCGATACTTCCTTGCGCGTGAGCTGCAGCAGCGTGGTCACCTGCGCCTTGCTTACGTGGCCTCTCGGGTCAACACTGCTGATGTCTTCGCCAAGGCCCTTGGGTCTGGTGATCATCAGCGTTTCTGCACAGCTCTTGGGCTTGTGCCCACTCTGCCTCACCTGCTGGTTGCTTGACTTGCTCTTGTTGTACACTGCTATATATCTTTAAACCTGCTTGTTTACTCTTGCTAGGTTGTGATCAGTGTACTGCCTTGCTATTATAACTCTGCATGTGAACTGGCCTTGTGGCCGCTTGCTTGTGCTCAGAATGCGTGGTGATCTTGAGATCCACCCTGAGATTTGCTTTGCTTTGTTCTCTTGCTTGACTGGTCTTGTGACAGTCTGTTGTGTTTGCTCTCTCCCACTTAGCCCATGGGGGTGTGTCAAACTGTATGTTTGTGTTCTCTCTAGGCTATAGTGGGTTAGCCTACAAGGGGCACAACACTTTAGGGTTAGGTACTTGTACTCATGCATGCTACCTAGTCCACCATTCCTGCCTGCTTATTCTAACATCATAGTGCTTTCTGCTTCCGCCTTCCCCATTTCGATCTCCTTAACGTCCCCTCTCCGGATTCTTCCTCCCCCTCCCCCCACCCCCCTTCCCACATAAGCCATGGGACGAACGAACAGCCGGCGGCGGAGCTCGGGGTGGTGCTGGCAAGGTCATGTACCTCCTGTCCTGTTTTCCTCCTCCCTCTCTTTCACCTCCCCGTCTTGTTTGTTCCACGTGTAGAGTCATCTTCTTCGAAAAAAAAAAAGTAACCGAGCTCGTTTCAACATACCCCGGGGGACTCTCTACAAATGCTTAGAAAAATGCTAGGGTGGACATTATGGCGGTTGCAAATTTTTAAGACCCGGGGTACACTTATTTATCAGCTATCATTCTGTTTTTTAGGGTGTACGGCTTAAATTGGGGCGGGGGGGTCTTATATTTGTAACGAAATACAGGCTTTCGTGCGCCGATTTTGCGCGAGGGGCGCGTCTGTGTCAGAATTCGAGTGACACAAACAGAGTGTCAGAATTCGAGTCTGACACAAAAGGCGTGTCAGAATTCGAATTTCTGCCAATAAAAACCGACTCACAATAGCAATAACAATTACTGTATACAGAAAAGGGGGGTCTTATGATGATTAGGGGCGAAAGGGGGGTCCTCACAAAACTGCCACAATAAGAGTCCCCCTACCCATTCAAGAGTCCCGGGGGACCCTCTTACCGACGGCGAGTCCTATAGGCGGCACTTTACGGTAGTATTCAAACATCAACAGAAGGTGCTTTCATTGTCACTCAGCTCGAACTTCCCTCACTGGTTACGGTAACCTTTTCCCACTAGTGCTCGTTAATAATGAAACATGAAAAGGCCACCCTGGTCTGGCTCTCTAGCAACCTCTCTGAAATGTTTCTCCTGCATTTTGGTAGCTTTTGCTGGCGTACAATGTCACATCACATTTGGTAGTGCTGTAAGAATTCGAGACTACTGTACAATACACTGTAACTGCCCATGATCAGTGGACATCGCCAATTACCGACACAGTACAAGTCTCAACATCCTCAAATTGAACAAATGGATGGTATGTTACTTCTTGTGTCGTCTCAATTGCGTTTTGAGAACAAACTGGAATATGTCGGCCCAGACGTCTGGAAGCCCAGGTAAACACCAGTGGGTGCAGTCCCACTTTGTTTTGCTGTTTGTCTTGGCTCCATAGAAACGCTTTACATGCGCATCTGGGCGGAAGAGGGAAATGCGGGTGATGTCGATTATTCGAAAGGGTGACTTCTTCAGCTCCCTCACCTCCAGCCTTCTGAAGGCTGTGGAGATGTCATGGGCCACCATGGTTTGCACCCTCTTCGTAGATATGGGTGTGGTGTGGCGGCATGTGGGGGGGTTACCTCTCGAGTAGTGGGAGGGGGAGTAGGTGAGCCACATGGGCACGCCACGGTACCTCTGCTCCACGGTCACGAACCGCTTCACACTGCGGATGGCGGCGCGGTACGCGCTCATGCCGCTCAAGCGCACCACCCTGTTGTTGGCCACGTACACGGTGGAGCGCACGGCCTCGGCGCCCTGCTTGTCCAGGAACCAGTGGCCCGACATGAAGACCGCCAGGTCCACGTGCTGCAGCACGGCCGCCCACTGGTCGTCCATGTGGTCCAGCCACACCACGTAGCGGCTGCCGTCGCCCGGCCGCAGCCCGTACTGCCTGAACGCCCAGTCCTGGTTGCTGTAGCGCACCAGGTACGGCGCCACCACGGCCACCAGCTTCAGGTTGTAGCGCGGCACGGCCAGCCCCGACACGAGCGTGCCGCCCAGCCACCCCGACCACGGCTCCACGTGGTCGTCCACGCCCAGCTCGCACGCGATGGCCTGCTGCAGGTTGCGCGAAAACGAGTCGCCCACGAACGCCACCACCTGCTCGCGCACACGCACGCACGGAGGACGCACATCAGACGCGGCACAGAGGGTTTGTGACAGACAGGTGGCGGAAGCAGGGCGAACAGGGAGAGGGGGGGAGAAAAGGCCAGGGCGAGGGGGATCAAGTGAATTGGTAGGGTGAGCGCGGGAGCGCATGATGGGGCGAGGCGGCTGACCTTGTTGCGGAGCAGGGCTTTGAAGTAGGCGCGGTCGAAGCGTCGGACGGTGCACGCGCTGGGCTTCCACGCGTACTTGGTGTACCCCGTGTCGCGCCGCCCGTTCCGCTCGCAGTTGAAGGCCGAGCGGATCCACGCGCACTTGCTGCTGTACGACCGGCTCCGCGCGTCGTAGACCCACCGCCCCACCGTGTAGTCGCACGCTGCGTGTCATGCGACAAAGACGCCCTCCCCACGTCGCAACCGCGTTGCAGGCGCACGAGCACAGGGGCGTGCGACACAAGGGAAAAAGAGAGATCAGTGAATATGGATCACGCTATCGGCGGGGGCTGCGGCGCGGTGCGGCGGGAAGCGGCAGCAAGGCAGCAGGGGCCACCCAGGGAACTGGGGGTCGCAGTAACAGCGCATTAAGGCACCGGGAAGCGCGACAAAAAAGGGGGGAAAACAGGGGAGAAAACAGCGCAGCACGGCACAGGGGGAACGGAGATGCGTTGCAAGGCACAGGGGGGACGGTGATGCCTTGCAAGGCACCGGGAGTACGGGGATGTGCAGCAAGGCACAGAGGGGACGGAGAAGCTCAGTCGCAGCTATTGGGATGTGGTTGGGGCGAAACGGATGCGCGATGCGCGGATCGGGAAGGCGAAACATTCACGCGCGGTCGCTTACCAGCGAGTCGACGGCGATTGGTGGAGTTAAGGGGCGGCAGGCGGTCCAGGTCATCCTGCCACGTGGACACCCGCGATATGTTTTCCACACGCGTGGCAGCATTCCAGCTTGCAAGCCGTGGCACGGACTCGAAGCGCGTGACGTGAGCAGGCAGCGCGGAGGCTGCCATGGTTCCTGGTGGGCAGCAAGCAAGGCACGCGTGAGTCACAGCGACAGCGACGGGAGCTAGAAGCAATCTCTCTGACGTATTAACAATTGCTAACATTGAGGGCTTGGCAGCGTGGACACTGCATGCTGGTGGCACTGCTGGTGCCATGCACGCGCAGGCTCACCGCAGAGAAGCACAACGAGCCGCACGCATCCTCGCGTCCATACTCCGCCTATCGTCATCCACCGCGTTGCTCGCTCTGCGCCACCCGTCGGATCCTACGCTCGCTAGTGTCGGTACCGTGTCCCTAAGAGGTACCCACTGCTCGACTCGACTGCGTTACACGACGAGGTACCCACACCAAACGACCTAGAAAGGTTCTCGTCCTCTTAGTGGATTAGCCGCAATCGCAAAGGTGTTGCACAGGGCAAAGGCGGAGAGGTTGTGCAGAGAGGCCAAGGGAGAGGGAGCAGAAAGCAAGGGATGATACTCGAGGGGGTGTTGGAGCAGTGGCATGAGGGGCGAGCTATTCCTCCTTAGGCTACCATTCAACTGAGAGCGAGTGAGCGCAGGCAGTCGGTTTCCCAAAATTCTTCCATCCCGCCTGCCCTGCCTGCTGGAATCCCGTCACTTCGCAACGCATCGCATTCGCGTCTGCTTCGCGACCCGCCAAGGCTGGGACAGTCCCCCCAACCAAGCGGTGTGAGGACCGCCACCACCGCGCGAACCAATCCACTCCAACGGACTTTCGCAAATGCGTCAGATGTGTCAGGTTATACTCTGCATGTTGGCTGACATTGGTTCCAAATAACCTAATGATTTGTTATACCGGTAGCAAACTTATGACACATAAATATGACATACCGTATGATGACCGGCTAGCCATTCAACAGCATAATTCTTTCTGTACCTGAGCAGTAGCTTTGACCCACCATACTGTCTAACAAGATGCTTTACAGTGAATGTTTGGGCATCATACCGAAGGTTTCTTAGAACGGCTTGAGCAATATTGTGATGGTGAATGCATTTGACATCATAACTCGACAATACGTGGCACTATATGAATCTCAGCCTCCACGAGAAGCAGGTCAACTTAACACCGACTGGCTTGGGAGCCAGGTGAAACTTATTCTCCAAATGGACTAGTTTGACCCGCTTGCTCTCCATCTTGCGTTCCATGACCTTTCCCCTTCGCTCCAGTACTGCCATGCGGGCCACCACCCTCTCTGTGCGTTCAATCAGCACACGTGCCTCGTCAGCCTCGCCCTCCACCGCTGCCAGCATCTCGCTCACCTCTGCACGCTTGTCCTTGCCCTGCCGCCCCATCACCGCTGCCGCTCGCAGCCCCATCTCCGCAGCCAGTGCTGCGCGCTCCCTCAGCCCGTGCATGGCAATCAGCAGCACGTCCCGCCTCGCTTGCAGCTCCTTCAGCCCCACCGCCGGCCACTCCTCTTCCTCTCCACTCGCCTCACTGCCGCCTTGCACGCGCCCCCTGCTCCTGCTCCTGCGACGCATGCCGGCCCACCCTGAGCTGCCAGTGGACACCGTTGCCACCACGCACTGCTCACCACCCGCCTCCACCACTGCCACGCCCGCCCCCTCCTCAGCGCCTTCCGGGCTGCCCTCCTCCTGGGCGCCCCCCTCCTCATGCCTTGACGATGCACCTGCCTCTCCTCCGTGCTGCACCCCTGCCGCATCCTCGCCCACAGCCTCAATCTCCGCCACTGCACACCTTCTCTGCAGCCCAGTCCCCGCGATGTCCCCACAGCCATCTGCCCCCCTGGCAGCTTGGGAGCTGCCGTGCTCGCCCAGGGCAGCGGGGGCAGCAGAGGCGGCGGGCAGCAGGAGGTGCAGGCGGCGGTCCAGGTGGGTGCAGCGGGCCTCAGCGGCACGGGCGCGGTGCACGGCGAGTTCGAGCGCGCGGTCCTTGACGTCCACCACCTTGCTCGTCAGCTCCAGACACACCCGCAGCTGTAGCACGCGCTGCCGCAGCCGCCCCTGCCATGCCACCACGCGCTGTGCCTTGCCCACCTGCGCCTGCAGCGCCCGAAGCTGCTCCTCCAGCCGCCCGTTCTCCTCCAGCACCTCCTCCAGCTCCCTCTCGCGCTGCTCCTGCTCGCCCTCCTCGCCTGCGCCCCCCCCATAGTACTGCGCCACGGCCTGCTTGGCGCGGCTCCACGCGCCCTGCCGGGGCACCGGCAGCGTGAACGCCGACTCGTACTCGCCGCCACGCCGCTCCTCCACGCCGCACGCGCTGTGAGCGACTGCAGCACGCTGCTCACTGCCCCCGCTCTCATGCCACTGCTCCGGTGGGCCTTCAGGCTCTTCCCCGCCCACCTCACTCGGCCACGCCCTCTGGTCGAATGCACCACCACACGCACCCCCATCCCCCCACTCCCGGCTGCCCGCCTGCATCTCTGCGCCCCCTGCTCCCCTTGACCCCCCTGCAGCTGCTGCAGCCAGCCCACCGTGCGCCCCACTGGCTCCACCCCGGTCGTCACGGCCACGCCTTGCTTCCTCTGCATCGTCGGCAGCACCACCTCCACCGCCACCAGGAGCGCCATCAGGATGTGGGGCTTGAGATTTCTTGGGTTGAAGCATATCTCGCCGCACCACTCCTCCTGGAACCCGCTGCACTGACTTCCCTTCCCCCACGTCTCCACGCTCGCCTTTTGCTGCCTGCAATCTGCTGCATTCCTGCTCCACGCGCCCCCTGCGCGCCGCCGTGCTGCCATGCGCGCCCTCCTGAGCGGCGAGCAGCGCGCCCCTGAGCGCCTCGTTGTCGGCGTGCAGGCGGTCGATCAGCGCTGCTGCCAGCTCCTCGCGCTGCGCGGCGGCGTCCGCCTGCCCCTGCAGCCGCGCCAGCTCGCCGTCCACGCGCTGCATCGCCTCCTCCTGCTCCCTCTCCCGCTCCGCCGCCGCCCGCAGCGCCCCCGCCAGCTGCCGGCGCAGCACAGCCACGGCGCTGCTGCCCTCCTCCCGCGCGCCCTGCGCACACGCCTCCGCCACACACAGCGCTGCACGGATGATGCACGACGGGGAGGGGAGGGGGGAAGAACGGGCGTGGGAGGGATGAGCATTAGTCAAGGAGGGCAGGTGCGTGGTGGCACGGAGGGTTAGCGCGTGGTGGGCGGGTGAGAAGGCAAGGCATGGCGCAGGTGAGGGTGAAGGCACTGACCGTTGCGTGAGTCGGCTAGTCGGTGGCGCAGGTGGCGCAGCTCGTGCTCCAACTCCACCTCCTGCCGCACACACGCACGGGGATGCGCGCACACACGAGGGGATGGGCGCACACACGAGGGGATGGGCGCACACACGAGGGGATGCGCGCACACACAGGGAGTTGGGCGCACACAGACGGATAAGGGGATGGACGCACACAGACGGACAAGGGGACGGGCGCACACAGGCAAGGGGGATCGATGCTTTAGTCAGGGGGATGGGCGCACATAGGGCAAGAGAAATAACGAACGAGACAGCGAGGGACGGTGAGGCGCATGTGAAGAGGCAAGGGGGGGAAGAGGCACAGCGTGCGCGGATGCGCTAGGAGGGAGTGCGCGTCACGCATGCATGACGCCACTGCTTGCACGCGGGCCCTGCGGTGCTCTCCCTGCCATGCCATGCCGCACCCACCACCACCCACTCCACGCTCACCAACGCACGGGCTCTGCTACCTTGCCCCCTGCGGATTCCTCCCCCTCCCACCCCTCAACCTCCCCCCATGCATCTACCTTCCCCCGGCTACCTTTCCCACAATGCGGCTACCTTCCCCCATGCGACTACCTTTCCCCCCATGCGGCTACCTTTCCCCTGCGGATACCTCCCCCTCTCTTCCTTCCCCTTCCCCTCACCCGTACCTTTCCCCCTGCGGCTTCCTTTCTTCCCCCCCGCTACCTTCCCCCCTGCGGCTACCATTCTTCCCCCGCGGCTACCTTGCCCCCGCGGCTACCTTGCGCTGCCAGAGCGCCTCCTTGTCGCGGTGCGCGCCGAGCAGCACGGCCACCTCCTCCTCGTGGTACCGCCTCGCGCGCTCCGCCTCGCGCCTCGCCGCCGCCGCCTCGCCCCTCGCCTCCTCCACCTGCCGCTGCGCCTCTTCTCGCGCGCTCCTCGCGCCCGCCAGGCGCTCCTCTTCCAGCGCGCGCTCCGACCGCGCCTGCACGCCCCGCGCCGCGGAGGGATGGGACGCAGGCAGGTGGGGAGGAGGGGTGGAGAGGGTTACAAGGGACGGGCGGAGGGGCGAGGCGGGAGGGCGAAAGGCAGTCACCGGCGTGATGATCACGGCGGGACCAACCACGGACTGCACCGCACGGCACGGCAGCGCTGCCTCTGACGCACCTCTAGTTGAGCCCTCAACTCGCTGCACTCTATGCGCGCCGCCCACAGTTCGAGTCGCAGGCGGTCCATCTCCGCGTGCATGTCGTCCACCTGCGACGCGACGAGCGCACGGAGAGATGAGAGGGCTGACGTCGGCAGAACGGCAAGGCGGGACATGATACGTGAACGGGAAAGCGACGTGCGCGATTCGGCGAAAGGAGTGAGCAAAGGGTGATAGAAGAAACCCAGACGGCCCACCTTGATCGGATGGAACAGCGCGCGAGGTGGAGCCTCCACCCCGTTATTCGTGGCGACAGCAGGCGCGACAGGCCCATCGCGGGCCGCCGATATCGCCGCCTTGCCAGGCGGCGCCTGCTCGCCGACTTCCAAGCAAGCGACGGCGCCGTCTTGCGAATGATGGGCGACATCGTCCTGCGACAGATGCGCGAAAGGGGAGAGGCGGGAAAGAGGAAGCAGAAGCGCACAGGAAGGCGGTATGATGGGAGTGCTCGTCTGGTGTACCACGTAGCTTTCGCGCTTAGACAGTTAAGATTGTGTGAAACATCGAACCTGCATGGCTGTCGCCGGGTCTGAGGAGGCCCATCCCGTGCGGTCGTGCCAGAGACGATCCATGATTTCTCGTGTAACTCGCTCGCTGCTGCTGAAAATCTGTCCATGCGCGAAAGCAAAATGCCGGTGCGTTCTCAATCCAACGTAGTCGTCGTCAACGGCGGTCACCATGGCTCGGAGAAGGGAGGGAAACGTTCTACGACGGTGTGTGGAGGCAGCTATTAGGCCGTTGGTGGATGCATGATGTGTTGCGGCGTGCACAGGGCCAGCGCGGTGGAGTATTTGGTTCTTAGCGCCTACCGCTCTCGACCCTCCTCTTGTATTGAGGGTGTGGATCGATGAGAGCTGCCCACGACGACTTGGGCCTGCCTCCCGCCAAACAGCTCCACATACGGGACTCGATGTTTTTCCGAATTTCAGTTCGGGCAGTTTCAGTGTAGATCGCCAGCAACCTTCACTTTCAACCCATTTCGCTCACATGGGCACGCGTGAGGGATCTGGAGCACATGGACCTACCACACACACCGTGCCACTCTCTTGTCCAGGAAGCTTTACATTACGTGCACTGTACTAATCTATTTGGAAGTGGCGATTCACCCTGTTGGCTTGCATAACCCCACACTCACAGTGTCGCCGAGGCCAACTCAACGACGCTCGCAATTGGTTGCACCGGTGCTGGCCACTGGCCTTCTCCATGAAGCAAGCAAGTGGCCTTTTTCGCCAACTGAGGTAATCCATTCGGGCTTTCGCATGCATTTCAGTAGCGCTGCCAGATTCGCTCTTGCCACAACAACCAAAGCAATTTTTGGGCTGATAGCATCCTCGCCAAAACTTCTCTCGGTAAGATTTTTGCTTCACCTTGTTCTTTCTGGGTCGATAAACTGGACGCAGTTGCTAAACACAGTATCCGATTTGCGGGCATGCCGTATTATGCGGAGAATCAATGAATGGCAAGCTAAACTGCAAGTTAATGGAGCTGAATACAGTTCGACCAAATGTGCATGTATCTTGTGCAATAGCCTTGAGGTTAGTGCAATGCCAAAATCCTCTCCCATCTAGAAGGGAGCCCTACTCATGCACCACCGCGTCCATAAATACAAGCCAGTGAGCGCACACATCAGTCGAGTGTCGTATGGCGGGCAGCATGCAGCGCAGAGTCGAGGAAGTGCACATAGTGGTTGAAGCAGTGGTCGCGGATGGAGCGCGCCAGCATGAGAGGGTCGCGCACCAGCTCCCCCACGCCCATCGCCAGCGCCTTCTCCGCCAGCGCTGGTGGCAGACTCGCCACCATCGACTCCGACCCTGCAGGCCACACACCCATGCAGGTCAGGCAGCAGGGGACAGGGAATGGGAGGGGGGGATGGGGGATCACACATAGTGGTTACAGCAGATGACTAGCGGATATTGTAATGACTTGACTGATGTTCGTGTGATGCAAGCCTAGTGGGCACGACGAGTGCGTGGTGCATGTGATGTGTGAGTGCAGCGCACCTGTTGCCTGCATGTAGTGCACGAGGCCCACTGCTTGGAAGGCCAGCGGGTCCCAGGTCAGTCCTGTGGAGAGCGGTTGGGCGCTGGTGGAGGGGTGCAGGCCCAGCAGCGAGCGCAGCAGGGGAGTGCGGGCAAAGGCGGAGCAGAAGGGGTGGGCGAGCAGGAAGGCGCGCGGGATGATGTCTCGGTCCAACACAAACGCCCTCGCTGCTTCGCTTGGCAGGCCCAGACTCGCCAGCACACTGCACCGCGCTGCACCCCTGCTGCTGCTGCTGCTGAACGGCGAGGAGGGGTGGAGCAGCGGTGCATGAGGGAAGGAGAGGAGGCCGGGGGGAGGGGCATGCAGATGGGGCGAAGCCATGTGAGGCCATGAGGCGGTGGTGTGAGCGGTGGGAGGGCGGCCGGCAGCACGGTGCAGCAGGGGGGAGGAGGGGTGCGCGTGTGCAGAGGCGAGGAGGCGGGAGAGGTCGCTCGGCGCATGGGCAAACTGGTGGGAGAGGCTTTGCGGGGCAGAGGGAGAGGGCGAGGAGGAGAGCGACGCGAGGACAGGGAAGGAACCGAAGGTGTGCGCGGAGAGGTGGAGGGGGGAGGCGTCTGCGCGCGTGTTGGGCGCACGCAGGTGGAACATGAGCATCAGCAGCAGCGCCAGCGACCCGCCCAGCGAGTGCCCTCCGAAGCGCAGGTGGGTGATGCCCTCGCGGCGCATGTCGGCGGCGAGCAGCGGCAGCACGCCGCGGTACACGTCCTCCGCGATGGCGTGCACGCCGCCATGCACCAGCAGCTCCACGCCCGGCGGCGTCAGCGCGCGCTCCAGGTGCACGGGGCGCACCTGCAGCAGCTGGCGCCACAGCCGCCCCACGTCCACCTCGCTGCGGTCCACCGCCACGCCGCGCGCTATCACGTAGCGCGTGCGCCCGCCCTCGCGCGGGCACGGCGGCGAGTCGACGACCATGTACGCCGTGAAGGGCGTCTGCTGGCACGCGCGCAGCGTCAACCCCAAGGCGCTCAAATGCGGCGCGGGGTCGCGGTGGTACACCAGCGCCGACAGCCGCGCCATCTGCGCCCGCGCCGGGTTAGGCAGGCGGAATAATGGGGGAAAGCGGGCGCAACAGATGGGAAGACGAGGGGAGGAAACGAGGGTCGTGAAGGTGAGGATGCGGGAACATGTGCGAAGCGCACTCGCGCGTCGTGTGCGTCACGTTGATACCTGGCTTGTCATGGATTCCCATTATTGCCTCGGAGGCCTTGCAATTCTCGTCTCTGCCATTGCTACTTGTCCCCCGGGCGACACAAGGCTGCTTGATCACGAAACACACGTGACTGCTGAATCCCCAAACCCCTACCAACCGCGCGCTCACCTGGGAAGCCGACGCCAACTCGTCCACTGTCGCTCGCGGCGCCGACTGAACGATCTGTTTGCGAAGGTCGGTATTGTCGCCAGCCCTAGCGTCGTCGTCTCGAGGCGGCGACAGGAACGGCAATCGCTCCCTGCGCTTTCCGCTCCGCCCGCTGCTCACGCCGCCATCCCGCCGTCCGCTCCGTCCTGCACCCGACCCCAACCCGCCGCTCCTCCCTCCCGCCAGCGGCCAATGCAGCCCGCTATCAGTCGCTCCCGCGGCTGGCGCTCTCCGCTCCACCGCCACCGCCTGCACGCGGAGGCGGTGGGAGTGCGGCCGCCGTGTGCGGGGCCGACCGCGGGTGCAGGCTTGGCGCAACGCCGTGCTCTCGCGCTCTGCGCACAAGGCGCCATTTAGATCCGCCGGTCCGTACGGTACAATGAAAGGCCAATACCGACCGCTGAAGCCCCGAGCGGCAACAGTGGAGGCGTCAGCGCCGAGCACGCCCGGGCACGCGTCGACTGGTCCCCGCGAGCAGCGCGCGCGATGGGTTGCCGCGTCCGCGGGAGACACGTGATGGGCCAGCTGTGCCGCGGGAACGAGGAGAGCATTGGCGCGCTGCGGGCGATGATCGGTAAGGGAGAGGTTGGGGGAGAGAGGGCGGAGGTCGGCGAGGCACGACGGCGACTGGGTGGTTCCGGCGACGGAGTCCCTGGAGAGGTCGGGTCGCACGCCGCTTTGCAGCGACTGCGACGTTTGTGATATTAGTCGCATGATCGTGTGGTGACGAGCAAGGGAAGTGGCGAGCAGCGAGCCAGAGAAGCAGTAGGGCGGGGAGTGCACCAGCAGGATGGGCCAGGTGGAGACGAAGAATGGCTTGATTTTGGCGCTCCAAACCAATGGCCGGGGCTCGTCGGATGTGCGGTGGATGTTCCGGTGTGTAATCACGGTACACGTAGTCACTGGCGTGCTGGCGCGGCCTGTGGCCTTGGCTCAACGTCGCGGGCAGCTCAGCCTGACGGGAGAAGGCTCATCTACCAGATCGGCCGGATCGCGCTCTCACGTTTTCCACAATGACACTGCAAACCGTACAATCCTTCAGGTGTTTTTCTAAATCTTCTCTCTAAAATGACTTCCCTGAATAATGGAACGCAATGTTCTGTCTTGTCAATCTACGCTGATGGCGTTCTGCTAACCAGTTCATAAGCGAGAGAGGGGGGTGATAAGGGAGGCCCTGGCTTGGCCACAGCTGATCAGGGAGGGTGAGGTCGAGCGCGCGAGCCGCGAGTGGGGGAAAGCAGGGGAAGGCAGGCAGGTTGCTTGGATCTGGTGGGGAATTTTGGTGGGAGGAGATTGGCGTCGAATTGAACGGGAGGCGGACGATGGATCACATCGAGGCGGCTGGTGGGGGAAAGTGCTGGTGGTCTACGTGGCATGCCTGACTAAGTTGGATCACTAAAGCGCAGCGTGGGCGGTGCCACTGAGCGAGTCCCCGTTGGATCCGCGTCATATCTGGCGCCACCAGCACAGCGCACCCATTCGCCACGACGACAATCCAATCCGTCATTAATAATCCGCGTCCACTGAGCCTTTGTCAAAGGGCTTCGCCAATGACGAAAGCTCCCGCCACCAACAGCTGGCTGAGCTGGGCCTTGAGTTTCGCGCACAGTCGCGATGGGAAATCTGAGCCCCAGGTTCCTCACTCTGGAGTGTTCGCAAACAGAGCATTGGCTTTCGAGAGCTGTTCGTCGTCGGAAGCTTTGCTTCTCTGGTGAACTGAGTCCACAGCATCCGAAATTCGCGAAAATATAATTCTCGCTACCTTGAATTCGGCCAATCATCGTAGTACCCGTCAGCTGGAACACCAGCACGACGCTTCACTCGGACTCTGTTCCAAGTATTTCTAGTGGTTGAAGAATTTGTAACAAACATTTGCGTGATGACATTGCATCCGCACTACATTCAGGTGACTGCAGGGAAAATATTCGAAGGTATCATGTTAGGAAGGGCAATAATAACCATTCTCACAACAAAGATTAGCACTTACAAGGTACCCGATTTCCTGCTCAACTGTAGTGTCAGGTATTTGGTGCCGTATGTTAGAATGACTTTTCATCGCTCCCATGACTGAGGCAAGCAATATCAGTTTCAGCTATTTCTTGATCGGTTGAAAGGGTAGGTGTGAAACTATCATCACTCCCTGTCTTCATTCTCTTGGCCCCAATAATCTCAAGCACGTCTGGTGAAGGCACAACCGTGTTTTTCTTTCGCGTGCTCGTTGTCGTGCGTGGCCTCCTAACTGTACCAGATGCACCTCCCTGAGTTTGATCGGGGTTGGGACTTCTTTCTGCTGTAGTGGCAGCGACATGCATTTCTGGGGCCTGCTCCTTCAACCCCACACCTGCCTCACCTGCACAATAACCCACTCCTCTCCTCCCTTCACTGCTTCCTCTTCCTCTTCCCACCACTCCTCCCATCTCGGCACAGACTTTTGGCTGGCCCCCTAACTGCCTCGCTCCTACTGCCCACCCTCGGCCCCTCATGCCGAATCTTCCCCGGCCCCCCAGTACCCCTCCCCCCAATCTTCCTGCTGCTGCCATCCCAGCACCCACCGCAGCAGCAGGGCGGAGCGGCAGGCGGGTGGGAAAGCGAGAGAGGGGGCGGTGAGAGGGGCGGGTGGAGAGAGGCGGCGCGGAGTCGATGGGGGCGAGCATGCCGCGGATCTGGCAGGAGAAGACAAACGTCACCTGCGCATGGTGCCGCATGCACGCATGCCCGGGGGGTAGTGGGGGAGGAAGTGGTAGGCGTTGAGGGGCGTGTGAGGGAGGAGCATGGCGTGGTGAAGGGACAGAGGGAGCAGCAGATAGTCAAAAGCCATGGCATGTGGAAGGAAGTAAAGGTTGGCGCAGATGGAAAAGTGGAAAACGCGTGTGGAAACACGAGCGTTTGAGACTCAATATGGTGAAATGAGTTACATCGAGACAGGCTGCCTTCTGTAATGCTGTGTCAGGGATGGTTGCGGATGGACGGCTGTGATGCGCCCACTGGTCAAGCTGCTCCTCCAATGGGTTACCCACCTGACACAATCATGCACACACACACACACACACACACACACACACACACACACACACACACACAAAAACACACACACACACACGCACACACAAACACACACACACACGCACACATGGACACAGCAATTGAAGTAGAGGAAACAGGTATGGCATGATTCAACTCCCTCACGTGTGAATCATGGCACTCAATGCTCACATGCAAAGTTGCCGGGTGGCAACACGAGTGAGCAGCATCAGAGCCTCGCCACCCCCGTGCACGCTCACCTGCTTCTCCCACTCCTTCAGTTTCCCCACCACCCCTGCCACCGCTGCAAAGCCCCCAATGTCACTCTCGCCCTCCCCTTTCCCGCCGCCGCTGCTCCCCCGCCCCGCCTGCACATCCTCGTCGTCGCTCCCCTCCGCCTCTGCCTTCTCCCTGCCCCCACTCTCCACTCCACTTGACTCCTCCTCCCTATCCCCCTCCTCCTCCCCTCCTCTTACTCCTCCTCCCTCGCCTTCTCCCGCCCCCTCGCCCTCCCCAGCCACAGCTGCCAGCGCCTCCAGAGAGCCTCCCCCTCGCCTCTCCACCTTCGCCCCCTTCCCCCCACCACCTGCACCCTCCCTTCCCGCACCTTGCCCGCCCTTGTGCTGCCCCCCCACATGGCAGCCTCCCCTGCCAGCTGCATGCAGCGAGGGGCGCGAGGGGCAGCGCTGGCACCCCAGCGAGTCGTGCGTGTCGGACCTGCGGAGGGGGGAGGGGAGGAGGGAACAGCGCATGTGAGCAGCGTGCACCACACCGCCATGCGCCCATGCCATTCCATGCCTTGCCGCGTCATGTTATGCCACATGTCATGCCATGCCATGCCATCCCATACCACGCTGTGCCTTTCCATGCCTTGCCATCCCTTGCAGCAATCCATTTACACAAAAAAAATCCATGTGGAGCAGCAAAGCGTGTAAGGGAGGGCAGCAGTGGGTGCGATGGAAGGGGGCGGGCAGGAGGGGACTGACAGGGTGGAGGAGCGCAGCATGAAGAGGTCCCTCAGCTCCTCTGCTGACAGCAGGTTCACCTGCCACCACACCGCACCGCACCGCACCACACCGCACCACACCGCACCACACCGCACCACATCATATCATCACATCACATCACATCACGTCACGTCGCGTCGCATCGCATCGCATCGCATCGCATCGCATCGCGTCGCGTCGCGTCGCGTCGCATCGCATCGCATCGCATCGCATCGCATCGCATCGCATCACATCACATCACATCGCATCACGTGGCATGGCAAACATGGTCAGTGTGCTCCGAGTGATCATTGAGCAAGGGGAAAGAGCACGAGTACACCGTATCCTCATGCTGCTTCTCACCTGTGCGCGCCCCTCGCTCTGCTTCTCGCTATCCACCACTTGCTGCAGCCCCTCCTTCGCCATCTGCCTCTGAAACACCTGCGAGCCCTCCCATGCACGCACACACAGAAGCAGCGGCGGCGCACGGCAACAGAAAGGGATGAGCAACACGATGCTTCAAAGTCAACCAAGTTTTTGGGGCTCAAACAGGACAAGGAACATTTGCCTCACATGCAGGGCGCTCACCCTCTTTTTGACGCTGCGGCTCACCTTCTCCTCGATGGTCCCCGCTGCCAGGAAGCGGTACACAAACACACGCTTCTTCTGCCCGTCCCTCCACACACGCGCCGCCGCCTGCCCTCGCTCACATGGCCGAGGAGGGCGACCCACACACATGGTGGCGGGGCACATGGCGCATAGGGAAAGGGCACGGTGGGGTGAGAAGCAGGTGGACAGGAGACTCTTCACCACCCATGCACGGCGCATGGCTGTGCTTCTGCTGCCGCCCTGCATACCTGCCCCTTCCTGCCAGCCTGACTCTATCCAGCCGGACTCAACACTTTCAACCTGCCAGCCCCTTGCTCCGTACTTCACGCATTCCCCCTCGTTGCTGAGACACGCCACCAGATGATCGATCCCTCTAATGCTTATGCTGCCACCTCACCTGCTTGTCGTTGCCCCACCATCGCACCTGCTTGTCGTTGCCCCACCATCGCACCTGCTTGTCGTTGCCCCACCATCGCACCTGCTTGTCGTTGCCCCACCAGCGCACCTGCTTGTCGTTGCCCCACCATCGCACCTGCTTGTCGTTGGCGGGGTTCCAGTCGGGGTCGAAGAGCACGAGTCGGTTGCCGCCTATGAGGTTCAGCCCACACCCGCCCGCCTTGCTGCTCAGCAGAAACACAAACTCGTCCTGCCATGCCATGCCATGCCACATGCCACACACCATATGTCACACCATGTCACGTATGCATAGAACGCACATGCATACAGAACTCACTAATGAGCTGTGAGAGCAAGATCACAGCACCTCCCTAATGAGCTGTGAGAGCAAGATCACAGCACCTCCCTAATGAGCTGTGAGAGCAAGATCACAGCACCTCCCTAATGAGCTGTGAGAGCAAGATCACAGCACCTCCCTAATGAGCTGTGAGAGCAAGATCACAGCACCTCCCTAATGAGCTGTGAGAGCAAGATCACAGCACCTCCCTAATGAGCTGTGAGAGCAAGATCACAGCACCTCCCTAATGAGCTGTGAGAGCAAGATCACAGCACCTCCCTAATGAGCTGTGAGAGCAAGATCACAGCACCTCCCTAATGAGCTGTGAGAGCAAGATCACAGCACCTCCCTCCGTCCACACGAGCATATGAGTGAGGAGAGCAGCAGGGGTGTGAGAAATTGCTGCACTCACGGCGTGGGGGTCGTTGAACTGCTGCACTCACGGCGTGGGGGTCGTTGAACTGCTGCACTCACGGCGTGGGGGTCGTTGAACTGCTGCACTAGCTTCTGCCTCTTGCCCACCGAGGTGCCTCCATCCAGCCGCACGAACGGGTACCCATGCTCCCGGCACAGCTGCGCAAATAGGTCCAACGTCTGCCACCCGGGGAAAATGGAAGGGAGGGGGGGTGAGGGGAGGAGAGGGGGCAAGGGGAGACGAGGCGTGCATGGCATGGCTGATGGCAGGCATGGCTGGTGGCAGGCATGGCTGATGGCTAGCATGGCTGGTTGCATGCATGGCCGGTGGCAGGCAGAGCAGCGAGCATGACGGTTTTAAGGGACAACACGAGTGGCGTGGACGTGGTGGGAGCACGTACCTGTGTGTAGTTGGATACGAGCACGATGCGGTCCGTGGTGCGTGTGCGCAGGTGTGCCAGCAGGCGTGCCAGCACCACCATCTTGCCCGACAGCTGCACCCACGTGCCGCCCCCGCCCGTCCACGTGCCACTCCTGCCACCACGGCACCCAAGGGGCGGTGCAGCGCGGGCGTAGGGTGGAGGGGGTGGGGGGAAAGGCGGCAGTGCGGGTGATGATGGCAACAGGGATGACGCAAGCATGGGTGGATGTGAGGGGCCTCTTGCCAACCAGCATACCATTGCAACCGGTGATCCCACTAGGTACGCACCTCCCGTTGAACATTTCGGGTGGGAAGAGTGGGAGAGCGTCCTCAAAGCCAGCTGCCTCCGCCCCTCCTGCCCGGATGGAGTCGTACAGCAGCTGCTCGCCATGCATGCACCAAGCCCGGTCCCCCCATGCACCCACGATGCACCCGCCATGCAACAGTTGGTTAGTGGAGAGGGGGCCAGCATAAGAGGGACGAGGTGACACGTGGGGCAGCATGAGAGGAAGGAGGTGACACGTGGGGCAGTGCTACTGGGTGAATATATGTGGTAATGGGTATAGTGGAGAGGTCGCCGCACATCAGCAGGAGAGGCCTTTGCCACATCACCTCACATCACCTCACATCACCTAACATCACCTCACATCACCTCACATCACCTAACATCACCTCACATCACCTCACATCACATCACCTCACATCACCTAACATCACCTCACATCACTTCACATCACTCCTATGCATCTCCATGAACATGTTTTGAGAGAGATAGACCAAACGACCTGTGGACCTTCCACGGCTTGCTTCCTACTCATCTTGAGTTGCTTACCCACCTCCCATCTCACAGACCTTGGAATAGTTGCCCCCCCAGCCAACCCACCTTGGGGTGGTTGCAGAGCTTCTTGAGGGCCGTGATGGACGCCAGTGCCCGCGCCTTCTTCCCATCCTCCAGTGCCGTGCGCACCTGCATGCACACATGCATGCACACACGCACACACACACACACACACCACACACACCACACACACACACACACCACACACACACACACACACACACACACACACACCACACACACCACACACACCACACACACACACACACCACACACACCACACACACACACACACACACACACACATACACACACATGCCGTTTTGTGCCAAGTCATGCCATGCTATGCAAATGCACGAAATGACTACCATACGAGCGCCAGGCAGGGATCATGGGGCATGCCGTAGCATGCCCTCCAACCCCAGGTCCAAGAGCGCATGGATGGGCTTGGGGTGTGTGACGCGGCTCACATTCTTGGAGTGTATGAATCGCTCGTACAGCTGGCGCTGCAGGTCTGTCATGCGGCAACACACTATCTCCACTATCTGCCACATGCATGGGCGCGCACATGCACATGCACACACACATGCACATGCACATGCACATGCACACACACATGCACATTCAAATGCACATGCACACACACGCACATGCACATGCACATGCACATACACACACACCCGCAGGGGAGATTAGCATTGACGTGCAGGTAGAAAGAGGTGGTGCATGTGCATGCAGGGGCGCGCGCGCGCGCGCGCTCACAGGTGCAGTGTGGGTGAAAGGCCCAATGGGGGTGGCAGGAGGGAGGAGCAGACCTTGGGAGGCAGGTGGTTGGAGAGGAGCGCGTTGGTGCGGCGCAGAATGAACTGCAGGGCGAGAGGGGGCACGGGCCAGGGGGCACAGGCAGACGGGGGTAGGGGTCAGGGGGAGGCGATTAGAAGAGGGGGATGGAGGAGAAGTGGGCACATGGCAGCGCTGGCAGCACATGCACGGATGGGCGCGTGGCTCCACTGCATCCCCCACGTGTCTACCACCCTCTGTGTGTACCCGCGCCCCCACCCTCCCCCCACCTGGTTGACGCGGTCACTGAGCTCCGCAGAGCGCTCTGCCCCCAGCGCCCTCTCCTCCTCCCATGCATGCGGCTCCCTCCCCGCCAGGATGGGCGCCTGCGCGTGCCCGTGCCCGTGCCACCATGGGTGATGAGATGACGTGGTGGAGAGAGGTGGCAGCGCGGGGAGCGGGGTGAGACACGCGCGGGCGGGTTGAGATTCAGTGTGAGAGGAGTCGAGGCACGACTCGCTCATAGCCAGCATGGCATGGGCGCAGCATGGGAGCAATTACGGAAGAGCAAGGGAGCCGAGGGGGAATAGGAACGGGCCAGTAGATGGTGCAGAGGGCGAGGTGGGGCGTGGGCGAGGTGGGGCGTGGGCGAGGTGGGGCGTGGGGGAGGTGGGGCGTTGGGGAGGTGGGGCGTGGGGGAGGTGGGGCGTTGGGGAGGTGGGGCGTTGGGGAGGTGGGGCGTTGGGGAGGTGGGGCGTGGGGGAGGTGTGACCTGGAAGTGGCGTCGGAAGTGGGCGGCGTTGCTGAGCACGCCCGGGTTGGTGAAAGACACCATGGCGTAGAACTCCTCCAGATCGTTCTGCACCGCCCCCCACCACACCAGACCGCACAGCACAGCACCACAGGGATGCGGCATGAGAAGAGGAGAGAGGGGTGGGGAAAGAGGGGGTGTGAAGGAGGAGGGGGGCGTGTGCATTGTTGAAGTGGATGAGGCCGAGAGCACAGTGTAATCCGTGGATGCAACTGTTGGAGTGCCATCCCTCGCTACCCATCACCCTGCAACAGCCGTTGAAACTATGCGGTTTGGTTGAGGGCGAGTCAGGGGCAGTACAGCAGAGCAGCGCATGGCATGGCATGGCATGGCATGGCATGGCATGGCAAGGCATGGCATGCATGGCACGCACCTGCATGGGAGTGCCAGAGAGCAGCACTCTTCGCCTGCACGGCAGTCCTGCCAGCGCCTGATGGACACACAGGGGGACACGCCAGGGGCCAGGGGTGGGGGGCGGGGGAGCGGATGGACGATGCAAGGCGTGAGGAGGAGGATGGATGGAAGGAGGATGAAGGACACAGAGCGGCAGGCAGGTGGTGAGATGAACTGCGGGCACGTGAATTGGGAGATCAGCTGTGGTGATTGCTCACCTGTGTGGTGAGGGTGCTCGCCTGCGTGGCAAGGGCGGCTACCTGCGTGGTGAGCGTGCGGTCGTTCTTGAGGCGGTGCGCCTCATCACAGATCACCAGGTCGCACGCCCCCTCGTGCTGGAACGCTGTGGCGTGCAGCCGGAACGTCTCGTACGACACTATCAGCACCTGCCAGGGGGGGGTCATCTCACAGTGCCACGCGCACCATGGCTCATGTCATTGCCCACTTCCACGTGCCACGTGCCACGTGCCGGCGCTCATCAAGGGCACAACAATGCCACTCACTCCCACACATGCTGAACGCCCTGCCACTCTCTCACTCCCCCACATGCTATGCGCCCTTCACTCACATGGTGCATGCCGCGCGGAGCCAGGAACTGCTGGATGCCTTTGACGGCGTCGGCGCGGCTCGCCTCACACAGCGCCACGCAGCGCACGCGCCCGCCCAGCCACTTGTCCAGCTCCGCCGCCCAGTTGCTGACGAGGCTCGTGGGCGTGACTATGAGCGCGCGCCGCACCAGCGGCGGCCCCTTGGGCCCCTGGAAGCCCTGCTTCAGCAGCGTCCACAGCAGCGCTATCGACTGCAGCGTCTTGCCCAGCCTGGCCGGGTGGGATGGCGCACAGGCCATGCACGGGCGAGGGAGAATGGTGGAGATGAGAAGCGATGAGATGGGAAGAGCTGAATGAGAACGGAAGCACAAGTGTGCGTACGGTGCATGGAATTGCTGTACCCCATGGGAGGTCGGCAGGGAGGGAGGGCGTTACCCCATGTCATCGGCGAGGATGCAGCCATAGCAGCCGAGGTCGTCATCGCCCTGCTGGTGGAAGTCCTTGAGCCCCGTCACACACTCAAACATGAACGCCACTCCCTCCCTGCCACCCCCGCCCACCACGCACAGCACACACACATGCACATATTCATGCAAAGATTAGGCAGCAGAAGCGGGCAGCAGATGATTTCGGGCGGGCTAATTGGGGAGAAGTTGGGTGGCAGAGAGTCCCAGGGAGCGGAGTGAGCGCACCGCTGGTGGGCGCGGAGGCACTTGGCGAGGATGGGGTCCACGGCGATGGGCTGTGACTGCTCGCACGCGTGGAACGGATCCTCCTCCGGCACCCACAGCACCAACGGCTCATACCCCGCCTCCGCTGCCACCGCTGCCTGCGCCTCCTCGTCCCCTTTACCTGCCTCGCCCTCCTCTGTGTCCTCGCCCTCCCCCTGGTCCCCCGCGGGCGCCACGAGCAGGGGTCGGCGGTGCACGCCCCCTCCCCACGCCACGAAGCGGCGGCATGCAGCGAGGCGCCTGAGCAGCTCGGGGGAGGTGTTGGTGGTGGCGCCGGGGCACGGCGACTTGAAGGGGCGGCGCAGCACAGCAGCGTCCTGTGAGACGGACAGCATGCGCGGCAGCAGCGCCCTCCTGCACACCTCCACGTCGCCCCTGCGAGTTGGGGGGAACAGAGGCGTTGGGGGGGAGTGGAGAGGAGTTGGGGTTGGACGAGGACGTCACGCATTTCACCTGAAACAGCTATTCACCTGAAACAGCTATTCACCTGAAACAGCTATTCACCTGAGACAGCAATTCACCTGAGACAGCTATTCACCTGAGACAGCAATTCACCTGAGACAGCAATTCACCTGAGACAGCTATTCACCTGAGACTGCTGTTTACCTGAGACTGCCATTCACCTGAGACTGCTGTTTACCTGAGACTGCCATTCACCTGAGGCTGCTATTCACCTGAGGACGGCCGCCACGTTGGCAGCCTTCATGGCAGCCACTGACGGCTCCTCGTCGCCACTCTCCTCGCTCTTCGCCGCCCTAGCTCCACGCGTCGCTCGCCGTCCAACGCTCCTCACGCCGCTCGCTCCTCGCTGCACGCGTTTCGCTGCCGCTGCTTTGGTCGCCGCGGCTTTGGTAGCCGCTGCCTTGGTAGCCGCTGCCTTGGTAGCCGCTGCCTTGGTAGCCGCTGCCTTGGTAGCCGCTGCCTTGGTCGCCGCCTTGCCGTTGCCCTGCTTCCTCCGGCCCCCTGCCCCCTCCTCGGCGCTCGAGCTGCCCTCCTGCCCGTTCCAATCGCCGTCGTCGTCGCCGTCATTGTTCCCACCCTCGTCGCAACTGTTGCCGCCGCCATAATCCTCGTCGCGACTGTCGTCGCCGTCGCACTCGTCGTCGCTGGACTCACTCACCACCACCTCATCACTCTCCGACTCCGACATTCTTCGCAGCCCGTGCGATCGCGATGGCGATCACGACAAGCCGCACTGGAAAACGGAAGCACGCGGGCACGTCGTCGCAGCAACGACGCCCGGCAAGACTATTGCGGGAACATGCAACGAAGGCACATCGGCAAGATACGGAGTGGCCCGACGAAACGGACTAATGTGAAAGGAGTACCAGTGATCGCAACTGTTGTTCTTGGAATGACTATGGAAGTTCTACGAGAGGGGAATGAGCGGCTAGCTTATGCTGCGGGTGGGCTGGCACGGGTGGCGAGGCGACGGGCGATGATGGTGCAGACTGACTGACTAGCTGCGGCATGCGTGGAACTAACCAGCAATTCTAGGCGGAAGAAATCGAGGTAGCGTCACGATCACGTCGAGGGCCGCAGAGGACACGAATATATGCGGATAAGTACACCCCAACCGAATGCAGGATATAACATTTAAATGCCGATCTGAACCATATATTTTACTCGGGGGTGAATTGCAACCCGAAGTCCCAGCTAATGTATTTGCGCCTTTCGGTAATTGAGCGGTGGGTATTGGTTATGTATCCTACAGGTCATCCCTAGAAGTGTCACGCTTCGTCAGATGCCCGCACACACCTTCCCCCATCACTGAACCCCCCGCGGCCCCCCGCGATGGGCATCCACTCCATCTTGCGCCAGGCGCGCGCGCAGGGCTGGCGGGACGACACGGTCGAGTACGCCATTTTCCCCGACCCCGGCTCCTTCGAGCTGCCGCCCCTCACGCCGGGTCAGGCGGCGGAGAGCGACGAGGCGGTTCGGCGCGGGCTGGAGGCGCTGCGCGTGGCGTGCCTCGACATCGCGGCGAGGCACGCGGGCCACATGCGGTGGAACCGCGACCCCTTCCAGCTCTGGCCCGCGCCGCCCCTCGCGCGAGACGCGGCGGAGCAGGCGGTGCGCGGCGATGAGGGGAAGGGGGAGGAGGATCCGCCGTTCCGATGGCGCGACAGGGACGACGGCGTGGCTTGGGGTCTGCAGGATGACGACGAGGAGGGGGACGAGGGGGAGGGGGATGAGGGGGAGAGGGCGGACAGTGCAGGAGGAGCGGATAAGCGCGCGGGGGAGCGGGGGCAGGGGGGCGTGCCGGCGCACCTGTACGGGCGCACGCAGTACGGCGCGAGTGTGGAGGACGAGTGGGTGGTGGCGTGGCTGCTGCTGCGCATCTCCGCCTGCCTGCCCTTCCTCTCCATCCGTACGCGCGCTCACGTGCGCCCTCCCGCTCCCTCCGCTCCGCCCGTGACGTGCGCTCCCTCGTCCGCCATGCCAGTGCCCCCCCGCGCGCCTGCATGCGCATACTAGCAGTCCTGGTCTGGCACCACGCCTCCCATTCGCTGCTCCACTCCGCCCCGCCCACTTTATCTCCCCATGCATGCGTCCCCCCTGTCCCCGCGCACACCCCCAGGAGTGCGCGACGGCGATGGGGACTTTGTGCTCATCGAGGCGGCCACGGCGCTGCCCAAGTGGGTGGCGCCCTCCTGTGCGCGCAACCGCCTCCTGCTGCGCCAGGTGCGCCCCCTCTCTCTCCAACCCGCGCCGCCTGCCCCGCCCTACCTTCGCCTCCTCACTCCGCTGCTCCCTGCTCTCCTCCTTGCCACTCCAACCCCTCACCTCCTCCCATCCGCCCCACACGCCTCTCTCCTCGCTACCCCTCCCTTCTCCATTGTCCCCCATTCCCCCCCCCTGCCCCCAGGGTCGCCTGCATCTGGTGCATCCGCGTCTGCGCCGCCCGCCCTACCGCCCAGCAGCGCTGCACAGCGCACTGGCCGCCGTGCGCAGTGCCCACGAGCCCACAGAAGCTTCTGAGAAGATTCACCGTGCCGTGATGAGCCGCCTGGAAGGGCTCCCAGGCTCGGCGCTGGCAGCCGTGCACACCGCCAGGTGTCGCCTTCCCATTCGCGCAGCACAGGTCAGTGCACGTGGCCCCGCCCAGTCAGCAGTGTGTGTTTCCCACTCGCCCCCACTCCGCTCTGCGCCCCTGTTGCTGATCCCCGTTCCATCTTTGCTTCTCCCCACCTTCTCCCCCTTTCTACCCACCCCCCCCAGGCAGTGCAGCAGGACCCCTACCTGGCCACCCTGGCAGCCCACGCCTTCCTCAACAGAGACCATGCCGCCTCCTCCCCCTCCCACACACCCTCTCCCTCCCGCCACCCCTCGGCCCCCCTCCCCCTCTTCCTCCCCCACACCTCCTGCCCCTGCGCCCTCGCAGCATCCCGCCCCCCCGCCCCCCACACCACATCCGCCAGCGCCCCCCCCATTGCTCCCCCCCCTGCGCCCTCTCCCCCGCCCTGTGTGGCGGTGGTGGACGTGATGGTGGGGCTCCCCCGCGCCTGCTACGCGCAGCTCGCGCTGCTGCCCTTCTCCCCCCCGCGCGCCTTCCCCCTGCCCTTCCCCTCCGACCCCCTCTACTCCGCCGCCCTGCTGGGCTGCAAGCTCGCCCTCGGCCTGCACCTGCTCGTGCAAGAGGGGGGCGGGGGGGGCGGGGGGAGGGGCAAGAGCAAGGGGGGGGGTGAGGGGAAAGGGGAGAGGGAGAGCTTGAGAGGGGAAGGTAGGGAAGGGGGTGTGGAGGGAGCAGGGGAGAGCAGGGAAGTGCAGGTGTGCGAGTGTGATAAGGTGGTGGTGCCGGCAGGGATGGCAGGGGGTGAGGGCGATGGAGCGGGCGGTGGGGGCAGAGGGAGGGCAGAGCTGTGCGAGTGGGGCAACCTGCTGCCGTGGCTCTCACACGCAGGGCTCTTCCACCCCCCCCACCCGCCCTCTGCTCCCTCCAACCCTGCCGCTGCTGCTGCTGGGGCTGCTGTGGGGGGCGAAGAGCAGGGGGCGAGTGGGGCAGTGGGGGAGGAGCGGAGAAGGGCAATAGAGAAGGAGATGGAGAAGCGGTTCAAAGTGGTGCAGCGGTTTGCACAGCTCAGGTGAGATTGGTGTGGGGGAGGGGAGGGAAGGGTTTGAGGAGGAGGGCAGCAGGCAGAGGGACGCTGCTTCCCTCACTCACACTGCAATCACTCCCTCTTTTGGTCCCCTCCCCTGCTCTGCCCCACTCTCTTCTCTCTCAACACCCCACCTGCCTTGACCATCTCGCACTCACCCAAACCCCTCCCTCTTCTTCACACCTCCCTCCCTCACCCACCCCTCCGCAGCGCCACAGCGGCTGATCCAGCGGCGCGCATCTACTCTGTGCTGGCGGGGCAGCCCGCCTTGCACCCCTCGGCCTTCCCGCGGGCAGCCCTGCGAGTCGATGACAGCGAGCGGTGGATGAGCGAGGCCGTGCACGCCATGGAGGCGCGCCTGGGCCAACAGCAGGCGGGGGGGCAGGGGGGGGGCAGGCGCAAGGGGGGGCGTGAAAGGGAGGGAGCTGGGGCTGGAGGGAAGGGGAGGGACGGGAAGAGTGGCAAGGCGGGGAGGAGGGAGGGAGAGGAGGTGCAGGGAGAGGAGGAGGTGGGGGAGGAGGAGGCGGGGAAATTGCTGGAGCGGCTGAAGCGATTCATGTCCGGCGTGTCTGGGCTTGAGGGCGTGGAGGCGGAGGGGGATGGCGCTGGCATTTATGGGGGCGAGAGTGGGAGCTGGGGGAGCGGTGAGGAGGAGGAAAGTGGTGGTGGGGAGGGGAATGAAGGGGAGGAGAGTGGTGGGATTGATGAGGAGGGGCAAGAAGAGAGGGAGGAAGTGCAGCGGGTGAGTGTGAAGGGTGGTGTGGGATTGCAGGAAGAGGAGGAGGAGGGGGAGGAGGATGGCGGGGAGGTGGTGATGGGGCGGGAGAAGCTGAGGGAGTTTGAGAGGTTTATGGAGGAGTTGGAGGGGGTGATGGAGCGGTACAGTGAGGAGGAGGTGAAGGGGTTCCGAGGCGATGGCAGCTCGGAGGGCGAGGAGGACGACAACAGCGAGTCCGCCTTCTTCTCAGGTCCCCCCCCCCGCCCCCTCCCTCCCTGCCCTGTGCTTCCTTGCCCCTCGTACGTGATTGTGTGAGTGAGAAGTTGCATTTGATGTTGTAGCACAGGTACTCAGCCGCTCATACAGGCGAATGGGGTTGGTGAGGGGAAGGACAAGTATGCGATGGGAACTTAACCAGATCGTTGATTGGGAGTGAGTGTGAGGAAACTTGTAACCGGCTGAGGTTGCACGTAGCCCACGAAAGCCCATGAAAGCCTATGCTACACATGTGTTGACAGCCTTGAGCATTTCCCCCTCACGTGTGCCGTCCCCCCCCTACGTGTGAGTGGCATCAGAGCCGGGCAGTGACAGCGACTGGGAGGATGTCAGTGACGCGGGCAGCCAGGGGGGCGAGGGCGAGGAGCAGGAGGAGGAGGAGGGCGAGAGCAAGGGGCCTATCTCGGGGCCATTGGTGCTGGGCGGTGGTGGCAGCGGCGGTGGAGGTGCAGGCAGGGGTGCAGGCCGGGGTGAGAGTGGGCCGGGTGAGGGCAGTGGGGCGGCAGGCAGGGGGGGCGCGGCAACAGGCCTGCACCGGGGCTTCTTTGGCGGAGGCGCGGGGCAGCGGGGGACGCAGAGTGGGGAGGCGAGGAGGGGGGAGGAAGGGGAGATGAAGAGAAGAGATAAGGGCAAGGGGAAAGTGGTGGAGGAGGAGGAGAGGGAAGGGAGAATAGGAAGTGGGAAGCGAGGGGTGGGGGAAGGCAGCAGCAGGGGAGGGGGTGGGGGAAGGGGGGCGGGAGAGGAGGACTTCTATTCACTCTACTCCAAGGCCATGGCCGCCCAGCTCGCCCCCACCCATGTGCCCTCCTCCTCGCTGCCCCTGCCGCCGCACACCCAGGTACGTGGTATGGCATGCCTTGGTACCAGCAAACAGTGCGTGCCTGCCATGCCTGCCTTCACAGCCACATGCCTCTTTGGCCCTCATGCCCATCGCACTGCCCACACGCGTTCTCACACGCCCCCCAACCCCCTCCCCGTGCGCCTCTCCCCTCCCCCCGCCCCTCCCTCCCCTCAGCGCCCCAAGGGCAACAGCAGAGCAGGCCGGGCAGGGGCGGGTGCAGCAGCAGCAGGAGAGGGGAAGGAAGCGGAGGAAGGGGAGGAGGCACGGCGGGTGGTGGGCAGTCTACAGATGGCGGCGCGCCTTCAGGGGGGGCTGCCGGGGCCTGCTGCACTGCTGCTGGACGCCGTGAGGGGGGACGCAGGGGTGAAGCGGGGCAGAGGGGGGAAGGGGAAGGCTAGAGGTAAAGGGAGGAGATGAAGTAGGGGTAGTGAAGGAGGGGTAGTGATTGTTGATAGTATTTGTGGGTGGATCAGCTCCAGCAGCAAGGCGCTGTCTGACACGCGCACCGTGTCACTCCAATGTTCCACAGCCTGCCATGATGCCTTGTACCCCACACATTTCCGCCACACACACCTAGATGCCTTCCAAGTGCCCAACCAGCCAGGAGGCACCAACTGGTGCTGCATGGGCAGCTAACGGCTTTGGGGCAGCCTGTGGCACAGGGGCACATGACAATATGGTGCAAGGCGTTGCGCCACGTAGCGTAGCGCTTTTTGAAATAAGACTGTTGACTTGAGCTTCGAGGGAAGGGCCCGGAGGTCCAGACAGGAGAGCCCATGGCAGCATGTGGTGTAGCAGGTGGCATAGACGTGCACCTGAGCCTACCCTCGCCTCACCCTGCTGCTTCCACATGGGGCACAGGTCAGACAGGCTTTCCACAACTCTTCTGGTGGCGGTGATAGGAAGCTGGTGAGGTCAGGTAGCTCTATGAGCTGCCCCGTGTGTGTTTTCATGCTCTGGATTGAACAGATGTGACACCGATGATTGTATTTAAATACTTTACTCTCACAGAAGCTACATTTGAGCAGAGGGCATGTACTAGATTTGTCAGCAAAGAGTGTTAGAATCTAGCAGCAGGAATGAGTGAACTATGAAGGAGTTTGGGTACAAGTATGAAACCCTAAAAGGGGCTGTACCCCATATTGGCTACCCCACTACAGCCTACACATATATAACACGCATATACTTTGACACACCCCCATAGGCAAAGTGGGGGAGAGCAAGGGGTCACAAGACCAGTCAAGAGAAGCAAAGCAAAGCAAGGCAAGCTCAGGGTGGATCACAACGTCACCACACACACTGAGCACAAGCAAAAGGCCACAAGGCCAGTTCACATGCAGGGGTATATATGCAAAAACAACAGCACAGTGATCTCTACCTAGCAGAGCAAGCATGCAGGTATATATAGATCATAGTACAAGCAAAGTCTACAGCAAGTGAGGAAACGTGGGCACAAGGCCTAACAGAGTGCAGAAACGCTGATGATCACCAGACGGAAGCGCCTTGGTGAATATATTAGCAGTGTTGGCCCGAGTGGCCACGTGAGCAAGACGAAGCTGACCACGCTGCTGCAACTCTCGAGCCAAGAAGTAACGCAGAGCGATGTGCTTCGTTCTGTGCTCCAGTCTGTGCTCCTGACACAAGGCAATGGCGGCCTTGTTGTCGACGTACAGCACTGGAGGAGAACGAGGCCGCTCTCCCAAGTCGGTCAGCAGGTAGGTGAGCCAGCGTAACTCCTGTGCAGCCATGGCTGTGGCGTAGATCTCAGCCTCACAACTGGAGCTGAGAACTGAAGACGGGCGTGTAGAACGCCAAGAAACCGAACCAGAGCCAAGGCTGAAGGTGTAACCCTGTGACGACCGCTGCGTAGCCTGGTCGTCAACCCAAGAAGCGTCTGAGTGCCCAGTGAGGACAACGTCGCTCCGTCCTCCAAGCACGAGCCCCATGCCCGATGTACTGCACAAGTAGCGTAGTACCCTCTTAGCAGCATCCATGTGCACCTTTCGGTGCCGACCAGGAGCCACGTAGCGAGCCAGAAGGCCAAGAGGGTACGCAAGGTCAGGACGAGTGCAGGTCATCAGGTACATGAGGCAGCCCACTAGCTCTGGGTAAGGACCACTCGGCTCTATGGACTCGTCCGAAGGTGGAGCTGAGAGCGAGTGACCTGTAGCCAGAGGAGTGGCCTGTGCCGAGGACCAGGTGAAGCCGAAGCGCTGAAGGACCTGCTGCACCATGTGTGACTGAGTCAGTGTGATGGTGCGGCGTGCTCTGTCCCGGGTGATCCGCAAGCCAAGATAGCTTGTCAGCTCACCCAGGTCTGTGCACGCGTGTCTCTTCTGCAACTCCGACTCCACCAGGGCGAGAGCCTCAGTGTCAGCAGTGGCAAAGACCAAGTCGTCGACGTACACGAGGATGTAGAACGGCGGCAGCGAAGTGTCGGTGCGCAGAAACAGCGACGGGTCAGCAGTCGACGGAGCAAACCCAAGAGCCGCAAGTGTCGTCCTCAGTGTGTCGTGCCACTCACGTGGCGCCTGGCGGAGACCGTAGACCGGCCGCCTGAGGCTCCACTGGGTACCAGGAGGGAACGACCCAGTGAAGCCAGGTGGGCGGCGCAGCCAGATCTCCTCGTGCAGGCTGCCCTGTAAGAAGGCTGTGCTGAAGTCAAGAGAGTGAAGCTCGTAGTCACGCTGAGCGGCAACGTGCAGCAGCACCCGAAGAGTGGTCATCTTCGGGGTGGGGGAGAAGTTCTGGAAGAAGTCTACTCCCTCTCGCTGACTGAAACCTCGTGCAACGTAACGCGCCTTGAAGGCAGGCGGAGAACCTGGCGGCCGCTTCACCCTGAAAATCCACATGCCACTGACGATGTTCGCCCCAGGTGGGGGAACCTCGTCGACGTAGGTGCCTGTGGACTTCCAGGATGCCATCTCTGCGTCCATGGCTGTCTGCCACTGAGAGGAGTACTCACCCGCGATCGCCTCAGCGTAAGAGCGCGGGGTCGGGATGTCTGGAGCATCCGGGTCTCCCTCAGGGGCAAGCAGCATGGACACGAGATGAGGCGCAGCGGCTGCAAGACACTCAAGGTCCTCCTGCCTGTCCTCAAGGACGTCCGTGCCAAGAGCACACTCACCCCCGACGGACGGAGGACAGACAGACTCAGACTCAGCAACAAGACTAGCGGCGTAGTCTAGACGAGAGGCAGCAGCAAAGTCAACAAGCTCAGCAACTAAGGCAGACGTAGCAGCAGACTCAAACGACGGGTTAGTGACTACAGTGGCTAGCAGACGCGTGATAGTAGGGTGCTCAGCACGAAACCGGTCAGACTCGGGGTCCGCAACGATAGGCAGAGAAGTCGCAGGAGGGGACGGCAGAGGAACACGCTGCGGAGGAGAGGAAGGACGACGTACTACGAGGTGGGTGTCGGGGACAGCCGGCAGACGCGGACGAGGAACACGACGACCGGAACGACCAGAACAGACAGGCGAGACAGGACGCGACGCAGGCTCACGATGCTCAGTAAGACCCCCTAGCTGCTCAGTGTAAGGAGAAGGAGCAGGCAGCGGTGAGCCAGGCTGTAACGGAAGACCAGTAGACGAAGGGAGACTAAGAACCTGGCGAAGCACAGAGTCAGGCGGTGGCTGAGACGACGGAGACGGTGGAGCGAAGAACAGGTGCGGCTGTGCAGTGACACCAGCACCAGCAGCTCCAGTACCCCCAGCAGCTCCAGCACCTCCAACAGCTCCAGAACCTCCAGCGCCAGTACCCTCAGCAGCTCCAGAACCTCCAGCGCCAGCACCCTCAGCAGCTCCAGAACCTCCAGCTCCAGCGCCACCAGCGCCAGCACCTCCACCAGCTCCAGAACCCTCAGCGCCAGCTCCTCCAGGACCAGCTCCACCAACAGCAGCACCCCCAGAACCGGCACCTCCAGTCCCAGGGTCTCCAGCCTCAGTGCCTCCAGCAGCAGCACCCTCAGGCTCAGCACCTCCAGCCCCAGCAGCTCCAGTACCTCCAGTACGAGCACCTCCGGGACCAGCACCACTCCCAGCTCCAGTGACGTCAGCAGAAGTACCTCCAGCGGCAGAGCCCCGAGCTCCAGAAGCGCGACCGTGACGGCGACCGTACCAGTCGTGCAGCTGCTGCGAGGTGAGAGGCACACGCGGACGAAGGCGGCTACTCCAAGGAAACCGCGCAACAGCAGACTCAGAACCCTCAGCGCCAGTACCCGCAGCAGCTCCAGAACCTCCAGCGCCAGCACCCTCAGCAGCTCCAGAACCTCCAGCTCCAGCGCCACCAGCGCCAGTACCTCCAGCAGCTCCAGAACCTCCAGCGCCAGCACCCTCAGCAGCTCCAGAACCTCCAGCTCCAGCGCCACCAGCGCCAGCACCTCCAGCAGCTCCAGAACCTCCAGCTCCAGCACCCTCAGCAGCTCCAGAACCTCCAGCAGAAACAACTCCAGTGGCAGAGTCACCAGCTCCAGCGCCTCCCGCAGTAGGGCCCCTAGCTCCAGCAGCGCGACCCTGACGGCCAGCGTACCACTCAAGCAGCTGCTGTGGGGAGAGAGGGAGTCGACGACGAGAGTGCGGCGGCGAGGCACCAGCGGAGCGACTACGGAGACGGCCGCTCCAGGGAGACTGCTCACCAGACGCCTCAGCGCCCCCAGGCTCAGCACACCCAGGCTCAGCACCTCCAGTCTCCGCACCCCCAGGCTTCGCACCTCCAGGCTCGGCACCCCCAGGCTCAGCACCCCCAGGCTCAGCACCCCCAGGCTCCGCACCCCCAGGCTCAGCACCCCCAGAAGCAGCACCCCGAGCAGGACCACCCTCAGCAGGACCCGAGTCACCAATGACCTCAACCGGCTCAGTCAAGGGAGGAGGGTCTACCTGAGACACACCTGAAGGAGCAGGACCGGGAGCGGGGAGGGGGTCTACCTGGGGAGCACCTGGAGCGAGGAAGAGCGGGGGGGGGGGGAGAGGGGCAGTGCGGTAGGGGAAGAGATGGTAAAAGGGAACCGACTCGTCGAACGTGACGTCCTGAGAGGGGAAGACACGGCGCGAGGTGGGGTGGTAAAACTGCCAACCAGGCGCGTCAGGGACAAAGCCAAGGAAGACACAAGGAACAGCGCGGGCGGAGAGCTTGTCCGCGGTGGTATCGCGGACAAAGGCACGAGCACCCCAGACCCGGAAACGCGACGCATCGCCAACCTTCCCCGTCCACAGCAGTGTGGGCGAGGTCTCCGGCAAGGAGACACGGGGCCAGAGGTTGAGCTGATGCGCGGCGTACCGGACCGCAAACGGCCACAGAAAATGGGGGGCAGCCGCATGGATCATGGAGGTACGAGCGACCTCCATGACTACTCCAATGCGGCACTCAGCAACCCCATTCTGCTGCGGAGAGGTCGGAAGCGTGAACGTCTGGCGGATGCCGTGCTCCGCACAGTAGGCTGCCAAGAGGTCTGAGGAGAACTCACCACCTCTGTCAGAGTGCAGACGCAGGATAGGAAAGTCCGACTGGAACCGCTCGCGGAGCTGGAGACGAACAGCGCGGATCCAGGGGATCAAAACATCAGGGACCTCCCCCTTGCTGCGCAAGGGGAAGACCGTGGTGTAACGCGTGTAGTCGTCGACGACCAGCAGGAAGTACCGCTCGTGGCCCTGTCCACGGACGCGGGCTGTGCCCCACACGTCCAGGTGGAGAGTCTGCAGGGGAGCCTCTGTGGGAGGGAACGAGGAGGAGTGAGGAGCGGCGCGCTGCCGCCCCTCGACACAGGGAAGACAGGGAGGAGCAGGCGAGGGTGGTAGAGGAGGCAGAGTCTCTGGAAGTCCAGAGACAAGGAAACGGCGGTGCATGCTACGAAGGCGCTGCACCGAGGGGTGACCAAGGCGGTGGTGCCAAAGGAGGGTCTGGTGCGACAAAGCGCGACACAAGCAGGGGGGCGCTAGCTGACCTGACGCAAACGCAGACGCAGCTACCTGAGGGGACACAGTAGTCAGTGTGTACAGACTCGAGCCAGGCGCTCGGGTGAACGTGGCCAGGTGCCGACCAGTCCGGGAGCACGTACAGTGGGTCACACGCTGACCTCTAGTGGTGAACTGGTCAACCCACACATCCTGTAGGTCAGCTCCACTCACCAAGTTCGTAGAGAACGAGGGGAGGTGAAGACCTGACAGGGAGCCAGATGGGACCGCCGGACACGGCAGGACCGTGGAGGAGTGTGCAAGGACTGGACCCCCAGAGGGGTCTGCCAGGGAGACTGCAATCGGCCGACGGAGCGGCGTGAGGGTGGTGCTGTCGCGAAAGAAGGAGCGGGAAGCACCTGAGTCAAGTGTGAAGGTGTACACGGCCTCAGCAGGCGCAGTACCAGAGAGAGCAGACTCACCAGCACCTGGAGCAGCAGCCTCACCAGTACCTAGAGCAGGAGACGCACTAGCACCTAGAGCAGCAGCCTCACCAGCACCTAGAGCAGCAGGCTCTATACCTGGGTCAGGCGGTACGCACAGGGAACAGGCACGGTCAGCACTAGTAGGCAATGCATACATGGCAGTGAGAATAGCATCATAGTCAAGAGCAAAGATATCTACTCTCTGTCCAAGCAGCTCCAGCCATGTGGGGAGCTCAGCCTCGTCGCCAAACTCGATACGCCAGGCGTCGCTCAGACGGGCGAAGCAGCGGGACTGTGTGTGACCAAGCGTCCCGCAAGCCTGACCGGTCCGATCACCTGTGCGAATGACGTACGGGCAGCGAACGGTACTCAAATACCCTCTACTCTGAGCGTACCACTCGTGAAGCTGCTGGGATGTAAGTGTCTCGCGTGGACGCCGCTGCAGCTGCAGCTGGCCACTGCCAGACGGTCCCAACTGACCAGCTCCAGGGCGACAGCTACGACGGCGACCGCCACAACCCCAACTAGCGTACCACTCACTAAGCTACTGGGGCGTGAGAGACTCGCGTGAACGTCGCTGGAGCTGCATCTGGCCACCGCCAGTAGCAGCAGTAGTAGGAGTAGCAGCAGCAGCAGCAGCCTAGCAGTAGTAGTAGCGCGGGCAGGGCAGGCGCGGCAGGCAGGCAGGCAGGCAGGCGTGGCAAGCAGGCAGGCAGGCAGGCAGGTAGGCAGGTGCTCACCAGTGGCGGGAAGGGCAGGCGCACGACAGCGGCGACGGCGGGGCCGCGACAGCTGCGGCAGAGCAGGACCGCGTCGGAGGTAGGGCAGGTCCGCGACAGCTGCTGCAGGGCGGGGACGTGACGGCGGTAGAAGGCTCCGCGGCAGCTGCTGCAGGGTAGGGCCGCGACGGCGGCAGGAGGCTCCGCGGCAGCTGCTGCAGGGCGGGGCCGCTACTGTGGCAGGGCGCTCCGCGGCAGCTGCTGCAGGAGTGACGGCGGCGTCCAGGGGCAGCCGCGGCGCGCGAGGCTGCAGTGCGCTACGCGAGCCGCGGACGCGGCGCGCGAAGCTGCCGCGGGCTGCGCGAGGACGGCAGCCGCGGCGCGCGGGGCTGCAGCGCGACGCGCGGGCAGCGAACGCGACGCGCGGGGCTGCAGCGCGACGCGCGGGCAGCGGACGCGACGCGCGGGGCTGCAGCGCGACGTGCGGGCTGTGGGCGCGACACGCGGGGCTGCAACGCGACGCGCGGGCTGTGGGCGCGACGCGCGGGGCAGCGACCTGGCGGGGCGGCGCCCTGGCCTGACGGGCCTGCAGGGGCGGCTCGCAGGCGTGACGTGTCTGCAGGTGCGGCGCGTGGGCCTAGGGCAGCAGTAGGCAGCACGAGGGCTGCAGGACGGCGCGCGCAGCGCAGCACGTCACAAGGCAAGGTAGGCAGGCAGGCCAACACGTGGGGTAACGCGGTAACCGCAACGGTAGGTGGGCCCGAAAAAAAAAACGGTCCTACGGACCTAGTGCTCTGAAACCATGTTAGAATCTAGCAGCAGGAATGAGTGAACTATGAAGGAGTTTGGGTACAAGTATGAAACCCTAAAAGGGGCTGTACCCCATATTGGCTACCCCACTACAGCCTACACATATATAACACGCATATACTTTGACAAAGAGCACATGCTGACAAGTGTTCAACCAGGAAGGCATGCCTCTGTCTGTACCATGACCTACAGAAATGCAGCAGGCAGCGTGGGTGCATGCATGCATGGCAGTGCATGTGCGTCAGTCGCCTTCCAGCAGGCAGTCCGCGATCATGCTCCTGCATGGAGGGTCAAGGCACACGCATGAGCGATGAGAAACAAGGTTGACTGCTCAAGAGTAGGCAAGTGAGCATGCATAACGAGTTGGAAGTAGAGAGGAGGCAAGGGGGGAAGGGGAAGCATTGCTGGGTGAGCAGAGTGGTATGGGAGAGTGAACAGCATGGGTCACCCTGACTCGTCCCCCTACCCCCCCCACCTCTCGCAGGCAGCGTGGGTGCATGCATGCATGGGAGTACATGGGCGTCAGTCGCCCTCCAGCAGGCAGTCTGCAATCATGCTCCTGCATGGGGGACACGACACGCGGGTACGAGTGATGAGGAGTATGGGTGACTGTTCAAGAGGGGCATGCATAACGAGTTACAAGCCAAGAGGGGCTACAGCATGACTGGGAAAAAACTATTGCTGGGAGAACCAAACTGACTCGTCTCCCTCTCCCCCGTACCTCTCGCATTGCCTGAGCCACTGCGCATAGCTCGCGCTGCCCGCCCTGCCCCGAGCCAGAAACGCCTCTGGCAGCCCCGCCACCCCCCCTGCTCCGCCTGCACCTGCTCCCGCTCCTCCTGCCTCCACTTCCCCCCGTCCGCCCTCCCCGTTCTCCCTTCCCTTTCCTGCTTCACCTTTCCCCCTTTTTCCTCCCAGCCGCGTGGCTTCCCCTGCTCCCACCACTCCCCAGCGGCAGCTGCAGCAGAGGGGGGAGGACGAAGGGGAGAGGGGCAGGGAAGGGGCGGCGGCTGCTGTGGCAACACCAGAAGCAGGGGGGTCAGGCGGGAGTGGGGGGGCGAGAGCAGGCGGGGGGAGGGGGGCGAGGCAGATGGCGCAGAGGGGGAGAGGGGGGCAGTCAGCAGCCGTGGGGGAGGGGGGTGCGAGGGAGGGGGGGAGGTTGAAGGGGAAGGGTTGCAGCTTGAGGGCGGTGCGAGTGACGGTAAACTGGCGCCCGCTGCTCTCCCTCTGCAACCCCTCCAGGAACGATGCTGCCAGCGCGTTAATGCTCCCCGCCCCCCCTGTGGCCCCACTCCCTGCGCCCCGCCGCAGGGAGGCACGAGTGGCGAGGGAGGGCGTGAAGGCGGTGGGGAGGCGGAAGAGGTGGGCGAGGAGGGCGAGGTCGCGCAGAGAGCAGTCGCGCAGCGGCCGCACCACCGGCACTCCCCTCCGTGCGTCCCACACCGCCAGGTCCGCTGGTAGGGCAAAGCCCTGCGCCTGGTGGGGGGGATGAGGGGGAGGGGCAAGGACAACAGGATGGGCGGGTTGAGTGAGAGTTGGAGGGCGGAGTGAGGGATGGGCAGAGAGCGACGACAAGCGAGAGCACCCGACTACCCACGTCCCTCATCCCAACCGCACCCCACAATCCACTCCCCACCTCACCTTAGCGGTGGAGGCGATGACATGCGCTGCAAGGCGAGTGGCCGTGCTGCCCACCACCACCTTGCTGCACCTCAGTCGCTGCGCCAGCTGGGGGTTGGGGAGATGAGAGGCACAAGAGTGGGGGCGAACTGAAAGGGGGGAGTGCCAGCAACCACATGGCCCATTCATGCATGCATGTGTGCACACACCACCATGCGCCAAGCATTGTGTGCGCACACACACTGCCCACCCTTTCCTCCCCCCCCCCTCGCACCAGCATCAGCGCGTCCAGGCGCAGAGCCTCCACCACGTCCTCCCTGCCCGTGCCCTCCGCTGCCCCCCCCACCACTGCTGCCAGCCGTGCCGCCAACAGCTCCGCCGTGCTCTCCCCATTACCCGTGTCACCCTCCATTGGCGCACCCCCCCCATCCGCGGGCGCACTCCCCCCGTCCGCCAGCCCACTCTCCAGACGCACCACGTGAAACGCCACTCCGTGCGGCCCCCCATTCTCCGCCCCCGCCCCTCGCCCTCGCCCCTCCCCTGGGTCACCCTCGCTGCAGTCACGTGCGCCCCTGTGCGCCGCGACAGCGTCACTCACGATCTCCCGCAACTCGCATGCCAGCCTGTCAGCAGTGCCACGTGGCAGAAGGTCATTCCCCACCGCCACGCGCTCGTCCACGTAGGCAACGGAGAGGCGAAACGGAATGCGCCCCCTCGCTGCCGCCCCTTGCGCGCCGAGCGGCGCGGCTCCTTGTGCGTGAAGTAGGGGTGACTGTATGGCGAGGAGAAAGTCGAGCGCGCACCTGCACCGATCGCATCAAATCAGATTCGATCAGATCAAAGCAAGGTTGGAAGGGGCTTCCATGGGAGGGAGGGAAACATGCGGGGCGGCCGGGGAAAGAGCGGCGAGGCGAGTGCATGCGGGGGTCCAGAGCGCGTCACCTGGAGGCGGCGCCGCCCGAGAAGGCGAGCAGCACGTGATCGTCCTTCGCGACGAGCTTGCCGCCATTCACGGCCGACTTGAACTTCCCCAGCAGCGCGCCGCGCAGACACGCCGCGCACAGCGCCTCCGTTTGATTCACCAGCGCCGCTGCGTCCGCCGCGCGGCACTTAATGCACCGCGGAACCTGCTTCTCCGCGCGCCGCTCCGCGGGCGCCACCATGCCCGCGGCCCAGGTCGACTCAAATCTCTCCTGGACGACGCTCGCGGAAAGTAGGGGGAACGTGGAGCGCAAGAGAGCAAGGAGCCGGCGAGGGGTGGGTGACGGAGAGCAGGCGAGGGCGGCGTGTGCGCGGCGTGAGGGTGGGAGCAGCGGGGTCGAATTTGTGTGCGGGGTGGCTGCGCTCCTCGATGTAAATCGTCCTCTTCACGCCATTTCTTCCAACCCCTTTCAAAACCCCACTCCCAATTCCGTCCCCCTCCGCACTTCCCCATCAACCCTCTGCCCCCCATGGCCATCGGCGCGCGGAGGGCTTTTGCCTCCTCCGCCCGCCGCCTCGTCTCCGCTCGCCTCGCATCCCCTTTCGCCCCGCGCTTTCCAACTTCCACATCACCCCTCGACGCTGCGCCGAATCGCCACCCCCTTCCCTCCGCTGTCCAAACGCACGCGGATGGCGCTGTCTCCCCCTCAGTGTGCCGTGCTTACTCCGCCGGGGGGGAAGCGCAGGGGTCGGCGGGCAGCGGGGCGTGGGCGCAGGCAGGGGGGGTGGAGGGGAAAACTGTGGGCGAGGGCGGCGAGCGGAGCGGATCCGCCACCACCCACTTCGGTAGGCAGCTGCCCCTCCCGCCCCGCCGCTTGCGCTGCTCTCTGCCATGCCCTGCTATGCCTCCCACTCATTCCCCCGTGTCTGTGCCGCTTACCTCGTGTGATCCACCTGTGCGCATTCCGCATTGCGCATGGCGGGGCGTGGCAGGGTACCGCGCGGTGCGCGAGGAGGAGAAGGCGGAGCTGGTCGGGGGAGTGTTCTCGTCGGTGGCGGACAAGTATGACGTCATGAATGACGTCATGAGCGGGGGCCTGCACCGTCTGTGGAAGGACAGGTGCGCCACGTGCCCCGCTGTGACACTCGTTCCTGCACATCCCTGCCTTTCTCTTCCCACCGCCCTCACCTTGCCTACCGTCCCTCCCAGCTCTCATCGCCCCTCTGATGCCCTGCGCCCCCTGCCCCATGTGTGCTCTAGACTGGTGCGAGCGCTGCACCCCTTCCCCCACATGCGCCACCTCGATGTGGCAGGCGGCACAGGTGGGCATGGTGGCATGGGGCATGGGGGATGGGGATGCGGGCATTGGGGCATTGGGGATGGGGACGTTGGGGTATGGGGGATGGAGGCATTGGGGATGGGGGCATTGGGGCATGGGGGATGGGGGCATTGGGGATTGGGGCATTGGGGCATGGGGGATGGGGGCATTGGGGCATGGGGGCATGGGGTTATGGGGGGTGGGGACCTTGGGGCATGCGGGTAATGGGACATGGGGGCATGTGATGCTGTGGGTCGATGTGATGGGATGTGTATCTCAGTGTACTGTACTGTGCTGTGATGTGATGTGATGCTGGGACATGATGTGCTTGTTGCGTGTGTTGAGTGTGTGCCGTGTGGGCATCGCTTCATGTATGCTCGTGCCCATCACTGCCCTCCATACACACCCCCCTCAGAGTCACTGCTGCCACCTTCGTCCATGGCCCCTTCTCCCCCCCCCCCCCCTGCCCCCCCCCAGGCGACATTGCGTTCCGAGTGCTGAGGGCCATTCGCGAGGCCGAGGCGGATCCACGGCGCATGGCGGCTGCTGCAGGCACAGGGAGGAGCAGCGGGGAGGGGTCGGGCGAGGCAGTGAGGGGGGCGCGGGTGATAGTGTGTGACATCAATGCGGACATGCTGCGCGTGGGGCAGCTCAGGGCGCAGCAGCAAGGTGTGGCAACACGGAGGCCAACGACTAGGACTCCACCAGCTTTTGCATGTGTCTCAGCACAGATCACCCCCCCCTCATCTTCATGTGCTCGCGTTCCCCCCTGCCACCCCCTTCCCGCACCTAATATCTTGTGCTTGTGGGCCTCCCCTATTTTCTCCACACCACAACCCCCTCCTGTCTTCCCAGGCTTGGCATCGGACGCGGCGCTGGAGTGGGTGCAGGGCGATGCGGAGGACATGAGTGCGGTGCTGGCGGATGGCAGTGTGGACGCCTACTCCATTGCCTTTGGCATCCGCAACGTCACGCGCATCCACCGTGCCCTCGCTGAGGCCCACAGGTCACCTCTCACCACCAATGCTTCCTGCCATGCCCTCGCCTCCCCTGCCCTGTTGTCTGCGTGTGCCCCTCACCTTGCCATTGCATCTGTGCTCCCCCACTCCTCTCTCTGAAAAACCTCCTCCCATACATGTGAGTGCACAGGGTGCTGCGCAAGGGAGGCCAGTTTGCATGCCTGGAGCTCAGCCATGTGGAGGACCCTCTCTTCAGGGCACTGTGAGTTGTGCCAATGAAAGGTTCAGGATTCAGGGTTTACCTTATTTGCTGCCACTTGCACTTCAGGGGGACATAAGTTTTGAATTTAACCCTCTCCCACCCACCCTTGGTTTCCCACACTCCTCCCCCCTTCCACCCAGGTATGACACGTACTCCTTCAATGTCATTCCAGCCATTGGCCAGGCAGTCACGGGGGACAGGGCGTCATATCAGTACCTAGTGGAGAGCATTCGCAAGTTCCCAACCCAGGTATTGTCTCCTCTGAAGAAAGTTCCACCTGAATCGTTGCAGACTCACACAACCCCTATTGACGAATGTCAATTTCTAATTTCCCTGTGTTCCCATCAGAGGAGATTCGCTCACATGATGGAGCAAGCAGGATTCAGAAATGTGTCATACGAGAACATGACAGGGGGTGTCGTGGCACTCTTCACAGGCTTCAAGTTGTAGATGTGGTTGCCACTGTCGAGTTCAACGATTCATTACAGGCAACTGCCACATCTACGTGCGAGTGCATATTGTGATACCCATGTGGCTGGAAGAGCGTATTCAGGTTTATTTCTAGATTTTTTAACATATCATAGTGGGTGACAGCAGTCAGGCAACAAAAAAGTCCTGGAGTAATACCAGGACGGCTTAAGCCTTGGTAACCTGCTCCTCGATGAGATCGGCGGCCTCCTGGACGGTGGAGATCTTCTCAGCACCCTCCTCGTCCAGGGTGATGTCGAACTGCTCCTCCAACGCCATCATGATCTCCACCTGCCAGGTCAACAAGACATCCACGCCCTCAATACCGAACACAAAACCACCAACCGCACGGTCCACTCAAAGCTGCGGCGGGACTAAAGCCTAAAGCAATGGCGAGCACTCACGGTGTCGAGGGAGTCGGCGCCGAGGTCGACGAACTTGGCCTCGGCGGTGATCTTCTCCACCTCAACGGCCAGCTGCTGCGCGATGATGCCCCGCACCTTGGTCAGGGTGTCTGGGGACGCCTGTACCAACATGGGGTCGACGGTCAATCAGGGGATCAGACCAGTCCTGGTAATAACCCGTTCGCATTCACGAAAACGGGGACTGGGGGGGGAAGCACGTAGGGAAAGACGTACAGCGCAGGAGATGGAAAGCCTCTGCGCCCGGGGGGTGAAGGAAACCACGGACTTGGCGACGGCAACCTTCGCGGGGGCGGCTCTCAAGCCGTTGAAGGTGGCAATGGTCTGCAGGACGAAGCGAAAACGGCGTCAGTACGTGAAGAAACTAGAGAATAATTGTTTAACCTAAAAGCAGTACGCTGTACCTTCTGGCTGCTGACAGCGAAAGCCATGGCTGCTGCGTGGAGTGGTAGCTTTCGGGCTGGAGTAGCAGCTAGGGTTGAGGTTTGGAAGCGGAGGTTGCAGATTGAGCGAAAATGAGAGCCCAAGGTGGTTTACTTTGAGCTCTCAGCAGCGAGGCTGGTCTGGTTAGATCCGTCCACGGCAGATGACCAATCCCACGGCGCTCCAGGTCACGATTGTGACGCGTGGCATGAAAAGTGACGGTTGCGGTTAAAATTCGCACGAAAGGGCCTGTCAACAGGTCACAACAACGGAGTGATCGAAACCAGCACACCATACCGTATTTTCATGTGCGGTGTAGCAAATAAAACTTTCCCGCTGCAGAGTGATCAGAGCAGCACATAAGGAAGGCTATATGTCTTTTACATGCACCTATTAGCCATGCCCTGGCCACTATTACGACATTAAAAAGCATTGGATAGGACATCCTTTATTTGCAATGTGGGAAATCTCGGTGATTTATAGACTCATACCGTATCAGCCAGCAGGGTTGATTTTATCTGTACGTATGATATGGATCATGATTCAAAGAATATAATAAAGGCATCCAACAGTTTGGCAATGTCTCACAGTTGTATCAGAATTCACAAAATATCGTTTTAGTCCTCTCGTTGTTAGTCCCCGCGCGTCTGGAGATGCGAGCAAGTTTGTCTGAGCATCGTCTCCGTTGATCCTCTTGGGATGCACGCACAGACCATCCTGCTGGGAAGCCGAGTCAGACAGGAGCAGGCCAATGGTTGTGGAGGCGGCCAATGGGAGGCGCTGTGTGATACGCTTCTGTGTGACCCTCGGTAATGCCGTGGAGTGGAGAGAGTGACGGTCACGCACAACCCATTTCCCAACCAATTTCATCTGCTTCTCTCAAACCTGCGATCATCTCTAAGGCTTCAAGATAATCCCCACAACTATCCGTGTAGCAGACGGGCCAGTTCTGCCTAATGGCTTGTTTTGCGGGAAAGGCTACAGCCATTAACCCTGCACACAGCGCTACTCTACTCAGACATTCGAACAAGATCCAACCGTGCAGAAACGGTTTACGGGTTCCAGCCACAGCACGCCGTAGAATCTTGTCAGTATCAATCATGGAGACGGATAAGCTACATGACATAAAGGTTCACAGTTCCATGCAAAATCAATCGAGTGGTGGAAGTATGCCAAATACCGGCGTCGACCACAAGATTCTTGGAATAGACATCGGCGGTACAAGCATAAAGGCAGCGCCGGTTGACACTCGGACTGGTCGGCTGCTAGCGGAACGGTTTGTCGTGCTGACACCCAACCCAGCCACGCCGGAAGCATGTGCACACGCCGTCAATCAGTGTGCTCAACACTTTCAGGTCAATAGAGTGTTCTGCTCACGCGATTATTTTCCAAAGTAGTACCTGCTGCTCGTTCTCAATCACTCATAGTATGCTTTATCGAATCATTGTGAGTGCAGTGGAAAGGAGCCGTTGGGATTGGCGTACCCGCAGTGGTGAAGGATGGAACCACATGGACAGCCGCGAACAGTACGTTCTCCAATCATGATGCTCCACTCTTTGTTCCTAGGCTGACACGCTCTGAGAAAATCTTCCTTCGTTCCTCAACCATGCCTTTTTGTAATCCTGGGCTGTGCCTGTCAGTCGACAGCAGTTGGGTGGGAGCGGACGTGGAGGGCCTGTTCAGCCGGGTAACAGGGCTGCCAGTCACGGTGGTCAACGACGCCGACGCTGCTGGCTATGCGGAGCTGGGCTTCGGTGCAGGATCGGGGGAGAACGAGCGCGGCGTGGTGTTCATTGTGACCTTCGGAACCGGCATTGGCACGGCCATGTTCGTGGATGGCATTCTGGTGCGATACACCCTCGCGTGCATACTACATGCTTGTCACCTGCTTGATTCCATCCATGCTCCATGCCATTCGTACTCCATCCATGCTTCATGTCTAACGGTGTCTCCCTTGGTGGCTGTGTGCAGGTCCCCAACCTGGAATTGGGTCACATGGAGGTGGATGGAGTGGAGGCAGAGGCGGCAGCAGCAGGCGTGCTGGTGGAGAGGAACGGGTGGACGTGGCAGCAGTGGGCTGACAAGGTCGCCTGGTACCTGGGCCACATTGAGAAGCTCTTCTGGCCCTCCAGATTCGTAAGCATCCCACCGGCCTCCTTTGTCCACCTTGAATGGCCACTTTTCATGCCTCAGTGTCCCTCACCCTGCTGCCTTGTTCCTATCTATGTGTTTGCTCGTCTCTGTGCGGCATCAGATTGTGGGAGGGGGAGTGAGCAATGCACACGAGCAGTGGCTGCATCTGGTGAAGCTGCCAAAGGGCACGCCCATCCTGCCGGCCTCCATGAAGAACGATGCCGGCATCATTGGTGCCGCCATGGCTTCACTCGCCCGCTCCGTCTTTGCCATCCGCCACAAGCCACAGCAGGTGGAGGACTACATTCAGGCCTGACCGCACCCGGGCTTCAAGCAGGCCACACAGGTTGCTGGTTATCCACTTGCCTGGATCAGTGGTGCTGCTTGCTTTGTATTGTTATTGCATTAATAATGACTCATTCCAGTTTCTGGCTACAACAGGACTGCACCAAGTTGAAGGAGATTCGAAAGAAGGAACCGCCACTACATGTTTGAGAATAAAAGCATGACGCATTGACGCTTCACAAGACGACCGAGTCACCAACAGTAAGAGATGGTACTATGAGGTGGAGCCACCACACCATCACTACCATCTACTGCGAGTGCTGCCACAACTACCCTCCCCTCCACTGCCCTCTGGTGCCATCATGCCCTGCCCCTCCACCTCTTCCTCCTGCACGCCTGCCCCTGCCACCCCTCCACGCACGGCAGCAAGTGACGGGCCCAAGGCAGGTGGTGAGGCAGCGGCAGCGAGAGGCACAGCGGGCAGAATGGCCTTGAGGTTCTGCAGATACTGAGTCATCTCCTGATGGGGATGAGCAGGCATAAGGTGATGACATGACAGCGAGAATGCCAGAGGGGTTGAGTGAAATCCAGCAACAAGGAGAGCGAGGGAAACAAGACATGAATCAAGAGTTTGTCTTGCATGTCTTGCACTCTCAGACCTGACTCACAGGCATTGTCCTCTACCCACTTGTCCCTATCCCTCTCACCTCCAGGCTCCTTTCCAGCTCTGAGACGCGAGCAGTCTTCTCTTGCAGCCGCCTCTCCGTCTCCTGCAGCCGAGCCCTCAGCTCCCACGGCCCCCCCTCCACCACCATTGCCTCACTCTGCATCCAGACGACACAGAACACACGTCAGCGGAGCACAGAGGAGGGATGGGGGAAGGAAAGGATATGGACGAAGCAGGGAACACGAAGGCGCTCTGCAACACACACCCTCCTCGCGGGTGCTTCTTACTCGGTGCCCTTTCTCATGCACACAGCCATGCAACCCAAGCCCGTCTCACCTCATCGTTCCCTTGCACGCTCTGCTCCCCATCCTCCACCTGTGCTCCTCGCCCAGCCTCCTGTGCTGCTTGCCTAGCAGCGTGTGCCTCTGCCCTGGCCTCCTCCACAATGCGCATTGCTGCCACCGCCTGCACCGCTGCCATACCTGCTGCCATCTCCCTCTCTTCCGCCGCACTCCCCCTTGCAGCCTCCATCCACCTCCCACCACTGCCCACGTTCCTGAACCTCAAAGGCCCTCCTCCCACTTCCTTTTTCCGCGACCCCCTTCCACTTGGCCAGGTCGTAGTCCCCTTCTCCTCCTCCTGCTCGCCCGTCTCCCTGCTGCCCCCTGCCGCCAATTTCCCATGATCACGCAGCCCAGCTGTCAGACCCACGCCACCCGCAATGTGCCCCCCCTCACACCCAGCTCCTGCCCTTCCCGGCCCCTCCCGTCCCCCTTCAGCAAGATTTGCTCCATGATTCGACCTGTGTGGTTGAATCAACGAACCCTCATTCAAACTCCACTCCCCAATTCCTGCTGCCAAGCCTGCTGCCGGACCTGCAGGCTCGGCAGCGATGCTGTTGACAGCCACATGCAGCTCTGAGAGCTGCAGGCCTGTGAAGAGTGTGAATGGGGAGGGGGCGGGCGCAAGTGACGGCGAGCAGTGGGGAGAGGGGGAGGAGGTGGGATGGTGGAGGAGGAGGCGACTGATGAGAGCATCTGCTGTGTCACCGTGTGTTGCCTCTTGCCTCGCCCTGCCACCTGCTGCTGCCTCGTTTGCCCGCCCAACATCCCCCTCACACCCCTTGCTGCTCTCCTCGCCATCCTGCTCCTCACCTTCTCTTGGCCCACCTCGCCCTGCTGATCGTGCTGACCTTGCTGTCCCTGCTGGCCCTCCGGACCTTGCTGCCTCTCCAGACCTGGTGAACTTGCCTGACTCCACAACCTTTCCAACCCCTTCCCACCTTCCTGCCCCCAAGTCAGCAGTTGCTACTGTGGCTGCTGCTGCTGCTGCGTCTGGTGCTGCTGCGACGACTGATGCTGCTGCGGTTGGTGCTGCTGGGCCTGCCCCATGGCTGGCTGCAGCGGAGGCAGCAGCGGGCCTGGCAGCAGGGGAGTGGCAGTTCACAGCAAGCTGGTCCAACAAAGCGCCCCTCAGCCTTCCCTCCACTTCGTCCTCCTCAGCATCTCCCCTCTCCCTACATCCAAGCCCCTCCCTCTTCCCACCGCCAGCACTCTCCGTCCCCCCACTCTCACTGCCAGGGCCCACGGGAGCAACAGCTGGTGACAGCCGCCTGCCTGCCTTCCCCGAGGCCCCTTTCCCACTCGGCACTGCATCACTCCCTCTCTGGGTCGTATCCTCCAACCAGCGCGCCCTACCCTGTCCCACCCCAGTGTGCCCACCCGTGTGCCAGTGCACCGAGTTGTGGGACGACTCTGACACCTCCCCGCCTCCCCCTCCTGCCCCCTCTGCCCGCTCTGCTCTGTGATGTCTCCCCCCATCACTTGCCGCCACCCCCTTTGGATGGACACCTCCGTCCCTCAGGCACATGCTGCCCCACGCCAGTGCAGCACACCCATCGCCCGCTTCCTTCTGCCCACCTCCTACGCCTGTCACCGCTGCCCCACGCCCCTGCACACTCGCACTGCTGCTCGCCCCCCTCTCCCCCTCGCCCTCCACTGCCCCCCCACCCCCACCTGATGTTGTTGATGCCACCACACTACCCACACCACCTACACTACCCACACCACCCACACTATCCACACTGCCTCTTTCCCTTTTTCTGCTCCCTCCCCTGCTGCCACTGCTGCTATCACTAGCACTGCTGCTTCTCTCTGTTTCCTCATCGTCCTCCTCCCTCCCTGTGCCCTCCTCCACTCCCTTCCCCCGCTCCTCCCCTTCCTCCCCCCCTTCCTCCCCCCCTTCCTCCTCCTCCCCATCCTCCTCCTCCTCCTCCTCCTCCACCAGCACGCGCAGGGCAACAGCCTCAGCCAGGGCCTGCCCTGCGCGGTCCAGCCACAGCTCCTGCTCGCGGCGGCGCTGCTTGCGCTTCTCCAGCAGCTCGCTCCTGAGGGCGTTCGCCGTGGCCAGGGCCTTCTCCAGCCGCCGCTTCTTCTTCTCCGCCTGCCGCAAACGCTGCTCCTCCTCACTCCCCGTACCCTTCTTCCGCCCGCCCCCCGCCTTCGCCCCATCTTTCTGCTTAGATGCTGATACCGACGCACCACTCCCCAGGGTGCCCCCGCTGCTGCACGCACTGCTCGTGCTCCCACTGCCCCCTGCTCCCCTGCCCCCATACACGCACTCCCGCTTCCGCTGCACCCTCTCCCCCTGCACCGCCCCTTGCTCTCCCCCCCCCTGCTGGCCGCCCGAAGCCCACCCTGCCCCGCCCTGCCCTCTGTCTATTCGTCCCCACCGCCCCTCCCTCCCCCTCTGCCTCCGCCCCTGTGGCTGCTGACCCCTGGAAGCGCTTCCTGCGCCATTACCAGCACCAGCAGCAGCACCAGCACAAGCACCATCGCCACCACCGCGAGCAGCAGCAGAAGCGTCTGGCTGGTGGGCATCCCTACAGGCAGCAGCAGCGGCGGCAGCGCCAGGCCCCTCTGCAGACGTGCGGGGTGAGCACCGGCTGCCATCGCCACCTGCTGCCACTGCTGCCGCTGCCGCTGCTCTCGCTGCTCGCGCGTCCGCCTCCACCTGTGCGTGTGACGCGGCGCCCGGGGAGACAGCTGCTGGCATTGCTGGCGCATGGTGAGAGGGGCGCGCACAGGGGGGGCTTGGCGTGGAGAGGAAAGGGGAGGTCGCGAGGGGAGGGGCGGGGCCAACAGGAGGCGCGCAAAACCTTACGATGCCGCAAGGGGCGCGGATAGTGTGCTGCAGCACGTACGGGGAAAAGGAACCAGGGGGCCCGGGGACCAAGGGGAAGCGAGTGTCTGGGGGAATTTGCGGAAAGGGCGCGGGGTAGTACGGTACGGGATGCGCGGCAGTGGCGCGGAAAGTGAGGGGTGGTTGGAAGGGCAGCAGCGGCAATGACGGGCCGCTGTGACCGGCTATCTCCGCTGCCCCGCCTCTCGCACTCTCTGCGCTGAGGGGGCCCTGGGGTTGGCGCGCCTGACTCGCACCCATCTGCCCGCGCGCATGGCCGTTGAGCAACGCCTGCGGCTGCGCCGGTGGCGCATGTGACGGCAGCGGAGACGGCCACGCAAGGACGTGCGCAGGCCACGCGGTACAATCGTGCGCGCGCTGCCCCGACAGCCCCGCGCGCAGCTGCGCCTCCTCCGATGCTGCGCCGCACCCCTCGATGTTATCGTGCGCGTGTCCGCTAAGACAATCTCGTTCGCTACTCATTGCTGCGCAACGAGCGGTGATGCGGTGTGGCGCGCAACGAGCGGTGATGCGGTGTGGCGCGCAACGAGCGGTGATGCGGTGTGGCGCGCAACGAGCGGTGATGCGGTGTGGCGCGCAACGAGCGGTGATGCGGTGTGGCGCGCAACGAGCGGTGATGCGGTGTGGCGCGCAACGAGCGCAACCAGCTGTTGGGCGGGTTACAAGGGCGCACAGTCTCACGGGGCCGTGCCGTTGACAGGTGGGCCTGTGTGCACAACAGTGGAACGCGATGCTTTTCTAACGGCCCTCTGCTCACAGATGTCACGAGGCTTGTGCGTGACTCTGACCTTTCAAACTGGAAAGTCAAACACACGCGCAAGATGAGAGCAGGGACACAAATTTTGGCCCTGTTTGAGCAGGGGGGCCTACACTCTTGATTCGTGACCTCCCATCCCAATCCCGCAGCACCTAGTCAGGCCTCGCTTTGCACCTCACTCGCACGTAGCTGGCCGATCGCACTGGCACGGCTATAGCGACTATCCCCTGTTTCTATCACCCGATCGCTGTGACCGTTCCTCCGCAGTCGTACCGCACGAGCAACAGAGCCACCTTCGCGCATCGCACAGTACCGTCTTTCCGCCGTACGTTTTCCGCCCCTCCAATGGACCCCGCGCCCATGGAGCCTTTAGACCCTGGCGGTCCCTCCGCGCCCCTCGTCGCGGACGGCGCAGGGACAGCGCGCGCGAGGCCGAGCGGCGGAGTGGTGTTCACTCCGCTGTACGGCACGCACGCCGACGAGCCGCTGTGCTACCACCTGCGGCTCGGCCGGCTGCACCTGCTGCTGGACTGCGGCTGGACCGACCTCCTCGACACGGACCTACTCGAGCCGCTGCGCGCCGTTGCGCCCGCAATCCACGCCGTGCTGCTCTCGCACCCCGACATGGAGCACGCGGGCGCGCTGCCGTACGCGTACGCGCAGCTGGGGCTGCGCGCGCCCGTGTACTGCACGGTGCCGGTGGCGCGGCTGGCGCAGCTGATGCTGTACGACCAGTTCCTGGCGCGGCGCAGCGCCGGCGACTTCGACCTGTTCTCGCTGGACGACGTGGACGCCGCGTTCGACGGCGCCGTGCGCCTCAAGTTCGCGCAGCCGCACGCCGTGGGCGAGGAGCGGGACGGCGTGAGCGTGACGCCGCTGGCGGCGGGGCACCTGCTGGGCGGCACGATATGGCGGATATCCGTGGACACGGAGGACCTTGTGTACGCCGTGGGGTTCAACCACAGGTGCGCCCTGCTGCAACCGCTCATCCCGCTGTCTCCCATCCCCCTCGCTTGCGCCATGCATGCTGTCTGCCCAGGATTGCTTCACCCTTCCGCATTTGCAAACCATGTGCTGCACGGTGCTCACACATTCCTCCCTTTGCCCTTGTGCCATGGCATGGCAGGGAGGAGCGCATACTGGGGCGCACGGTGCTGGACACGGCGGTGGTGCGCCCCGCCGTGCTGATCGCGGACGCGGGCACGGCGCTGGTGGCGCCGCTCAAGCGCAAGCAGCGCGACGCGCAGCTGGCGGAGGCCATGAGCAGCACGGTGGGCGAGGGCGGCAGCGTGCTCATGCCCGTCGACACGGGCGGGCGCGTGCTGGAGCTGCTGGTGCATCTGGAGCAGCTGTGGGCGGCGCAGGGGTGGGAGGTGCCCGTGGTGGTGGCGACGGGGGAGAGTTACAGCATGGTGGAGGGCGCCAAGGCCATGCTCGAGTGGCTCAACCCCTCCACTGCTCGCCACTTCGACGCCCAGCGCACCTCGCCCTTCAACTTCAAGTGCCCCTCTACTGCCCCTCGCCCCTCCTCGGCCCCCCTCTTTTTTTCTCTCTCTCGCTGTCTCACTCATCTCCACACCAGCAACCACATGCACACACAACTGATTTCCCCGCACCATGCTCTCCTTCGCCCCGTCATCTCCCGTCATCTCCCCAACCCCAATCTCTTCACCACCCCCTCGTCCCCCCACGCGCAGGTACATCCGGCTGTGTCACAGTGTGGAGGAGGTGGAGGAGGTGTCGGGGCCCAAGGTCGTGCTGGCGTCGCTCGCCAGTCTCGAGGCCGGCTTCGCCCGGGCGCTCTTTGTGCGCTGGGCGCCCGACCTGCGCAACACTCTGCTCTTCACCTCACGCGCCCCGCCCGGATCGCTCGCCCACACGCTGCAGACCCAGGTGGGTGCGCGGATGGCTCCACTGGTGTTCCTCCCCACCATATCATCACCCTGCCGCACGTTCCTCCCCACCATATCATCACCCTGCCCTCCCCAATCTCTCCCCCAATCTGTGTGTCTCTCCCCTCCTCCGCCCAACCCTACCCCCCAGGACGTGCGGTTCCCGGTGGTGAGTGTGAGCATGAGCGAGCGCGTGCCACTGGAGGGCGAGGAGCTGAGGGCGTACGAGGAGCAGCAGCGGCAGCAGCAGCAGGCCGCCATGGACGCCGCTAGGGGGAGCGAGGCAGAGGACGGGCAGGGGGACGGGGAGGAGGGGGAGGGGGAGAGGGAGGGCGAGGGAGGGGAGAAGGGGGAGGCGAAGGAGGAGGCGGATGGGGAGGTGCTGGATGGGGATGACGCAGGTGGGTTGATGGGGCAGGTGGGTTGATCGGGCAGGTGGGTTGATGGGGCAGGTGAGATCAGCTGCTGTGAGCGCATGTGCCTGCCCCCCTTGCTTCATTGGCGCTGTCTGGCAGTGATGTCAATCACCTCATCACCCGTTTTCCCCTCCCTTGGCCCTCTCTCCCCCGCCTCTCCCCCACCACCAGAGCCATCCCCCGCCCTGCTGCCCCCCTCCGACGTCTTCTGTGAGGGCTTCTCCCCACTGCCCCTCGCTCCCTTCCCGCGCACTCTCCCCCGTCACGCGGCGTCGCGCCCACAGCACCGCGAGGGGTGGGTGGCGGGGCCGGTGTTCCCGTGGAGCGAGGGCAGCGGGGGCGGGGGGCGGTGCGACGAGTATGGCGAGGTGGTGGACGCTGATGGGCTGGCTGCCGTGGTGGAGCACATGCGCGGCCCCATGCGGGTGAGGGGAGAGAGACGGGGGAACGAGGGCCGACACAATGCGGGTGTGGGTGTGAGGTGGGGCGTGTGGTTTGGGAATGGAGAAGTGGCGGTGAGGTGGGTGCAGTGGCTGTGATGGGTGGCATGTGGGATGAGAGGCAGCGAGTGGAGCACACAGGTTCGCTGCCATGTCAGCACAGCAGTGAGCGGCATTGTTCCCATTGCGTCCACATGAACTGCATGCGTACTAGTTGCTCGTCCCACAACCCCTTCCCACTCCCGTTGCCTCTACTCCCCCTCCCTCCTCCCGCCTATCCCCCCTCCCCTCCTCCCCCTCTTCCCCCCTCCCCACCCCCGCCAGCCAACGGTGAGTGTGATGGAGGCGGCGGGGGTGGACATGGCGGCGCTGGCGGAGGCGGAGGACGTGCTGGCGGGGTTGGAGAGGCCCAGCCGCGTGCGAGTGGACCACGTCACCGTGCACGTCAACTGCGCCATCCGCTCCATCGACTACGAGGGGCTGGCGGACGGCCGCTCCCTGCGCACCATGCTCGCCCACACCCACCCCCTCTCCCTCGTGCGTCACCCTCCGCTCCCCGCCTCCTCTTTCCCCTCTTCCGCATTCCCTTATGCCCTCCCCATGCTTGCATGCCCTCTGCCTGCTCGCATTCCCATTTTTGGGCGCCTCTGTCCAACCCATGTCTCCATCGTCTACCCCCGTGCCTGTGGTGGACGGTGCATGGGCAGGTGTTGGTGCACGGCACAGAGGAGGGCACCGCCAGCATGCAGCAGGCAGGCATCTGCAGCGACTGCATGGCTCCCCGGCCTGGCGAGAGCATCGACCTCACTCCATATCTCGCCACCTTCCGCGTGAGAGCGCATGCCCGGGGGGCTGGAGTGGTGGACAAGGGAGGGGGAGGGGGTGTGTGGCAGGGATAGGGAGGTTGTGGTGGTATAGTGAGGTAGGTTGTTGCATGATGACATGGTTGGTAGCGTGCATAGGCACGTGGGTGCAAGGTGGGTGGGATATGGCCGTCGCATACCCTCATCCTCTGTTTCCTCCTCCCCCCTCTCCTGTGCTGCCATGTGCCTCCCTGCCATGTGTGCTGGCGGGCAGGTGAAGCTGAGTGACGACCTGCTGAGGGGGCTGCAGTTCCACAAGGTGCGCATGCCGCTGCCTGCTCGCTGCCTCCTGCTCCTGAGCCTTGCCATTGCTTCATGTGTGCACACGTGGACACACATGCATGTGCCGGCCACTGCCACTTTCCCCCATGACTTTGGCATCTCAGAGGCACACATGCCCAAGCGCATGCTGCATTCCTGGTGGATCTCCGCAACCCAATGCTCGTCTGCTCCCCTCTGCCCTTCCCCTCCTCCAGCTACGAGACGACTACGAGGTGGCATTTGTGGAGGGTCGTCTGCACCCCTCCTCCTACGCGCCGCCCTCTGCCTCGCTCTCCCTGCTGCCGCGCATCACCGGGCCCCCTCTGCTGCCCGCGCCCTCGGGGTCAGGGGCAGGCGGGCAGGGGGCAGAGGGGGAGGAGAAGGGGCAGGGGGGAGGTGGAGAGGGGGGAGTGGGAGCGGAGGAGGGAGGGGCGGGTGGAGGGGGAGCACGGGCGCTGATGGAGCTGGTGCCGCTGGAGGGGGATGGGGAGGAGGCCAAGCGGCGGGCGGTGATGGTGGGTGATGTGAAGCTCTCGGAATTCAAAGTGCTGCTGCAAGCCCAGGGACTCCAGGTACCCTTGGCCTGCATGTTGCACCGCCGAAGTCCATCCTTCAATGTCATGCCACTCTTTGTTGCAGGTGCACTCTTAACCTTTTTACCGCTACATCTCATTGTCTTCCCTGTGCTTTCTTGATTCAGGCTGGGTTCGTGGAGTCGGCCCCTGTAGCAACTGCCGGATCTGCTGTTCTCAAGTGTGGAGATTCTCTTGCTCTGAGAAAGGTGAACTGCCATTCCATACTGTTTTTGCTAGAAGCACCACTTACTCCACCCCCACTAACGGTTGTTGCTGATGTTTGTGCAGGTTCCAGACCACAGGCTTGTACTCGAAGGCTCGCTGTGTGACGACTACTACAGAGTTAGACAATTGCTGTACTCTCAATATTCAACATTGTAACTTGACATTTCTATTGTTGGCTTGTAGTGTGGAGTGTGGCTGCATTATTACGAATTATGTTTCAGTATTGGTTCAAGCAAAGACAAGCGGCATTGCCGTGCTTCGCACAGACCATCTCGATTTCGCCTGCACATCTACTGAACCTCGAAGAACAGGGTGCTTGCGAGACTAACAACATCTCAGCCTGTTTTCGCATTCGTCGTCAAGGCCTGACCTGAACATCGCGCACGCATTGCCTTGGTCGCAACAATGCGTTGCTGAAAGAGGATAACACACGAGGCGAGCTGTGCCATCCTAACCTTGCACTGCACGCGTAGTGTGGTGGTGGAGTGGAGAGCACTGGATGACGCAGAGTTGGACCAGTGCAGGTGCCTTCCATCACCCATGGCTGCCGCATTACTGTGGGCAGGTCGATGACCGTTGATTTCAAGCGAGGGGCTCGATTGAAGTGAGAGCCCGCGACTGTGTGGTAGCAGTGTGGTGGACTCAAATTACGCGTGCCCCACTCATTCGCGTGTCGCGGGCCCCACGGTCCGCCACGTCCAGCGCTATGGCGTCGCTGCCACCGCAGGACGCGACATCCCACGACCAGGACGCACGCGATGCTGCCAAGGAAGTGCTTTATTTATTAGCTCCCGCGAGCACAGAATTTACGAATCACCACTGCAGCAGCCATCCTCCCTCCAGCAGCACCAATCCAGCGCCTTTACCCCCAACGATCGCAACTGACCTTCTCGTCGGACGCCTCACCGCACCCACGCGCTTCGCGTTCCGCCTCCTCTCGTCAATCCCGCCAACCTCGTTCCGCCTGTCATCCCCAGCGCCGCACTCCGTGCGCGTCTGATCCCCGCCGCCATGGCGACGGCGGCCTTCCCCGCGCTCTCCTCCACTGTGGCTCCCGCGCCCTCCGCCCTTTGGTCCACCAACCTCACCGTGAGTTTCCCAGCCCTCCCCTTTCTGCGCGTGCTCTCCGCTTCCCCCATCTGCGCGCGCTCTCCGTTCCCCGTGCTTTCCTCCCTCCTCTCCCCTCATCCTGCTCAACTCCCCCTCTCCCCCCGACCCCAGGCGCCGTACCCGACGAACGCGCCGTGGCAGAACTTCGTGCTGGGGCAGGGCGGCAACCCCGAGCTCGTCACGCCCTACATCGTGCAGAGCGCGGAGGGGCGCGTCGCGTGGGGGCTGCCGGTGCGCGACCCGCAACCCGGGTACATCGTGCAGGCGTTCATCACCACGCTCATGCTCTCCACGCTGCAGGACCTTCCCCCCCACCAGCTCTCCGCCTACGACGACCTCTCCGCCACCCTCTCCTTCCGCCAACCCTCCTCCGCGCCCTCCGATCCCCCCGCGCTCGAGGTCCCCCTGGTGCGCGGGTCCCCCTTCCTGACGTTCATATTCCCCCCGGGCGGCCCCCAAGCGACGCCAGTGCTGACGACGATCCACGCCATCACGGGCGTGGAGGCCAGCGGCGACAGCAGCAAGTACCGCGTCGCTCTCAACAACGGCCAGGTCAGCCCTCCGCGCCATCCGCGCCCCTTTGCCACCCAGCGGCTGCCGCCGTCCCCCCCTCCCCCTCTGGAACCAGCCCCATTCCCGTGTCTCGCTCGCCATAATTCTTACGATTTCCCCCCTCCACTTGCTCGCTCCCCATACTCACCTCCTCCTTCCGCGCGTTTCCCCCCCAATCCCCTGCCCCTACACCAGACGTGGCTGCTGTACCTGTCGTCGCCACTGGCGCTGCGGCAGGACGGGTCAGCGCTGGTGGCGGACGCGCCCTTCACGGGGACGATGCGCGTGGCGCTGCTGCCCGGGACCTCTCCGCAGGACGAGGAGGCGCTGCTGGACGCGCACGTGCCCACGGTGCCGGTGGGGGGGAGCGCGCAGGTGGGCGCGTTCCGCATCAAGTACACCTGGCGCACTCAGCACTGGCGCGAGCCGGCTGACGGCGACATCGAGGCGCCGCTGCTCATGCTCTCGCTGCCAAGTGAGTTGTGCTGGTGCTGCTGTGCTGCAATGTCACCTGCAATACCGTCGCAAGCGCCATGGTGTCTTAACAGAAATCCTTCATCGCCCTCATCGTCTGTACATCAAACTAACCCCCCTCTCACTTGTTCCTTCGCCGCTGCTTATGCTCTCGCTGCCAAGTGAGTAGCGCCGTGCTGCAACTTGTGTGGCCATGTGTGCTTCTGTGTCACCTTCCCTCATCGACTGTCCGTCACACTAACCCCTGCTCCCTTGTTCCTTCTCTTTCCCCTCTTCCCCTCACTCCCCCATGAGCAGTGCATCGGCGCATGGAGGTGAGCGCACACAACCCCTCCCCTGCCTCCGCCCTCCGCCGTCACAGCAGCGGCTCCCCCTCGGGTGCCATGACTACCATCCGCGGCCACCACAACCCCGCCTCTGCCGCCCCCTCCAACGCACGCAGCAATGGAGCAAGGTCATCGGTGGCTGATGCGTCGGTGCCCGATGCATCAGTGCTGGCATACCCCACCATCGACGGCCACGCGGTGGGCATGCAGGGAGCGGTGTGGCGCCTCAAGGTGCCCAAGCGCCCCTCCACATGGCGCGCGGGGCCCCTCTCGTCCGACACACAGCTGCTGGACGAGTTGAGGGGCAGCCTCAAGCAGGACGTGGCCGCGCTGCCGCCCCTCTCCTCCCCCTCCACCTACCCCTTCGGCAAGGCAGCGGCTCGTGCCGCCCGCTTGGCGCTGATCGCGAAGCAGGTGCGCGACGAAGACAGCCTGGCCGCCGTGCTGCCGCCCCTGCGGACCGCACTCTCCGCGTGGCTGGACGGCACCTTCCCCGGTAACCGCCTGCTGTACGACCCCACGTGGGGCGGCGTGGTGAGCGAGGCGGGGTCGCTTGACCAGGGGGCAGAGTTTGGAGCGGGGATGTACAACGACCACCACTTCCACTACGGCTACTTCATCTACGCCGCTGCCACCGTCGCCAAGTTTGACCCCGCGTGGCGCGACCAGTACCGTGCGCCGCTCAAGGACCTGATGGCGGACTACATGTCGGCGGAGCGCACCGCGGCATTCCCGAGGCTGCGGCACTTTGACGCGTACGCGCTGCACTCGTGGGCCAGCGGGCTGTTTGACTTTGGCGACGGGCGCAACCAGGAGAGCTTCAGCGAGGCGGCCAACGCGTACTACGCGGGGGCGCTGCTGGCCTCCGTGCTCGGCGACCAGCCGCTCGCCACGCTGGGCGCCACGCTCGCAGCCGTAGAGGCCCTCGCCGGGCAGACCCTCATGCACGTTCCGCTCGCCTCGTCTAATCCAGATCCCTCCCTCTCACCCGGCTACGAGGCGGTGTTTGCGGACGCCAACCGTGTGGTGGGTGTGCTGTGGTCCACCAAGCGCGATGCAGCGCTGTGGTTCGCCCCGCCGGCGGACCTGGAGAAGCGCGTGGGCATCCAGGTGCTGCCTGTCTCGCCCTTCCTCGCGCACCTCTTCCCCGACCACGAGTTCGCCAAGCAGCTCGTGGAGTGGGCACAACCCGTGCTCAGCGGTGCTGCCACGGACGAGTGGCGCGGCTTTGCATGGGCGGTGCAGGCGCTGTATGATCCTCAGGGGGCCAGGGCGAACATTGCTGCTCTAGGTGCCTTCGATGATGGCAACTCCAAGACCAACATGCTCTGGTGGCTCGCTTCCAACATGCCATAGTAGGTAAGGTTGCTCATGTATGTTGATGCTCGTGCATGTACAGGATAGCTTGCGCACAGCCTTTATCACATGTATATACAACATTATTTATATACACTCATGGTGCTGCTTTGGCATGAATTGCCTCCTGTTTTCTTTCCCAAACACAGTAGCCATCTCCAGAAGCAGCCACCTGGTACTCTGCCTCATTGGGAGCCATGTCCCCAATGTCATAGCGCGGGCCTATCTTAACAACCAGCCTGCCGTCAATGTCAGCCAGATAGAGATCGTCCTCAGCCGTGATGATGCTGCACTTGCTCTTGGAGTGCACCCCACTGCTCTTCCTGATAGCCAGCAGCGCGTTGATGGCCTCCTTATGGCCCCACTCGTAGTAGTGGTCGTAGAACTGCAACACACATGACATCAACCATAATGTTATGTCACTCGTTTCCACCTTGCCAGAATGCACGTTGCTGTGGTACCTTGAAAGAGGTACTCACCAAGCATGGGATGCCTGGATGCGTGAGGATGTATGCATAGCCCTGCATCACTTTGTCTCGCGGGAAGGGCCAGTGGCCCTGAGTGGAGCCGGTGTCATGGTTGTCAATGAACGTCACTGCCCGACTGGGCCAGTACCCAATCATCCCTGCACACCAGAATCACAGGATTAGAGAATCATGCAGAATAGTATAAATCAGGAGATTATCATATGCATATTCAGCAGCAGTACTCCTCTTCCACCCACACACCTGCAGGCTTGTTGTTGGGGTCACGGAGGCGCCACAGCTCGCCCTGAACGGCCTCCTGCAGGATGCCTTTGGTGGTGAAGTCGAAGGCGGTGGAGCGGCCGTCAGTGGCGTCCACCCAGTCCACCAGCTGCTGCCGGTGGCTGTCCTGGTTGTAGTCCGGCTTCTCGCCGTCGTAGTTCATCGTCGTCCACAGCTCGCCCACGGAGAATGCGGGCGACGTCGCGTCGCAGTACTTCCCCACGAACTCGCCTGCGAATCCTTTCGCGAAGTCGAACCGCCAGCCGTCGAAGCCGACGTCGTTCTTGAGCCACAGCATCCACTCCGTCAGCTCGCGCTGCACGCGCTCGTTCGTGTGGTCGATGTCGGGAGCTGCCGGAAAATCCTCGCCTGTGTCCGGACGGCCATGGCCGCCGAAGGGCGAGTCGCCCTGCGTGATGGCCCAAGGACCCCAATCGAGGCGATCGTCGGGCGTGCCGCCCTCGAAGATGGTCCAGCAGCCGTTCTCGTCCTGCTTGTCGCCGCACCGGTGGTTGATCACGATGTCCGCGATGCATCTCACGCCCGCTCCGTGAAATCGTCCAATCAGCTCCTTCAGTTCATCCTCGCTTCCGTAATGGGACTCGTCAAGGTTGTACAGCTGGCTTGGCATGTATCCTGCAGGTAAAGTATATCGGGTGTGAGATGTTTCGCGAAGCGCAGGTGACCGTTCGCAGTGTTTTCGCTATTTGCTCACCTTGGGGAGCCACTGACTTGCTTGGCGGCGGTAGCCATACGTCCGTGATTCCCGCTGCAGAGAGCTCTCCTGGCAGGTCCATGAGTCGTTGGTACCATCCTTCGTTGCAGTTGCAAGATTCCCAGTTGAATCCCTGAGAATGACGCGGAAATGAAGTTAGAGAAACGACCGCGGTTACGTTTTTGAACGAGTAACAGGCGATGCTTTCAATTCATCCGACCTGAAAAATGACTACTTCTGTCGGCTTGACATCAATCTGTTCAGAGCGTTCAGCCGTCTCAGACGGTGAGGCGACTTCCTCCTTTCCGGTGCTGATGGCTGCCATGACCGGACTTGCGTTCTTTTGGAATTTCACGGGGTAGCGGATACCCAGATTTAGTGGCGAGATGACCCACGTTTTTTCTCTTGGCGGCTTAGAGTTCCTTGAAATGCTAGACTTCGTAAGCAATGCGTGCGTGCCAGAAAGGCTTTGCGATAAGACTGTGGAAGCCATGGAAGCCATGCAAGTGGATTCGAAGGAACGGAAGTGTTGTGAGAGCAGAGAGACTTGTAAATTTCTAGAAATAAAAATTGAGGAATTATGTGCGAGCTGGTCTCAAACTTGCCGCGACTCGACCAACCCAATGTTTTGTTGAAATCAGCGAGAGGATCCCAGTCACGGTGACTGGCGTCCGTCCCGACGAATAGGGTAGCTTTGCTGGCTGTGTTGACGGTGGACCGTGACGATTTGGCAGCTCCGACATCTGTAAAATGCGGTGGAGGTGCCACGTGGGGGTGAGCGAGGTGATTGTCGGCTCAGTTAGCGAAACTCAAACATCTTTGCGGTATCCAATTTCGCAAGTTTCGCACAAATCCCCTTTCCCCATTTTGCTCGGCACTCGCAACATTCCCCAGCCACCCTCATCCATCTTCCCCCTATCCGCACCACTTGCGCGCCCATTCCTGTCGCAACGCGCGCCGCACTTACCGCCGCATCTGCCATCCGCGCTTAGCGCTAGCGTGCAATGGCAGGCGCCCCACCGCCGCTGCACCCGGCGCTGGAGCCGATCGCGTTCATGCTGGGTCGATGGCGTGGCGAGGGCGAGGGCGGTTACCCGACCATTAACTCGTTTAGATACGTTGAGGAAATCACACTCACGCATGCCGGCAAGGTGAGCACCCGTCGCATGCTTCCTCGCTCCCTAGAACCGGCCTAGCTCAACGTCGTGCCGTGCTATCGCACCCATATCTCCCACCGCCCTCTGCCTCCATTTCCGCATCTGAGGGTCCCGCCTACCCCGCTCCGCGCATCCCTTCCGCGTCTCCCGCTGCAGCCGGCGATGGCGTACGCGCAGAAGACGTGGCGCGCGGAGTCGGGCGAGCCGATGCACGCGGAGAGCGGGTTCTGGCGGCCCAAGCCGGACGGCACCCTAGAGATCGTGATCGCTCAGAGCACATGCATCGCTGAAGTGCAGGTGGGCTGCCGCATTGCCGCCAGGTTTCAAGCCCCTGCTATGTCCCGTTTCCATTACCACTGTCTAAATTAGCCGACCGTTCGTTACTAGAGAGCGACTATACTTTTCCTCCTCATGCCCTTCTTTCCTAACACCCCTTCCTCCTAACTCCTTCCTTCATCGCTCTGTTTCCACCCCCTGGGGCACTTCCCCCGCGAGCAGAAGGGCAGGTACGACGCGGAGGCCAAGACAATCGCCGTGGAGAGCGAGCTCGTTGGCAACGCCACCAAGGTGCGCCGCTTGCTTCGTCACCCCTCCCTATCCATCTCCACCACTGCGACCCGCTCTCTCGTTCTCTCTTTCCTAAGTAATTTTTTGCCTTGCTCATCCCTTACGCTTTCCCCATCCCCCGCTTTCATCCCTCCGACCTCACCTCCCTCCTCCATATCCGCTACCCCATGACACCCTGCTCACCATTCCTGCCCCTTCAACTCCGCCCCCCCTCGCGCGTGTGCAACGGAGGGCAGGTGCGGCGCATAGTGAGGCACTTTAAGCTGGAGGGCGAGGGCACACTGGCGTACACAGTGGACATGGAGACCACCTCGCAGCCCATGCAGAAGCACCTTGATGCCCGCCTCAAGCGCCTTGATTGACTCTACACCAGTTACTCGCTGGACCCTATAAATTTTTGCAGAACCACATGGTTTCTGCACCTGCTATCATGTGTAAATGTCAAGCCTATACCGGCCTGTAGTCTGGCACTTGTGAAAGGAGAATAATTTTATTGAGAGCTTGTCAACATCATTGCCATGCCATGGCAGTGCAGTCACGCAATGCTCTCATCCTCAACATCAAACCCTGCACCCGTCCACTGCCCATCCCCTCCCGCCTTGTTTCCCCCCTTGGCAATCAAGCCCCTCCCCCGCCCCCTGCCTCTCCCACGGCTTATGGACAGCCGCGCTGCTGGCGCTCCTCCCCCATCCGCTCCTTTACCGCCATTTGCTGCTGCTGCTGCTGCGGCGCCAGAGCTACCTTCCTGCCCTTGGCTCTGCGCATCCCCCTCTGCCCCCTGGGCTTTGGGGGTGGTGGCGGGAGCATCAGCTATTGACGCGGGTGCCGTGCTGTTGGCGGCGTCCGCAGGGGCAGCTGATGGGGCGCACGTGCCCTGGGCAGACGCAGGTGCTTCCCTGCCTTGGGCTGCTGTTTCAACATTCGATGTCTGCAGATATGAACAAACAACACCAGGGAACACGGCTTTTGTGTAGTGTAATCGAAAATGTGATGAGCAACGACGAGCAGAAAGCAGACCGGCATACAGATGGAAGGGTAGAGAGCAAGCTGGTGGGGGAAGGAAGGGAGGAGGAGGGCAGAGCGACTCACATAGACGGGGAGGACGCCGTGGGGGGCGATCTTGGCGCGCAGGCCCTGAATGGCCTCCAGAGCGGGGCCCCTCATCTCGGGGTTGAGGGCGTCCAGCTTGTGAGTCAGCGCCTCCAGCCGCTCGTACTGCTGCAGCGCGTTCTGCTGCACCTGGTGTGTACCACATGCAGGAGGGTGGCAGAAACGGCGGCACAATGCAGCAGTGGATGGGGCATAGAGGATGCAGGGAAGCGGATGAGAACAGGAAGGCTGGTTCCAGCAAAAGATTTTCTCTAGACTGCAGCTCGCCTAAACAAGCTCTATGGCTGCGTCAGCGCCTCCAGCCGCTCGTTCTGCTGCAGCGCGTTCTGCTGCACCTGGGGGAGAACATTGGTGAGCGTGGTGGGGAGGGACAGCGGCACATTGCGGCAGTGGATGCAGCACGGGGGATGCAGGTGGCGGAATGAGGACAGGCAGGCTGATTACAGTGGATATCCACCATGAATGCATTGGAAAGGAGTGATGGTAGAAATGAGTGATGGTGGAAAGGAGTCCCTTGACACAAGGGGCCTTACCATCATTCTGAGGTCATCACACAGCTGCTGCTTCTTCTGTTCCTCTTCCTCCACCAGCTTCGCTGCTGCCTCCCATACCTGCATGCAACCACAGGCCGCAACTCCAAGATCAGCTGGCTAATCCTGTCCCGAACACTTAAGAATACTGTGAGAAACAGATTGGCGGTTCCTCAACCAGCTGCATGCCCTCCCCCGTCCACGCACAGCCGTCCCCCCCCCACCTTCTTGGCCTGCTCCTCCTTCTTGCGCAGCAGCCTGGCCTTCTCCGTGCTCTGCTCGATCTTCTGCCTTAGCAGCTCCATGCCCGCCTTCTTCGACCCCGACGTGAGCTTCACCTCCAGGTGCAGCGCCTCCAGCTCCTTCTCCACCGCCTGGATCTTTGCGTAGTTGTCCTGGATGATCCTGATACCCCCCGCCGCCACCACCACACACACGCGCGGATATTATCAGGTGAACCACCACGAGCATGGTCAATTCGGGGCATGAGAAGAGGTTCAGACTGCTTGGAGGGATTAGTGCAGATGGCTGGGATCGAAAGGATGCTTACTTTCTTAATGTCGCTTCTTTCTCTGCCAAGACCTGCATGTGCGGTGGGGGGTTTGCGGTATGTCAGAAAGCATTCATGAGCAAAACGCATCAAACGAGGCAGTGAGAAGCCGACCTTCTCCGTGTACGCGATAACAGGGATTTCCCCGGCCACGCCATCGACTGTTTCTGCGACAAGCTTGCTGGAATCCATCTTATCCGGAAGCGCCACTGCCGCGCTCGAGGCTTCCGTGGCCATTCCTTTTAATCGCTACGCTAGCTTCGCGAGTAAGGTATGTTCGAGGCAATGAGAAGGGTAGGGCAACAAGGGCCCGTGGCCTGCTCTAGGGAGTGCGATCAAGGCAATGGGGCATCAAATGTTCGACGTTGCCCTACAAAATGCACGCCGACGGTTGCCTTTCATTGGGGAAACTTTAGATGGTGTCAATCTCGCGAGATTCACGGTGGGGTGAGTGAAGCAAGTTGCTGTGAGCATTCTCAAACATTGATGCAGATCGTGGCTTTTTTTGTGAGGAAAACACACATGCCCTAGTGTAGGCCAACGAAGGAGCTGAATTACCGCTGGACTGGACTGAAATACACTACGCTTTTTTCAATGCCAAACCAGCACATCTTATATATTGTTCTTAGCTTCATAGAATTAGTCACATCCATGTTTGTCAACATCCATGTTCAGTTTCACTCACAGGAGACTCCCTAAAATCCAGAAATCACATTTGTCAGTATGTGTGCCTACATTTCAAATATTCCCTTCACATATACCGCTCCTTTCTCCATAATCTGCAATTCCCGTCGCAACCGGTCAATGATTTCATCATCCCCTTGAAAAGTAATGTCGGTCACCTTTTCATCGTCAGAAGTCACCATCTTAACCTGCATCTGCTCCGTGCGACTAGATTTTGTCCAGTAATAAACACCTCTGCAGCAAGCCCCACCAAAAACAAAAATAAAGGAATCAAATTAGACAAGCCGGAATTCGCGCTAAGACTGGAGCAGAGGCAGTTGAAATGCAAATGCATATGGAAAATACAAACAGAAGCTGAATAACTTGGAAAAGAAGTAAGAGAGAAGGGGGTGCTTACGCAAGGGGTGAGATGCCGATCATTGAATACCACCATTCACCAATCTCCGGGTTTGTAATGGTGAGCACAAGAGCCACACTTGCAAGGCTCAGAGCTGTGCAGAACACAAGAAATGCTGCCTGGCTGCGGCTAGGCTCCAATTTCCCCTCAAATCTGCAGAAATTGGATTTCATACTTGTTGAATGGAAGACTAGGGAGAAGAGCACTACCCAACATAGCACCTTGGATTTGCGCAATAACTATGGCACATTGTTACATGTTTGTTAGTAAAGTTATTCAAACTGCTTTTGGACAACAAGCTGGTTATGTACAGGCATTCTGCATCACATTGCACGCCTACGAGAGGAAGTAGTAAGAACTTACATGACGGTATCCTTCATGTCGATGACCTTGTAGTTGTTGCGTTGGAGGAACGCTGTCACCTCACCGGCCAAGACCGACAGAGGCTTCGCATCAGGCTCCGCAGGACCCGGCACCTCAAACGTCTTTCGCACAATCTGCCAAGCGAAGCACGCGACACTGATTCATCATCTCCTGATGCGCATCCCAGTCTTCAACGGCATATGACAGGTGGCATTGGTATAGCAGGTGCTTAGTGGACGAAACCTAAGAAAAGAGTAGGTCAACCTTGGATTTTGTAGCGCGTTTGATGAGCGAATAAAGGCCAGGAAAGGAGATTATGAAGAGACCGAGGGATGCGTAGTAGCTTGCTGGAGAATACGATGACGAAAACTCCTCAGCCAACGCGGGGAACGCGGTCAGGCATTGCAGCAGAAACGGTGCAGATATCATGAAGGGAAGCGAGCCTAAGGTGTCATCAGCTTCGCGCATCAGTCTAGTGGATGAAACGGGAGCGGGTCGACTAGAAACGGCATGACCGATGGCTTCTGGCCGACTGTCGTTCGTCAGCGAGCACACGACTGGCCGTGATGAAGAATGGCGTGCAACTGACCCGAATCGCGAAACACTAAAACGGGGAGTCGGAGTCGACAGCGTCTTTTGCAATATTGTAGCTCTAAGTTGCGTCATAGTGGGCGTCGAGGCGGTTGCTACAAGAGACGCCATGATACAATCCACTGAGTGACCGACAATCCACTCGGTAAGGTGACTGGCGCGAAGCTAAAAATCCCTGTGAAGCGAATGGGTAATTGGGTTCTTGCATAGACTCCAGAAACGAATTTACGTGGATGTGGAAGGGGATTGGGGAAGAGGAAGTGACGGAGCATCCCTCATGGAAGAGAAAGGTCTGAATGCACAAGCCACGTAATCTGGAAGCACAAAAAATGATCGAAGAATGTGCCACGTTGACAGCTTAGATACGCGATAACAGCAAGGTTCCTTCCCTCCGTACTAAACGTAGTCACCAACCAAACTTGTTCGCTTAATAAGATCCAACAGCTATCTCATGCGCCCACTTTCGGCAAGAAAATATAGGCTAGACTCTTGCTCGTTATGTTACGAATAGTGGTTAGTGAAAACACTATTGAGCACTCCTCACAGCCGAAGCACGCACTATCGAGAGCGAAGACGAAAAGGCAGAAGAAATGCGAAGGGACAGGCGGTTACGAGGAGCATCTGGACCGTCGGGCAGACAGCATCAGGCAGCAGCAGTGGCGAGGATTCTGCCCGAACAAGTCCGTAACCACCCGGAGTCGCACGGTTGGATTTCGCTGTAATAAGGGAATGTACCCCTTAGAGTACATGGCTAGCTAGGTCGTTTCGAATTCCCCTGTACTCATATTTATATTCCTTGTACCGCATGTTTTTATTTATCTCAAGCATTTACATTCACTCTGCCATTGAGGTCAAGGGCCCACCACCACTAGATTAGAACCCTGCGAACCTTCCTGAGGTGATCCTGAGGGCGATCAACTTCTGATCGCAACATGGTATGAGAGCGACTCAGGAATCCTTCGCATCGCCACCTCCGAAATCTACGACATTCGGAAAGTGGCGTCCGGCACACGATCACGTGTAAGAATGGCCGGAGGATCTGGAGGTCAGACGAATCTGACGGCTGAAGCGCAGCCCAATCCGGCTGCGACAAGCGAGGAAACGACGACGATCCCTTCCGCCGTCCTCGCACAACTGCTTCAGCGACTCACGAGCCTGGAGCAAGGACTCCAAACATTGCGGAATGGCGACGCGGGAACTTCCTCCCAACCCACACAACCGGCGTCAAACGGCCAGAACTCCGCCCCGCAAGGCTTCTCTCTTGACACAAATGGCTCAGCACCCAAGACTCCCTGTCCCAGTGATGAAGCAATTCTCTCTGCGCAATCAAGATTTTTGAGCATATCAAAAATAAAGACAAGTGTGTGCTTTGACGGCAGAGACTTTTACACCTGGAGCTTCGAGCTGGAGCTGCTGCTGCAAAACGCGCAGATTTATCATTACTTCGACGGGAGCTACTCGGGACCTACGGAGGACACTGACGACGCAAAAACCAAGTACTACAACGAGTCCCTGATGGCGTACAGGGTTCTTCTGCGAAATATGTCGCCGACGGAGCAATTGAGCATTCGCTCATACAAGACTTCCCCAGCTCCCGCCCTCAACGCCTGGCGCCACCTGAACGGTGTGTACCAACCCAAGGACTCAGTGTCGTCGAGCCGCCTACTCCAGCAGCTACTGGAGACCAAGATGGCACCTGGGGGGAAGGCCAACAGTTACCTGAATCGCTGTCGGAGCTTACGCGATCAAATCGCGAAATTGGGGAGTACGATTTCTGAAGAAATCTTCGTAAACATCGTACTCCAAGGGCTCGGACCCGAGTGGCGGCCCTGCAAGGCGCTGCTCCGACAGCAGGGGGTCATCTCGGAGGCCGACCTTTGCGCCGCCCTCCTCGTCGAACAACGGGATATGGACCAGCAGCGACCAGCGCCACGACGAGAGAGAGAACGTCTCGCATTTTACGCGGACAACACGGAAGAACGACGACCGCGGCGCCTCTACTGCAAGATCTGCAGAAATTTCGGGCACTTGGCGGATCGATGCAAGCACCGATCTCGCCATCGCCAGACCAATCCGAGCACTTGGTCCGGCCGACAAGACGCGAGGAACGATACGCGTCCCGCCCAGGGGTATCAACCCCCACCGCGCAACCTGAATCCAACAACTCAGCAGCAGCAGCAGCCATCACAAGCTGCCCCCGTTCGCAATGTCATGGGGAACATGACCATGACGAGCGGCTCTCGTCGCCCGCGCGCGCGCTCACTGTCACCGGAGACGGCACCTGACCCAATCGAGGCGTCCCCGAACAACAATCCATTCAGCACGCATCACGACTACAGCGACGACGATAACCAGGACTGGAACCTACCAGTCCCGCTGCTTGAGAGGCCTCCGCACGTACCTGACATGCGGCCGGCACCGATCGACTGGATCGCGCGCGAACAATTTCTCAAGGTTGACACTCCGCACATCGTCACTCCGCGACTGGCGCTGCTCGCGCGAAACGATAACAGGCGCTACAACAACTGGTACCTGGACAGCTGCTGTGGGCAGCACATGGTGGGCTCCGAGCGTTACATATCCAACGCCGCCGCCACCCCCGAAGTCACTTACGTCACAGTGGCGAACAACACGCGGCTGCGCGCAAGCGCGCAAGGCATCGTGGTGCTCAAGGCACGAGGGAGCCGAACGCACATCACACTTAACGACGTGTTGATTGTGCAGAACCTGCGCTTTAATCTACTCTCGGCGGCGCAACTCCTGGATTGCGGAGTGATTCTCAGCACCGACCCCGAGACGCGCGACATCCTGCTTCACTTCACGATGCCGAACAAAACGCGCAAGCAGATCGGACGGGCGCACGCCGAGAACGGCGTATACGTTCTCGACTTCGACATTCCCGACTGCAGCGGCGACTCGCAGGAGTTAATCGACCTCGTCCCTCTACGCTTCGAACACATCCTTCGCCGCGATTGGAAGCACCCCGATGGGTGCCCCTGGGTGCCACACCACCCACACCCGCGCGAGCTGGCGCTGCACGACCCCGATCCTGACGGCGTCTGCAGGGACTGCCACACACCGACGACCTCGACGAGCGCGATCGCCGGCCGCGGCCTCGCCGCCATTCGCGAAGCAGAGCGCGACGCACCGCCTGAGGAGGGTCTATCCCAGCTGGAGTTGGAAACAGCTACACGGGTCGTATTCGGCACACCAGAACACCCTCTTCTCGGACCCGCATCCCAGCATCTCCAAGGAATGCTCCGCGGCGTTGGCGTCGGCACCCTCGACGCACATGGGAATCCCCGGCCCTACACCGAACAGAAGGCGGCAGAGATATACTCTCACCGGCGCGATTCAAAGAAACGGCTCTCGCCTACGGAGGAAGAGGCGCTGGCGCAACAAGAAGTCGAAGAGCTTCGGCAGAAGAGCCTCGCCGAGGGATGCGGAACGCTCGCCTGGGAAAAGGACGAGGAAAGCGCCTCCAATGAAGGGGGGTGGGGGAGCGCCGGCGGATGGGGAACAAGCGACACAGGCGGCTGGGGAGCCGCAACCGGCGGCGACACAGGCGGCTGGGGCACAGGCGGATGGGGCGCAGCATCTGGCGGAGAAACAAGCGGATGGGGAGCTTTCCGCGAGGACCAAAGGGGGGAAGCGGAAGCGGAAGAAGAAACAACGCAAGCTGAGGCCGAGCCTCCTGTTGTTCCTCTTGGACGCCCTCCGCGCCGCCTTGCATTAGGACCACCGCCACCTGACATCCCCTCAGGTAGTGACCCCTGGGACACCATCGACTGGGGTAGTGAACCCCTCACCCCGCGACGCACCGTCTACGGACCTGCCCCTGAACCGCGCGAACCGACATTTGTACTTGGTACGATCCCTGGAACCAACATCCCCTACTCCATCATCCGCGACAGAGAATTTCTCGCCCTCATGCTAACGACGGCGAACGAGGAAGAAGAAGAGAACGAGGAAGAAGAAGAGAACGAGGGAGCAGCGCCTACACCTGCACCGGCACCTGACGAAGACCCCACAGCTGCATTGGCGCGCTACATGCGCACCTCTGGATTCCGCACCGACGACGCCATCTGGCATCAGCGCCTAGGTCACCCTTCGCGCGTGACTCTGAAGAACTGCATCGAAGCCGGCGTCTTTGCACCTGGCGCGCTGCTGCGCCCTGACGGCTCCGAAGTGAGAGGAGGAACTCACCCGCGCAGCTGCACTGTCTGCCCCAAAGCTGCGCTGAGTCACCAGCCCTTCCCCCTACTCGAGCCGGGAACCAATCGCTACGCCAAACTTGAGAAGGTTTACAGTGACTTTCTCAACGTAGGACACTGCGGCATCAACGACGAGCTCTACACACTCACCTTCGTCGACGCCGGAACACGACACGTGTGGATCGTAAACGTGGAAGCACGCAGCAGAGCCTACGAAGCATTCCGCCTGTGGCTGGCGCACGCGCAGCGGCAATCTAGGGAGAAATTGAAGATCTGGCAGTCCGATGGTGCGGCGGAGTTCAGAAGCAAGGAGCTGCAGGATTACCTTGCGCAAAAGGGGATCGAGCATCACGTTTCTCTCCCCTACGCGCACCAGTAGCAGGGCGTAGCTGAGCGTACGAATCGCACCCTCATGACGAAGGTGCGGGCGCTAATGCGGCAGGCGAAACTTCCGCCGATCTACTGGACCTACGCAATGCACCACGCCGTGCGGGTGCAATACCTGCTGTCAACCACCGCAATCACCGGCAACTCCTCGCCGCATGTGAAATGGACGGGAAGAAAGGGGGACACTTCCATGCTCCGCGTCTGGGGGTGCATGGTTCAATACCGACCGCCAACATCAACCATCGGGAAGTTTAAGAGCCGCGCGCGCTGGGGAATCCACCTCGGCATCAGCCACGAACACAAGGCGTGGATCATCCTGGATCTCCTGAGCCAGAAAATCAAGAATGCGCGCGACGTCATCTTCTACGAGCGGCTGTTTCTGCAACAATTCCGTGACGACGAGCAGACGAACGCAAACCGCGTCTACGCCAATGAGGGCCACAGCTACGCTTCACCTGAGGACGAAGCAGCAGCAGCAATTCTGGAGCAGGATCCCAGAGGGGAGTTCACAAGGGGCGATCTCCGTGACGACGACGACGATGATTCAGGAGAAGGAGGAACGGGCGCAGCGGGAGGAGGCGCAGCAGGAGGAAGCGGAAGCGGCGGAGGCACAGCACCACCAGCACCGCCTGAACCAGAAAGCGATGATGACGACGTGCAGGAAGTCGTCACCCAACATCGCCATGACAGCACCGTCACTGGCCTTCAGCTTCTGGGACTTCACGCTGCCATCTCCACCGCTCCGCGCATCATCGAACCTAAGAACCCACGACAAGCTCTCACAGGCCCACACAGCAAAGAGTGGCGCGAAGCAATGGATGCGGAAATCCGTGCGCTCGAGTCACGCGACACCTGGGTGCTCGTCGACCGTGCAGCAGTTAAGGGGAGAAGGATTCTCTCCGGCAAATGGGTCTTCCGCGTGAAGACAGGAGCTGACGGGACGATTGAGCGATTCAAGGCGCGCTGGGTGGTGCGTGGGTACGATCAGAGGCACGGGATTGATTTCGACCAGACATTTGCACCGGTCAGCCGTCACACGTCCGTCAGAATTCTGCTCGCCATCGCAGCCGCACGTCACCTACCACTCCGGCAGATCGATGTGAAGAATGCGTTCCTGTACGCGTTAGTAGACGCCGTGATCTACGTGGAACAGCCACACACATACGGCGACGGAGACCCACGCGTCTGTCAGCTACGCAAGTCCCTCTATGGGATCAAACAGGCACCAAGGCTCTGGCAGCAGTACCTGCACAACATACTGCTTGAAATCGGGTTCAAGCAGCTGCCTCACGATCCTGGGATGTATCGCCGCGATTTCCGCGGCGAATACATCCTGCTCACGGTCTACGTCGACGACCTCCTCTACACAGGGTCAAGCAACGAACTGCTCGAGCAATTCGAGAAGAGCCTCGCAGGGCGCGTCGACATTACCTGCAATCATGACGTGAAGCAGTTTCTCGGACTCAACGTCACCTACTCGCCGGAAGCCATTCATCTCTCAGCAGCGAAGTATGCGGAGGAGCTTAGCAAGCGCTTCAACATTGCGCCTGCACCACTCTCCACCCCTTACCGCACTCCAGGACCCAACCACAAGCCTGACAACAAAGCCCTGTCCCCTGCTGTGCTTCACACTTACCAGCAGCAGTTGGGATGCCTGCTTTTCGCATCTGTCACCTGCAGGCCCGATCTCTCCTACATTGCGAGCCAGTTAGCTCAGTACTCACGCAAACCAACGGCTGAGAATCTCTCAGATCTTCAGCGAGCCCTTCAATTCTTCATCTCCACGCCCAATGTCGGGCTCAGTTATTCCACCATCCCAACCACATCCTTCAGCCTCGTCGGCTACGTGGATGCCGATCACGCCGCTGATCCTGACAATCGACGGTCCAGGACAGGGTTCCTCTTCCGCCTCGAGCCCAGCGGCCCCATCTCCTGGAACTCTCAGAAGCAGGAGTTGGTTGCCCTGTCATCGGCGGAAGCTGAATTCATCGCAGCAACAGCAGCTGTTCGCGAAGGTCTCTACCTTCAGGAACTGCTGCAGGAAGCGAAAAAATCCGGCCTCAACGAACTTTCGCCTGCACTGCGACAACCAGAGCGCGATCAGGATCGCAAACAAACCTGGCTTCGTCAACCGCACCAAGCACATCGCACTGCGGTACTTCTTCGTCAAGGACGAAGTTGACAAGGGCAAAGTTGACCTGACATACTGCCCAACGGGTGACATGGCAGCAGACTTCCTCACGAAGAAACTGCCGCGTCAACAGTACCAGCACTGCTCCGAACTTAGCGGGGTAGTCAAGCGGGTCAATGCTCGCTACGGCTAGGAGTGAAGGGGGGTGTTACGAATAGTGGTTAGTGAAAACACTATTGAGCACTCCTCACAGCCGAAGCACGCACTATCGAGAGCGAAGACGAAAAGGCAGAAGAAACGCGAAGGGACAGGCGGTTACGAGGAGCATCTGGACCGTCGGGCAGACAGCATCAGGCAGCAGCAGTGGCGAGGATTCTGCCCGAACAAGTCCGTAACCACCCGGAGTCGCACGGTTGGATTTCGCTGTAATAAGGGAATGTACCCCTTAGAGTACATGGCTAGCTAGGTCGTTTCGAATTCCCCTGTACTCATATTTATATTCCTTGTACCGCATGTTTTTATTTATCTCAAGCATTTACATTCACTCTGCTATTGAGGTCAAGGGCCCACCACCACTAGATTAGAACCCTGCGAACCTTCCTGAGGTGATCCTGAGGGCGATCAACTTCTGATCACAACACGTTATACGGTTACCCATCCGGTAGTAAACAAAAGCCTTTCCCCAACCTGTAGTTCAATCGTGAAACTTGCTATGCACCCTAAGAACTGGCATTGGCACTAGCACGCATCCTGCAGAACATGGCAGATACGCTAGCTTAGAGCATGGTAGTGTAACTTGGCGCTATTGGTGAGTAGAAAGCAGAGCTCACCTTGGTACAGACATAAATATAGTGCACATTCCCACCCTCCAAGTCTTCGCCATTGGAGACCCATCGCCCATTGCTGCGTAATTTCTTAGGCACTAGGGACCACGCCGGACATACCTCTGCAGTTGCTCCAGGCCTTGCTGCGGAAACGTACAGGTAAGATTCATGTTGAATCATTACGGTCCAGTAAGGCTACTATTCGTAGCCAGCTGAAAGCAAAATAGCGAAACACTCTTACGCAAGGCATGAACCTTGACGGTCCATTTCAGGCTGTCGACATGCAGGTGTAACATGCGTACTTGCGGATCACCGTATGTAATCTGCATTGGACATGAAACTTACATGAGATGAGAGGAGAAATCTTGTTACCTCAGAGATTATAAGCACCTTACCAGAAGAAACTTGCCACCGGGTTTCAACACTCTGCAAAAAAAATAAGCCACACTGTTGTCAGACATACTGTGAAGTTCAAAACTAGACTGTGCTCTGATGTCACTTTCTGCGCACCTGCAGACTTCACTTAGCATGGCAGATGCATTTTCCACTGAATCGTTACCACACTGCGAAAAGTCTCAGCTAACGAGAAATAAGGACGTGGGTAAGAAATTGAAATGAAAAAGGCGCAGGGTTAGGGAAGGTGCTGACCAGGATGGCATCCAGTGTTCCTGCAAGACAAAGGAACAGTTAGCCACGAAGAGGGTCTGGCGCACTACGAGGAAACTAAGAAGAAGGGGAGAACGTTTTCAAGCTCCAGCCTTACCTTTGTCAAGAACCACATCAAAAGAAGACTCGTCAAACCCCATGGAACAGACATTCATCGTGTCATCTGGAGCAAGTGGGACCTGTCAGGATCATCTTCCGAACAGAGAGACGGAGAGAACAGCTGCAATTGATGGGGTTTATAGTACCAGAGAACAGAGTACTTGATCAACTGACATTTTAGCTGCGGGATGGTTGAGTTCCTCTTCTTCATGTAGTCCACCACCACCTGCACAATTGTAATCGGCATAGGCCACATACGCCGTTGGGAAAGCCATAATAAACTCCGAAAGGCGTGCTAGGCAGGAAAGACTGGCATCTTGACGAAACTCACTGAGGAGATGTCAATGTTCCAAATGTCTTGGTATCCATTCTGGACCATATCCTCTGAGAGAACTGCTCGACCAAGAAAATCGACAAGTTCCGTGCAATCTCCGTGAGTCGGTTACACGAGACCACGGATCGATCCTGAGCATGTATATGGAACTGAAGGGGAACTGACCTGCATTGCCGCATCCCACCATGAGCACCTTGGACGCTTTGTCCATGTAAATATCAAATATGGGAGCCAAGGCTGTGTACTGTTGGTACCAATCAAACGTCTTTTCAGGGCCCTCCTTCTCATATCGTGCATCCCAGTAAGGCGCGTCTCCATACGACGGTGTTGAATATTCACCCATCTGGAGCAAAAGGTCGAAGGTCCAATTGAACCACGGCTCCCCCGCCTTCGCTTGTAAGACGCGTGTTTTGTGAAGGGAGATATTCGCGAACGCAGAGCGATGGGGTGCTACTCGACGCACGCTTCCATGGGCTAAGCGGACGAGAGTTGCGTTCTGCGAAGAGAGAGTGGAGGCAACGAGCATTTGCCCTTTCAGTGCTGCTGATTTTGGCATCTGCGAAGGCATTGGAATCTCCATGCTTGTCTGGTTTGTTTCTTTATTCCATCCCCGTTGTTACAGGCTCCGCAAAAGCACTTACAAAAAAGGCAGTTGATTTGTACAATTCATTCGAAGAGTCATCCAACTCGACTGTGAATTGACAATTGCTGTTTTTTTGTGAACAATTTCCCAACACCAGATTCTGTGCTCCAGAATGACATGAACGAAGCGTTCCGCGCACTGCTCTCGTTCTCTCAGGCACGGAGCAACTTTGCGCGTAGGGGATTGTAGTACGCATCCACGTGCAATGGCTGCGCGCGGCGTGCAGGAGTACGTAGCGGCGGTGAGCCGCGCGGTAGATGCTAAGGACGGGGAGGCGCTGGCTGCGTTGTTGAGGGTGTTGCGGCCAGGCTACCCCGAAGCCGTCGCCAGTGGGCTCGACCACGTGCGGGTACGCGTTGAGGCGCCAAAGCAGCTTCGTTCTCTGAGAGAAAATTTCAGCTTTTAACGACATTTCCAAGCCCGCCATGGCTAATCTTCGCACCTCCCCTTGCGCGGTCCCCTGTCGCTCGCGTGCTCCGCAGGACATGGCGCGTTTTCTCAGCCGAGTGCCGGAGAGGCTGGGCGAGATGCTCCTGCCGTTGATGCAGGCCATGGCCGCAATCCAACGGCACCAATTCACAGACGCGTTTGGGGAGATGCTGCAGGCCGCTAAGTAATGCATCGTCCGTGGCAGTGCGCTATTCCCCCACCTGCTCATCTACTGTTGATCCATGACTGCCATACATACCCCGCAGAATTCGCGCCATGCTTCCTGCGCCACCTATCTCTTCTCCTCTTCCCAACTTCCGCCTCCCCCCTGCTCATCTCATAGCCCTGTCTCCCCGCCGTGCCCCTCCCCCCTGCGCGCGCCAGTCTGTTTCTACCGGTGCTGCGCAACTGGGAGGGCACGTGGGCGCTGCCCCCGCTGCACGCGGTGGTCCACGACCTGCGCGCGCAGCGGGCAAGTCACCGGATAAACTCAAGGCAGCGGCGTCGTTCCTCATGAAGGTCTTCGGCGCCATCGCTGTGAGTCGAGTCTCTGCCATGCGTGTGTTCACTCATTGCTGCAGATGGTCTATCAAGGTTGGTGATTGATGGCCACTGCTGTCTCTGCACTGCAGCCTCTTGTCAGCCGCACAGCACCCTGGCACCTAAGACTTTGCAACAGCATTGCAGAAAAAGATGGTAGAGCTGCCATTTTTTCTCTCTTTCCTTACCCATGGCATTTCCTCCCCTCCGTGGCACGGCAGGGCAAGGGTCCTAAGAAGGTGGGGTCGCTCTATGTGGCGTGTCAACTCTTCAAGATCTACTTCAAGGTCTCTCCCTCCCTCCCGCATCCTCTCCATCCCATGCCTCTCAACTTTCCTCCTTCTCCCTCAGCCCCTATTTCTCTCACATGCGCTCTACTTCTCCTCCCGCTATTGCTCACTGCGCTGTGCCACACCTGTCTCTTCTCTTTGTGTGCATGTGTGTCCGTGTGTGCATGTGTTTCTGAGTTTGTATGCATGTGTGTGAGTGAGTGTGTGTGGTGCATGTGTGTGTTGGTGCGTGTACATGTGTGTGTCGGTGCATGTGCATGTGCATGTGCGCGTGTGTGGGCGTGCGTGTGCGTGTGCATGCGTGCAACAGCTGGGGACGTTGAATCTGAGCAAGAGCATCATCCGTGTGATAGACTCCTCCAAGGGCTTCGATGACTACCCGGCCAGAGACCAGGTCAGAACAGACGCGGGCAGGTGAGCGCAGGTGAACGCAGGTGAGGGGAGGTAAGGACAAGTGAGGGCAGGTGAGCAGAAGAGGGGAGGTAAGGGCAAGTGAGGGCAGGTGAGGGGCAGGTGAGACGTGGAGCATTAAAGTAGCAGCACTCTATCAGTATTTGGAAAGCATTGCATTTCCGGTTGGTTGCTCACGTCCTCCCAACCCTCATCCATGCGCCCGCTCTTGGCCCATGTCCTGCACTCGCCCCTCCCTGCTGTGTCTCTCCGCCCCTGCACTCCTCACGTGCACTCCCCACCTGCGCTGTGCTCCCCTCGTGCACTCCCCACGTGCACTCCCCACCTGCGCTGTGCTCCCCAACTGCACTCCCCACCTGTGCTGCGCTTCCCACGTGCGCCCAGGTGACCTATAAGTACTACACAGGCCGTCTGGATGTCTTCAACGATGCCTTCCTGCTCGTATGTGCCCGCACCTGTACCACGCCTCCATTCAGCCGCTCTAGCACACCCCACCTCACCACGGTTCTCTCGCCACTTGCATCCATGCTTCCTCTGGCTCTGCCCAGGCACGCACTTGCTCTGCCATTACCACCATACCATCCCCACCACCATACCATCCCCACCACCATACCATCCCCACCACCATACCATCCCCACCACCATACCATCCCCACCACCATACCATCCCCACCACCATACCATCCCCACCACCCATGCCGTCCCAACTGCCCATACAACCCCACCACCCGTGCCATGTGCTTGCAGGCAGATGAGAAGCTTGGCTTTGCCTTGAGGCGCTGCCATCGCTCCAGACCATCCAACATACGGTCTGCACTTCGCTCTCCCCGCGTTTCTCCTCCCTTCAATTTCCGTCTCTCGTCCTCCTCTCCTTTATCCCTTCTCCCTCCTCCCTCCTCCATCTTCCCTCTTCCCGCTTCACTGCCTTCGCGCTTGCTCCCTCCCACTGCCCGTGCTTCTCCCTTCACCACCCCACCATCCCCCATCGCTCCTGTATCTGCACACGCAATCGATCTGCTTCTACCCATGCCATCTCCATTACCCACTCGTTCCTCGGCCCTTCATGTTCCCTTCACTTGTTGCGCACCTACCCCCCGAAACCCTCCCCTTCCTGCACCCCCCTCACGCAGGCGCATTCTGCGGTATCTCATTCCCGTGCGCCTGTCGCTGGGCCACCTGCCCTCGCCTGAACTGCTCCGCAACCACCACCTGCAAGAGGTGCTCCCCTACCCGCCACCCCTCGCCCTCCGTTCCCTCACTGCTCGATATTCTCTGTTGCTGCTCGTTTCGCCCTCCTTTACCTTCCGCCCGCCCCTGTGCTTGTCCTCCGCATGCTCCCGTTTTCGTTCCCTGTCATGTCACTTTGAATTCGCGTCCATCCCTCAAGTTTGTATCACTTGCCTCATGGCTGCATGGCATGGCATGGCATGGCATGGCATGGCACATGGCACATGGCATGGCATGGGTGCAGTATGAGGGAATCGTGCAGGCCATGCGAACAGGCGATGTGCGGCTGCTGAGAGACACCCTCAGTGCCAATGAGGACAGGTGCGTGCCCTGCCCTGCCACGCACTGCCACTCACCTCATTCTCTCCTATCGCCACTCCTCTCCCTCTCCTGGAGATGCCCCTTCCCCGACCCACCCCACAAGCCACATTCCCTGCTCTGCCATGTCCCCTCGTTCCTCCCATCTACCTTACTTACTCATTCCACCCCCAGCCTCTCACCAATTGGCACACCCTTCCCTTTCGTACCCGCATATGCCCCCCACCGCCTACCTCTTTCCAGGTTCCTACGGGCGGGAGTGTATCTGCTGCTGGAGAAGCTAGAGCTGCATGTGTACCGCCGCCTCATCCGAAAAATGTACCACCCCATGACATGCCATGTTGCCATTGCCGTGCCGTACATGCCATGCCACAGGTGCCATGCTATCATACCCTTCCACCCCGACGGTGTAATGCCCCCATGCCGTCAAGCCCAGCTATGTCCTGTTAGCATGCCATGTCCCCTTGCCGCCGCGCCTACCATCCCCTTCACTGCCACTCTCCTCACGGCCTGCGTCTCTCAGCACCACCCTTATTTCCCCTCCCTCTCCCCCAACCCCGGCCATGCACCGCCCTCCCCCTCCCTCTCCCCCACCCCCCCCTCCCCCTGTCCAGCCATGTGCTACAGCGAGCCAAGGACCCATCGCGAGCGCACCAGGTGCGGCTGGAGGTGGTGGTGCGGGCGCTGGCGGGGCGGGGCGAGGCGGTGGATGTGGACGAGTTGGAGGGGCTGGTGGCGACGCTCATAGCGCTGGGGTTCGTGAAGGGGTACCTGTCGCACAAGAGCAAGGTCGTTGTTCTCAGCAAGCAGGACCCCTTCCCCCGCCTCACTGGCCGCGTGCTGCTCTGACCCGCGCTGGACGGCCCCCTCTGTGTCGTAATGATGTGTCTTGCTGGCAGTGGTTTAGGCGCTCGGGGGATGTGTTTTGTGTAGCAATATGCAAAGGATTATTGATCTGCTAATGGGAAGTTGTGTTAACAAAATCTACAACAGACAGAACTACCGTACAAGAGGGTGCACCACACAACACAACACAAACATGTGCCATCCCAGTGGCGCTAGAACTTGGTCCATTTCCGCAGGGCCTCCTTCTGGGCGGCACTGGAGTGCGCCGAGTCCCGCCCCCCCTGCACGCGCCTCAGCTCCTCCCGAGCAGCAGCCAGCTTGCGGTGCACGGCGGCCAGTGTCACCTTGTCATGCGCGTGGCGCCCTGCCATCTCCTCGTACCGCCCCACCCGCGCACACACCTCCCTCACCCGCTCCTCCTGCTGCATCAGCTCCCGCCGCTCCTCCTCCCGCCCCTTCCCTCCTGCCCCTGGTATAGCACCGGCACATGCTGCCGCCCCTAATACCTTGGCCCCTCGCACTCCTCCCCGGCCCACTCCTCCCATTCTCTCGCTCTGGCTGCCCCCGCCCCCGGCAGACTCACTCCCCGATTCCCTCCTCACATTCCCTCCTCTATGCACTATCCTGGCCTCATCACCAGCTTCCTTCTCTCTGCCCCCCAAGTGCACGTTAACAAAATCAAACACGTCTCCCCTCCTCCCGCCCTCCTCCTCCTCCGCCGCCACTGCTGCAGCCTCTCTCTCAGTGGCTATCTTCTTCCGGTTTCTCGCCCTCTCCCCTCCCCGACTCTTCTTCCTCTTCTTCCCCCCTTCCTCCCCACCACCCGCACTCCCATCCACCGCCCCACCCTTACCATCCTCCCCCGCCCCTAGCCCAGCACCTCCCACCGCACCACCCTTCGCCTCTCGCCTCTCTCCCCTTCTACTGCCACACGCCCCGCCGCACTCCTCCCCCTCTCCCCACGCACATCATTTTCCTGCCTCTCCCCTGCCAAGTCAGCTCCCACTTTCGCTGCCACGTCAGCTTCTGTCTTATTGCCAGCCCCCAGCATTGTTCCACTTCCCTCGCCCATATCATCTGCTCCGCTCTCTCTGCCGTCCCAACCCACCAACGCATGCAGTGCTCGCAGCTGGTCCTGAGCTAGAGCCTTTTGGGTTCAGCGACAGACAGGGAGGTTTGGCAAAAGAGAGCATAAGAAATGGAAGATTAGGTTGAAGATAGGTGAGGAGACTAGCAAAGAAAATGTAAGAGGGGAACGAAGTAAAAAAGAGGATTATGTGCGGGGGATTCCATGCAGGGGGTTGCATGCAGGGGATTCCATGCAGGGGGTTGCATGCAGGGTGTTGCATGCAGGGGGTTGCATGCAAGGGGATGCATGCAAGCGGCGTCCCTTAGAGGAGAGGCGATTCATAGAAGAGAGGCCCCTCTTAGTTTGGAGGCACCTCACAGAGGAGTGGCGCCCGCCTCACACCACAGAGGAGTGGCGCCCGAGTCACACCACAGAGGAGTGGCGCCCGACTCACACCACAGAGGAGTGGCGCCCGAGTCACACCACAGAGGAGTGGCGCCCGAGTCACACCACAGAGGAGTGGCGCCCGAGTCACACCACAGAGTGGCGCCCGAGTCACACCACAGAGGAGTGGCGCCCGAGTCACACCACAGAGGAGTGGCGCCCGAGTCACACCACAGAGGAGTGGCGCCCGAGTCACACCACAGAGGAGTGGCGCCCCACTCACACCGCAGAGGAGTGGCGCCCTAGTCACACCGCAGAGGAGTGGCGCCCGACTCACACCACAGAGGAGTGGCGCCCGAGTCACACCACAGAGGAGTGGCGCCCGAGTCACACCGCAGAGGAGTGGCGCCCGAGTCACACCACAGAGGAGTGGCGCCCGAGTCACACCACAGAGGAGTGGCGCCCGAGTCACACCACAGAGGAGTGGCGCCCGAGTCACACCACAGAGGAGTGGCGCCCGAGTCACACCACAGAGGAGTGGCGCCCGAGTCACACCACAGAGGAGTGGCGCCCGACTCACACCACAGAGGAGTGGCGCCCGAGTCACACCACAGAGGAGTGGCGCCCGAGTCACACCACAGAGGAGTGGCGCCCGAGTCACACCACAGAGGAGTGGCGCCCGAGTCACACCACAGAGGAGTGGCGCCCAACTCACACCGCACAGGAGTGGCGCCCGCGTCACACCACAGAGGAGTGGCGCCCGCCTCACACCACAGAGGAGTGGCGCCCGCCTCACACCACAGAGGAGTGGCGCCCGCCTCACACCACAGAGGAGTGGCGCCCGCCTCACACCACAGAGGAGTGGCGCCCGAGTCACACCACAGAGGAGTGGCGCCCGCCTCACACCGCAGAGGAGTGGCGCCCGAGTCACACCACAAAGGAGTGGCGCCCGAGTCACACCGCAGAGGAGTGGCGCCCGAGTCACACCACAGAGGAGTGGCGCCCGAGTCACACCGCAGAGGAGTGGCGCCCGCCTCACACCGCAGAGGAGTGGCGCCCGAGTCACACCGCAGAGGAGTGGCGCCAGAGTCACACCACAGAGGAGTGGCGCCCGAGTCACACCACAGAGGAGTGGCGCCCGAGTCACACCACAGAGGAGTGGCGCCCGCCTCACACCACAGAGGAGTGGCGCCCGCCTCACACCGCAGAGGAGTGGCGCCCGCCTCACACCGCAGAGGAGTGGCGCCCGACTCACACCGCAGAGGAGTGGCGCCCGAGTCACACCGCAGAGGAGTGGCGCCCGCCTCACACCACAGAGGAGTGGCGCCCGAGTCACACCACAGAGGAGTGGCGCCCGAGTCACACCGCAGAGGAGTGGCGCCCGAGTAACACCACAGAGGAGTGGCGCCCGAGTCACACCACAGAGGAGTGGCGCCCGAGTCACACCACAGAGGAGTGGCGCCCGAGTAACACCGCAGAGGAGTGGCGCCCGCCTCACACCACAGAGGAGTGGCGCCCGCCTCACACCACAGAGGAGTGGCGCCCGCCTCACACCACAGAGGAGTGGCGCCCGACTCACACCACAGAGGAGTGGCGCCCGAGTCACACCACAGAGGAGTGGCGCCCGAGTCACACCACAGAGGAGTGGCGCCCGAGTCACACCACAGAGGAGTGGCGCCCGAGTCACACCACAGAGGAGTGGCGCCCGAGTCACACCACAGAGGAGTGGCGCCCGAGTCACACCACAGAGGAGTGGCGCCCGAGTCACACCACAGAGGAGTGGCGCCCGAGTCACACCACAGAGGAGTGGTGCCCGAGTCACACCACAGAGGAGTGGCGCCCGAGTCACACCACAGAGGAGTGGCGCCCGAGTCACACCGCAGAGGAGTGGCGCCCGAGTCACACCACAGAGGAGTGGCGCCCGACTCACACCACAGAGAAGTGGCGCCCGACTCACACCGCAGAGGAGTGGCGCCTGCCTCACACCACAGAGGAGTGGCGCCCGAGTCACACCACAGAGGAGTGGCGCCCGCCTCACACCACAGAGGAGTGGCGCCCGAGTCACACCACTGAGGAGTGGCGCCCGACTCACACCACAGAGGAGTGGCGCCCGAGTCACACCACAGAGGAGTGGCGCCCGACTCACACCGCACAGGAGTGGCGCCCGAGTAACACCGCAGAGGAGTGGCGCCCGCCTCACACCACAGAGGAGTGGCGCCTGAGTCACACCACAGAGGAGTGGCGCCCGAGTCACACCACAGAGGAGTGGCGCCCGACTCACACCACAGAGGAGTGGCGCCCGCCTCACACCACAGAGGAGTGGCGCCCGCCTTACACCACAGAGGAGTGGCGCCCGCCTCACACCACAGAGGAGTGGCGCCCGAGTCACACCACAGAGGAGTGGCGCCCGACTCACACCACAGAGGAGTGGCGCCCGACTCACACCACAGAGGAGTGGCGCCCGCCTTACACCACAGAGGAGTGGCGCCCGCCTCACATCACAGAGGAGTGGCGCCCGACTCACACCACAGAGGAGTGGCGCCCGACTCACACCACAGAGGAGTGGCGCCCGAGTCACACCACAGAGGAGTGGCGCCCGAGTCACACCACAGAGGAGTGGCGCCCGAGTCACACCACAGAGGAGTGGTGCCCGAGTCACACCACAGAGGAGTGGCGCCCGAGTCACACCGCAGAGGAGTGGCGCCCGAGTAAAACCGTAGAGGAGTGGCGCCCGAGTCACACCACAGAGGAGTGGCGCCCGAGTCACACCACAGAGGAGTGGCGCCCGCCTCACACCACAGAGGAGTGGCGCCCGACTCACACCACAGAGGAGTGGCGCCCGACTCACACCACAGAGGAGTGGCGCCCGAGTCACACCACAGAGGAGTGGCGCCCGAGTCACACCACAGAGGAGTGGCGCCCGAGTCACACCACAGAGGAGTGGCGCCCGAGTCACACCGCAGAGGAGTGGCGCCCGACTCACACCAAAGAGGAGTGGCGCCCGACTCACACCACAGAGGAGTGGTGCCCGACTCACACCACAGAGGAGTGGCGCCCGCCTCACACCACAGAGGAGTGGCGCCCGCCTTACACCACAGAGGAGTGGCGCCCGCCTCACACCACAGAGGAGTGGCGCCCGAGTCACACCACAGAGGAGTGGCGCCCGACTCACACCACAGAGGAGTGGCGCCCGCCTTACACCACAGAGGAGTGGCGCCCGCCTCACATCACAGAGGAGTGGCGCCCGCATCACACCACAGAGGAATGGCGCCCGCCTCACACCACAGAGGAGTGGCGCCTGAGTCACACCACAGAGGAGTGGCGCCCGAGTCACACCACAGAGGAGTGGCGCCCGACTCACACCACAGAGGAGTGGCGCCCGCCTCACACCACAGAGGAGTGGCGCCCGCCTTACACCACAGAGGAGTGGCGCCCGCCTCACACCACAGAGGAGTGGCGCCCGCCTCACACCACAGAGGAGTGGCGCCCGACTCACACCACAGAGGAGTGGCGCCCGAGTCACACCACTGAGGAGTGGCGCCCGAGTCACACCACAGAGGAGTGGCGCCCGAGTAACACCGCAGAGGAGTGGCGCCCGCCTCACACCACAGAGGAGTGGCGCCTGCCTCACACCACAGAGGAGTGGCGCCCGACTCACACCACAGAGGAGTGGCGCCCGAGTCACACCACAGAGGAGTGGCGCCCGACTCACACCGCAGAGGAGTGGCGCCCGAGTCACACCACAGAGGAGTGGCGCCCGACTCACACCACAGAGGAGTGGCGCCCGAGTCACACCGCAGAGGAGTGGCGCCCGAGTCACACCACAGAGGAGTGGCGCCCGACTCACACCACAGAGGAGTGGCGCCCGAGTCACACCACAGAGGAGTGGCGCCCGCCTCACACCGCAGAGGAGTGGCGCCCGAGTCACACCACAAAGGAGTGGCGCCCGAGTCACACCGCAGAGGAGTGGCGCCCGAGTCACACCACAGAGGAGTGGCGCCCGAGTCACACCGCAGAGGAGTGGCGCCCGCCTCACACCGCAGAGGAGTGGCGCCCGAGTCACACCGCAGAGGAGTGGCGCCAGAGTCACACCACAGAGGAGTGGCGCCCGAGTCACACCACAGAGGAGTGGCGCCCGAGTCACACCACAGAGGAGTGGCGCCCGCCTCACACCACAGAGGAGTGGCGCCCGCCTCACACCGCAGAGGAGTGGCGCCCGCCTCACACCGCAGAGGAGTGGCGCCCGACTCACACCGCAGAGGAGTGGCGCCCGAGTCACACCGCAGAGGAGTGGCGCCCGCCTCACACCACAGAGGAGTGGCGCCCGAGTCACACCACAGAGGAGTGGCGCCCGAGTCACACCGCAGAGGAGTGGCGCCCGAGTAACACCACAGAGGAGTGGCGCCCGAGTCACACCACAGAGGAGTGGCGCCCGAGTCACACCACAGAGGAGTGGCGCCCGAGTAACACCGCAGAGGAGTGGCGCCCGCCTCACACCACAGAGGAGTGGCGCCCGCCTCACACCACAGAGGAGTGGCGCCCGCCTCACACCACAGAGGAGTGGCGCCCGACTCACACCACAGAGGAGTGGCGCCCGAGTCACACCACAGAGGAGTGGCGCCCGAGTCACACCACAGAGGAGTGGCGCCCGAGTCACACCACAGAGGAGTGGCGCCCGAGTCACACCACAGAGGAGTGGCGCCCGAGTCACACCACAGAGGAGTGGCGCCCGAGTCACACCACAGAGGAGTGGCGCCCGAGTCACACCACAGAGGAGTGGCGCCCGAGTCACACCACAGAGGAGTGGTGCCCGAGTCACACCACAGAGGAGTGGCGCCCGAGTCACACCACAGAGGAGTGGCGCCCGAGTCACACCGCAGAGGAGTGGCGCCCGAGTCACACCACAGAGGAGTGGCGCCCGACTCACACCACAGAGAAGTGGCGCCCGACTCACACCGCAGAGGAGTGGCGCCTGCCTCACACCACAGAGGAGTGGCGCCCGAGTCACACCACAGAGGAGTGGCGCCCGCCTCACACCACAGAGGAGTGGCGCCCGAGTCACACCACTGAGGAGTGGCGCCCGACTCACACCACAGAGGAGTGGCGCCCGAGTCACACCACAGAGGAGTGGCGCCCGACTCACACCGCACAGGAGTGGCGCCCGAGTAACACCGCAGAGGAGTGGCGCCCGCCTCACACCACAGAGGAGTGGCGCCTGAGTCACACCACAGAGGAGTGGCGCCCGAGTCACACCACAGAGGAGTGGCGCCCGACTCACACCACAGAGGAGTGGCGCCCGCCTCACACCACAGAGGAGTGGCGCCCGCCTTACACCACAGAGGAGTGGCGCCCGCCTCACACCACAGAGGAGTGGCGCCCGAGTCACACCACAGAGGAGTGGCGCCCGACTCACACCACAGAGGAGTGGCGCCCGACTCACACCACAGAGGAGTGGCGCCCGCCTTACACCACAGAGGAGTGGCGCCCGCCTCACATCACAGAGGAGTGGCGCCCGACTCACACCACAGAGGAGTGGCGCCCGACTCACACCACAGAGGAGTGGCGCCCGAGTCACACCACAGAGGAGTGGCGCCCGAGTCACACCACAGAGGAGTGGCGCCCGAGTCACACCACAGAGGAGTGGTGCCCGAGTCACACCACAGAGGAGTGGCGCCCGAGTCACACCGCAGAGGAGTGGCGCCCGAGTAAAACCGTAGAGGAGTGGCGCCCGAGTCACACCACAGAGGAGTGGCGCCCGAGTCACACCACAGAGGAGTGGCGCCCGCCTCACACCACAGAGGAGTGGCGCCCGACTCACACCACAGAGGAGTGGCGCCCGACTCACACCACAGAGGAGTGGCGCCCGAGTCACACCACAGAGGAGTGGCGCCCGAGTCACACCACAGAGGAGTGGCGCCCGAGTCACACCACAGAGGAGTGGCGCCCGAGTCACACCGCAGAGGAGTGGCGCCCGACTCACACCAAAGAGGAGTGGCGCCCGACTCACACCACAGAGGAGTGGTGCCCGACTCACACCACAGAGGAGTGGCGCCCGCCTCACACCACAGAGGAGTGGCGCCCGCCTTACACCACAGAGGAGTGGCGCCCGCCTCACACCACAGAGGAGTGGCGCCCGAGTCACACCACAGAGGAGTGGCGCCCGACTCACACCACAGAGGAGTGGCGCCCGCCTTACACCACAGAGGAGTGGCGCCCGCCTCACATCACAGAGGAGTGGCGCCCGCATCACACCACAGAGGAATGGCGCCCGCCTCACACCACAGAGGAGTGGCGCCTGAGTCACACCACAGAGGAGTGGCGCCCGAGTCACACCACAGAGGAGTGGCGCCCGACTCACACCACAGAGGAGTGGCGCCCGCCTCACACCACAGAGGAGTGGCGCCCGCCTTACACCACAGAGGAGTGGCGCCCGCCTCACACCACAGAGGAGTGGCGCCCGCCTCACACCACAGAGGAGTGGCGCCCGACTCACACCACAGAGGAGTGGCGCCCGAGTCACACCACTGAGGAGTGGCGCCCGAGTCACACCACAGAGGAGTGGCGCCCGAGTAACACCGCAGAGGAGTGGCGCCCGCCTCACACCACAGAGGAGTGGCGCCTGCCTCACACCACAGAGGAGTGGCGCCCGACTCACACCACAGAGGAGTGGCGCCCGAGTCACACCACAGAGGAGTGGCGCCCGACTCACACCGCAGAGGAGTGGCGCCCGAGTCACACCACAGAGGAGTGGCGCCCGACTCACACCACAGAGGAGTGGCGCCCGAGTCACACCGCAGAGGAGTGGCGCCCGAGTCACACCACAGAGGAGTGGCGCCCGACTCACACCACAGAGGAGTGGCGCCCGAGTCACACCACAGAGGAGTGACGCCGGAGTCACACCGCAGAGGAGTGACGCCCGAGTCACACCGCAGAGGAGTGGCGCCCGCCTCACACCGCAGAGGAGTGGCGCCCGAGTCACACCACAGAGCAATGGCGCCCGCCTCACACCACAGAGGAGCGGCGCCCGAGTCGCACCACAGAGGAGTGGCGCCCGACTCGCACCACAGAGGAGTGGCGCCCGCCTCACACCACAGAGGAGTGGCGCCCGAGTCACACCACAGAGGAGTGGCGCCCGACTCACACCACAGAGGAGTGGCGCCCGCCTTACACCACAGAGGAGTGGCGCCCGCCTCACATCACAGAGGAGTGGCGCCCGCATCACACCACAGAGGAATGGCGCCCGCCTCACACCACAGAGGAGTGGCGCCCGAGTCACACCACAGAGGAGTGGCGCCCGAGTCACACCACAGAGGAGTGGTGCCCGAGTCACACCACAGAGGAGTGGCGCCCGAGTCACACCACAGAGGAGTGGCGCCCGAGTCACACCACTGAGGAGTGGCGCCCGAGTCACACCACAGAGGAGTGGCGCCCGAGTCACACCACAGAGGAGTGGCGCCCGAGTCACACCACAGAGGAGTGACGCCCGAGTCACACAGCAGAGGAGTGACGCCCGAGTCACACCGCAGAGGAGTGGCGCCCGCCTCACACCGCAGAGGAGTGGCGCCCGAGTCACACCACAGAGCAATGGCGCCCGCCTCACACCACAGAGGAGTGGCGCCCGAGTCGCACCACAGAGGAGTGGCGCCCGACTCGCACCACAGAGGAGTGGCGCCCGCCTCACACCACAGAGGAGTGGCGCCCGCCTCACACCACAGAGGAGTGGCGCCCGCCTCACACCACAGAGCAATGGCGCCCGCCTCACACCACAGAGGAGTGGCGCCCGAGTCGCACCACAGAGGAGTGGCGCCCGACTCGCACCACAGAGGAGTGGCGCCCGAGTCACACCACAGAGGAGTGGCGCCCGCCTCACACCACAGAGGAGTGGCGCCCGCCTCACACCACAGAGGAGTGGCGCCCGAGTCACACCACAGAGGAGTGGCGCCCGACTCACACCACAGAGGAGTGGCGCCCGACTCACACCACAGAGGAGTGGCGCCCGCGTCACACCACAGAGGAGTGGCGCCCGCCTCACACCACAGAGGAGTGGCGCTCGCCTCACACCACAAAGGAGTGGCGCCCGACTCACACCACAGAGGAGTGGCGCCCGAGTCACACCACAGAGGAGTGGCGCCCGAGTCACACCACAGAGGAGTGGCGTCCGAGTCACACCACAGAGGAGTGGCGCCCGAGTCACACCACAGAGGAGTGGCGCCCGAGTCACACCACAGAGGAGTGGCGCCCGAGTCACACCACAGAGGAGTGACGCCGGAGTCACACCGCAGAGGAGTGACGCCCGAGTCACACCGCAGAGGAGTGGCGCCCGCCTCACACCGCAGAGGAGTGGCGCCCGAGTCACACCACGGAGCAATGGCGCCCGCCTCACACCACAGAGGAGCGGCGCCCGAGTCGCACCACAGAGGAGTGGCGCCCGACTCGCACCACAGAGGAGTGGCGCCCGCCTCACACCACAGAGGAGTGGCGCCCGCCTCACACCACAGAGGAGTGGCGCCCGCCTCACACCACAGAGCAATGGCGCCCGCCTCACACCACAGAGGAGTGGCGCCCGAGTCGCACCACAGAGGAGTGGCGCCCGACTCGCACCACAGAGGAGTGGCGCACCAGTCACAACACAGAGGAGTGGCGCCCGCCTCACACCACAGAGGAGTGGCGCCCGCCTCACACCACAGAGGAGTGGCGCCCGAGTCACACCACAGAGGAGTGGCGCCCGACTCACACCACAGAGGAGTGGCGCCCGACTCACACCACAGAGGAGTGGCGCCCGAGTCACACCACAGAGGAGTGGCGCCCGCCTCACACCACAGAGGAGTGTTGCTCGCCTCACACCACAGAGGAGTGGCGCCCGACTCACACCACAGAGGAGTGGCGCCCGAGTCACACCACAGAGGAGTGGCGCCCGAGTCACACCACAGAGGAGTGGCGTCCAAGTCACACCACAGAGGAGTGGCGCCCGAGTCACACCACAGAGGAGTGGCGCCCGAGTCACACCACAGAGGAGTGGCGCCCGAGTCACACCACAGAGGAGTGACGTCCGAGTCACACCGCAGAGGAGTGACGCCCGAGTCACACCGCAGAGGAGTGGCGCCCGCCTCACACCGCAGAGGACTGGCGCCCGAGTCACACCGCAGAGGATTGGCGCCCGCCTCACACCACAGAGGAGTGGCGCCCGACTCGCACCACAGAGGAGTGGCGCCCGCCTCACACCACAGAGGAGTGGCGCCCGCCTCACACCACAGAGGAGTGGCGCCCGCCTCACACCACAGAGCAATGGCGCCCGCCTCACACCACAGAGGAGTGGCGCCCGAGTCGCACCACAGAGGAGTGGCGCCCGACTCGCACCACAGAGGAGTGGCGCCCGAGTCACACCACAGAGGAGTGGCGCCCGCCTCACACCACAGAGGAGTGGCGCCCGCCTCACACCACAGAGGAGTGGCGCCCGAGTCACACCACAGAGGAGTGGCGCCCGACTCACACCACAGAGGAGTGGCGCCCGACTCACACCACAGAGGAGTGGCGCCCGCCTCACACCACAGAGGAGTGGCGCCCGCCTCACACCACAGAGGAGTGGCGCTCGCCTCACACCACAGAGGAGTGGCGCCCGAGTCACACCACAGAGGAGCAGAGAGGCGCCTCTTAGTGCCCCATAGAGAAGAGGCCCCCTTAGGCGCCCCATAGGCGCCTCTTAACAGGGGTGGCGCCTCTTAGAGGAGAGGAGTCTCTTAGAGGAGAGGCGCCCCTTACAGGAGAGGCGCCCCTTACAGGAGAGGCGCCCCTCTTAGAGGGAGAAGCGAAGGGAGTGGAGGAAGCGAGGTGGGAGAGGAGGGCTGCATGGCCCTTAGGAGGAGGAAGCGTGGGGAGTGGAGGAAGCGAGGTGGGAGAGGAGGGATGGATGGTCCTTAGAAGGAGGAAGCAAGGGGAGAGGAGGAAGCGAGGTGGGAGAGGAGGGAAGGATGGCCCTTATGAGGAGGAAGCGTGGGGAGTGGAGGAAGCGAGGTGGGAGAGGAGGGATGGATGGCCCTTAGGAGGAGGAAGCGTGGGGAATGGAGGAAGCGAGGTGGGAGAGGAGGGAGGGATGAACCTTAGGAGGAGGAAGCGTGGGGAGTGGAGTAAGGGAGGTGGAAGAGGAGGGCTGGATGGCCCTTGGGAGGAGGAAGCGAGGGGAGTGGAGGAAGCAAGGTGGGAGAGGAGGGTTGAATGGCCCTTAGGGGGAGGAAGTGAGGGGAGTGGAGGGGAGTGGAGGAAGCGAGGTGGGAGAGGAAGGAGGGATGTGTCAGAACTTAGGCTTAGAACTGATACATTAGTAGCGAGCTGAAAACTCTTTAAGTACATCAGAAATGAGCAAGATAAGGATGAGGAGGGAATCAGGGGCAATCCTAGGGAATCAAGGGTAATCCCAAGGCAGTCTTCAATTGGTGGGTTGGAGATTGCTTGGAGATTACATTTGGGTTTGGTTGGGATGTGGGTGTACACCCAACCAAACACAAAGTGCAGTCTACACTAAACTAGGATATAAAAGTACAAGTACAAAATGTGAGATTGAGGGCTAACACCAACAGGATGAACCTTGGGAGGAGGAAGCGAGGGGAGTGGAGGAAGCGAGGTGGGAGAGGAGGGCTGGATGGCCCTTAGGGGGAGGAAGCGTGGGGAATGGAGGAAGCGAGGTAAGAGAGGAGGGAGGGATGAACCTTGGGAGGAGGAAGCGTGGGGAGTGGAAGAAGCGAGGTGGGAGAGGAGGGATGGATGGCCCTTAAGGGGAGGAAGCGAGGGGAGTGGAAGAAGCGAGGTGGGAGAGGAGGGTTGGATGGCCCTTAGGGGGAGGAAGCGAGGGGAGTGGAGGAAGCGAGGTGGGAGAGGAGGGTTGGATGGCCCTTAGGGGGAGGAAGCGAGGGGAGTGGAGGAAGCGAGGTGGGAGAGGAGGGCTGGATGGCCCTTGGGAGGAGGAAGCGTGGGGAGTGGAAGAAGCGAGGTGGGAGAGGAGGGTTGGATGGCCCTTAGGGGGAGGAAGCGAGGGGAGTGGAGGAAGCGAGGTGGGAGAGGAGGGTTGGATGGCCCTTAGGGGGAGGAAGCGAGGGGAGTGGAGGAAGCGAGGTGGGAGAGGAGGGAGGGATGAACCTTAGGAGGAGGAAGCGAGGGGAGTGGAGGAAGCGAGGAGTGAGAGGAGGGCTGGATGGCCCTTGGGAGGAGGAAGCGTGGGGAGTGGAAGAAGCGAGGTGGGAGAGGAGGGTTGGATGGCCCTTAGGAGGAGGAAGCGAGGGGAGTGGAGGAAGCGAGGTGGGAGAGGAGGGCTGGATGGCCCTTGGGAGGAGGAAGCGTGGGGAGTGGAGGAAGCGAGGTGGGAGAGGAGGGTTGGATGGCCCTTAGGAGGAGGAAGCGAGGGGAGTGGAGGAAGCGAGGTGGGAGAGGAGGGTTGGATGGCCCTTAGGAGGAGGAAGCGAGGGGAGTGGAGGAAGCGAGGTGGGAGAGGAGGGCTGGATGGCCCTTGGGAGGAGGAAGCGTGGGGAGTGGAGGAAGCGAGGTGGGAGAGGAGGGCTGGATGGCCCTTAGGGGGAGGAAGCGAGGGGAGTGGAAGAAGCGAGGTGGGAGAGGAGGGTTGGATGGCCCTTAGGGGGAGGAAGCGTGGGGAGTGGAGGAAGCGAGGTGGGAGAGGAGGGAAGGATGGCCCTTAGGGGGAGGAAGCGAGGGGAGTGGAGGAAGCGAGGTGGGAGAGGAGGGCTGGATGGCCCTTGGGAGGAGGAAGCGTGGGGAGTGGAGGAAGCGAGGTGGGAGAGGAGGGTTGGATGGCCCTTAGGAGGAGGAAGCGAGGGGAGTGGACGAAGCGAGGTGGGAGAGGAGGGCTGGATGGCCCTTGGGAGGAGGAAGCGTGGGGAGTGGAGGAAGCGAGGTGGGAGAGGAGGGTTGGATGGCCCTTGGGAGGAGGAAGCGTGGGGAGTGGAGGAAGCGAGGTGGGAGAGGAGGGCTGGATGGCCCTTAGGGGGACGAAGCGAGGGGAGTGGAAGAAGCGAGGTGGGAGAGGAGGGTTGGATGGCCCTTAGGGGGAGGAAGCGTGGGGAGTGGAGGAAGCGAGGTGGGAGAGGAGGGTTGGATGGCCCTTAGGGGGAGGAAGCGAGGTGGGAGAGGAGGGAGGGATGAACCTTAGGAGGAGGAAGCGAGGGGAGTGGAGGAAGCGAGGTGGGAGAGGAGGGCTGCATGGCCCTTAGGAGGAGGAAGCATGGGGAATGGAGGAAGCGAGGTGGGAGAGGAGGGAGGGATGAACCTTAGGAGGAGGAAGCGAAGGGAGTGGAGGAAGCGAGGTGGGAGAGGAGGGTTGGATGAACATTAGGGGGAGGAAGCGAGGGGAGTGGAGGAAGCGAGGTGGGAGAGGAGGGCTGCATGGCCCTTAGGAGGAGGAAGCGTGGGGAATGGAGGAAGCGAGGTGGGAGAGGAGGGAGGGATGAACCTTAGGAGGAGGAAGCGAGGCGAGTGGAGGGAGCGAGGTGGGAGAGGAGGGTTGGACGGCCCTTAGGAGGAGGAAGCGAGGGGAGTGGAGGAAGCAAGGTGGGAGAGGAGGGCTGCATGGCCCTTAGGAGGAGGAAGCGAGGGGAGTGGAGGAAGCGAGGTGGGAGAGGAGGGTTGGATGGCCCTTAGGAGGAGGAAGCGTGGGGAGTGGAGGAAGCGAGGTGGGAGGGGAGGGCTGGATGGCCCTTAGGAAGAGGAAGCGTGGGGAGTGGAGGAAGCGAGGTGGGAGAGGAGGGATGGATGAAGCTTAGGAGGAGGAAGCGAGGGGAGTGGAAGAAGCGAGGTGGGAGAGGAGGGCTGGATGGCCCTTGGGAGGAGGAAGCGAGGGGAGAGGAGGAAGCGAGGTGGGAGAGGAGGGTTGGATGGCCCTTAGGAGGAGGAAGCGTGGGGAGTGGAGGAAGCGAGGTGGGAGAGGAGGGCTGGATGGCCCTTAGGAGGAGGAAGCGAGGGGAGTGGAGGAAGCGAGGTGGGAGAGGAGGGTTGGATGGCCCTTAGGAGGAGGAATCGTGAGGAGTGGAGGAAGCGAGGTGGGAGAGGAGGGTTGGATGAAGCTTAGGAGGAGGAAGCGAGGGGAGTGGAAGAAGCGAGGTGGGAGAGGAGGGCTGGATGGCCCTTGGGAGGAGGAAGCGAGGGGAGAGGAGGAAGCGAGGTGGGAGAGGAGGGTTGGATGGCCCTTAGGAGGAGGAAGCGTGGGGAGTGGAGGAAGCTAGGTGGGAGAGGAGGGCTGGATGGCCCTTAGGAGGAGGAAGCGTGGGGAGTGGAGGAAGCGAGGTGGGAGAGGAGGGATGGATGAAGCTTAGGAGGAGGAAGCGAGGGGAGTGGAGGAAGCGAGGTGGGAGAGGAGGGCTGGATGGCCCTTGGGAGGAGGAAGCGTGGGGAGTCGAGGAAGCGAGGTGGGAGGGGAGGGCTGGATGGCCCTTAGGAGGAGGAAGCGTGGGGAGTAGAGGAAGCGAGGTGGGAGAGGAGGGATGGATGAAGCTTAGGAGGAGGAAGCGAGGGGAGTGGAAGAAGCGAGGTGGGAGAGGAGGGCTGGATGGCCCTTGGGAGGAGGAAGCGAGGGGAGAGGAGGAAGCGAGGTGGGAGAGGAGGGTTGGATGGCTCTTAGGAGGAGGAAGCGTGGGGAGTGGAGGAAGCGAGGTGGGAGAGGAGGGCTGGATGGCCCTTAGGGGGAGGAAGCGTGGGGAGTGGAGGAAGCGAGGTGGGAGAGGAGGGATGGATGAAGCTTAGGAGGAGGAAGCGAGGGGAGTGTAGGAAGCGAGGTGGGAGAGGAGGTATGGATGAAGCTTAGGAGGAGGAAGCGTGGGGAGTGGAGGAAGCGAGGTGGGAGAGGAGGGCTGGATGGCCCTTAACAGGAGGGCTGAGCGCCTCTTAGAGGAGAGCGGCGCCCGCCTCACACCACAGAGGAGTGGCGCCCGCCTTACACCACAGAGGAGTGGCGCCCGCCTCACACCACAGAGGAGTGGCGCCCTCCTCACATCACAGAGGAGTGGCGCCCGCCTCACATCACAGAGTGGCGCCCGCCTCACACCACAGAGGAGTGGCGCCCGCCTCACACCACAGAGGAGTGGCGCCCGCCTTACACCACAGAGTGGCGCCCGCCTCACACCACAGAGGAGTGGCGCCCGCCTTACACCACAGAGGAGTGGCGCCCGCCTCACATCACAGAGGAGTGGCGCCCGCCTCACACCACAGAGGAGTGGCGCCCGCCTCACCACAGAGGAGTGGCGCCCGCCTCACATCACAGAGGAGTGGCGCCCGCCTCACACCACAGAGGAGTGGCGCCCGCCTTACACCACAGAGGAGTGGCGCCCGCCTCACACCACAGAGGAGTGGCGCCCGCCTTACACCACAGAGGAGTGGCGCCCGCCTCACATCACAGAGGAGTGGCGCCCGCCTTACACCACAGAGGAGTGGCGCCCGCCTCTCATCACAGAGGAGTGGCGCCCGCCTCACACCACAGAGGAGTGGCGCCCGCCTTACACCACAGAGGAGTGGCGCCCGCCTCACATCACAGAGGAGTGGCGCCCGCCTTACACCACAGAGGAGTGGCGCCCGCCTCACACCACAGAGGAGTGCCGCCCTCCTCACATCACAGAGGAGTGGCGCCCGCCTCACATCACAGAGGAGTGGCGCCCGCCTTACACCACAGAGGAGTGGCGCCCGCCTCACACCACAGAGGAGTGGCGCCCGCCTTACACCACAGAGGAGTGGCGCCCGCCTCTCATCACAGAGGAGTGGTGCCCGCCTCACACCACAGAGGAGTGGCGCCCTCCTAACATCACAGAGGAGTGGCGCCCGCCTTACACCACAGAGGAGTGGCGCCCGCCTCACATCACAGAGGAGTGGTGCCCGCCTCACACCACAGAGGAGTGGCGCCCGCCTCACATCACAGAGGAGTGGCGCCCGCCTTACACCACAGAGGAGTGGCGCCCGCCTCACACCACAGAGGAGTGGCGCCCTCCTCACACCACAGAGGAGTGGCGCCCGCCTTACACCACAGAGGAGTGGCGCCCGCCTCAGATCACAGAGGAGTGGCGCCCGCCTTACACCACAGAGGAGTGGCGCCCGCCTCACACCACAGAGGAGTGGCGCCCTCCTCACACCACAGAGGAGTGGCGCCCGCCTTACACCACAGAGGAGTGGCGCCCGCCTCACATCACAGAGGAGTGGCGCCCGCCTCACACCACAGAGGAGTGGCGCCCTCCTCACATCACAGAGGAGTGGCGCCCGCCTCACATCACAGAGGAGTGGCACCCGCCTTACACCACAGAGGAGTGGCACCCGCCTCACACCACAGAGGAGTGGCGCCCGCCTCACACCACAGAGGAGTGGCGCCCTCCTCACATCACAGAGGAGTGGCGCCCGCCTCACACCACAGAGGAGTGGCGCCCGCCTCTCATCACAGAGGAGTGGCGCCCGCCTCACACCACAGAGGAGTGGCGCCCGCCTCACACCACAGAGGAGTGGCGCCCGCCTCTCATCACAGAGGAGTGGCGCCCGCCTCACACCACAGAGGAGTGGCGCCTGCATCTCAGAGGAGAGGCGCCTGCCTCTTAGAGGGGAGGCGCCTGCCTCTTAGAGCAGAGGCGTCTCTGAGAGGAGAGTCGCCTGCCTCTGAGAGGAGAGGCGCCTCTTAGAGGAAAGGCGCCCCTTAGAGGAGAGGCACCCCTTAGAGGGGGAAGCGTGGGGAGTGGAGGAAGCGAGGTGGGAGAGGAGGGCTGGATGGCCCTTAAAGGAGAGGCGCCCCTTAGAGGAGAGGCGTCCCTTAGAGGAGAGGCGTCCCTTAACAGGAGAGGCGTCCCTTAACAGGAGAGGCGCCTCTTAGGGGAGAGGCATGGTCCAGGGGCTGGCAGGAGAAGAGGAGGAAATGGTGAAGATGAGATCCATGGGTTAAAGTCCATGTTTTGCTCTTTTAGGCAATGCCTACTCGACTAAAAGGGCGCACCTTAGTGGGGAAGAGGTAGAGGGTGGTGGCGTGGGGGTGCGAGAGCAGCGTGTGGAGGACCGGCACATTGTAGCACAGCGATTTGCCACTCGCTGTCGCCGTGGCAATGATTGCATGCCGCCCGGCCAGTGCAGCATCAATAGCCTTCACCCGCAGAGCAAAGCAGGGAATCAACGAAAGAAAAAGGACATGGATCGGTAAGGCCTCACCAAACAAGAATGTTTTTTGGTCGCCTCTCTGAAGGGAAAGGGGGAGAAGAGGCACGGGAAGGCACGAGCCACGTGTGCTTACCTGATGGGAGTAGAGCTGGGAGACGCCCGCACGAGCCAAGGCGTGCCACGTGGCAGGGCATAACTGGCTGACCAGGTTTTTATAGCGCGGTTTCCTCTGTGGCAGCTCCTCGCAGTGCACCACCTGACCGGGGCGGGATGGAAGCAGGGCGGTAGGAAGGCAGGGTGACAAGGTCATAGGGAGGTAGGGAAGCAGGGTGACAGGGAGGCATGGAGGTAGGGAAGCAGAGAGACAGGGAGCCAGGGAGGTACAGAGGCAGAGCGACAGGGAGTAAGGGAGGTGAGCGCGTGGAGCAGGGAGGGGGGTGTGTGGAGCAGGGAAGTGTGCATATGAGAGGAATAACGAGGCATGTGTGTGTCAAAGAATGGAGAGACGCATCAGCCAGGCCACGTTTTTCACCCACTAGTCAAGTATCCACCTGCCCAAGCAACCCTCCCCCCCTTGCAGCACCCCCCCACCCTCCCTCAGCCCTCACCCACCTGCCCTAATGATCCGAGGCCCTGCTTGAGATGCTCCAGCAGCTGCGGTGCACTCATGGTCTCCATGCTCTGATGCCCGGCGCAACAGCGGGAGGGAGACACGACGAGGGGAAGGGAGGGAGGGGAAAGGGGACAGACAACGGAGTTGCAGGGGAGGGAGAAGCAGGGGGGTGAGGGGGAAGGGGGAGACAGATGACAAGTGCTGAGTTGGGTTGGCAGGAATCAGAATGCTGTGTGTTTGATGCGGTGAGTCACATGACCGCACTCACGTCACAGCAGCACTCACATTGCAAGGAGGCACTTTCTTGAGTTGCCTGGGCGGACAGGGAGGTGTGTATCGTTGTGTCCCAATGCCCGTCTCATCATCCCACCCCTCATCGCCACCACAACCAGCACCACCATCACAGCCTCCTTTCTTCCCACCCTTCTCTGCCCCTTCCCCACCCTCCATTGCACCTTCCTCCACCTCTCCAGTCTTAACAGACTCATCCCCAGCTGCCCCTCCTTTCCTCCGTTGCTTGTTTAGCCTCCCAACACATGCCTCCCTCTGCTGTTTCCCCTTCCCTCCCTTCCCACCTCTCCCCTGCCCATCATGCGCATGAGCATCAGTATGCTGAGAGGAATGGAAGGAGGCCGCTTTAGCAAGCATCATGGACACTGAGATGTCTTCAAACGGAAATTCTGCATGCCAAGCCATGCTGCCCGCACTCTGCATCACACCAGTACGCCCCTGCTGCTTCCCTCCTCCCTCCTTCCCTCGACCACTCTCTTCCACGTCAGCTCCCACAGATTCAAACTGCCTCGTTACCCCCATCCTTCGAATGGCCCTTTCATTGATTATCATAGGACTTATAGGCATGCAAGGTGGTAGCTTTTGTGAGTCTGGTGCATAAAGCCTCTTACTACTCTTCTACCATTCCCCCCCCCCCCCCTTCCTAAGCTAGGTCCAGCGCAGGATCAAGGACCGAGAGGCAGTCCCCTAGGGACGGAGCCTCACCCACTGCCTCCAGCAGTGGGTATTCTACTGCAGCCGCTATGCTGCACTTTTCTAAGTATCCAATCGACTGCCCCCTTTGTAGAGCCACCGACCACCGCTGCCGATAGTGGTGTAAGAGCTTGGCAGCTTGGTAGGAGGTTGGCTCGGCGTTAAAGAACCGCCTTGCAGCCGTCTCCGCGATCAGCTTCAGGAAATCCACTGTCTCAGGGCATGGGCACCCATAAGTCTCGACCGCAAGCGGGAAAAACTTCACCCACTCAGGGCGGTCCCTGTAGAGGCCGTGCTTCTTATCTGCCGCCTCCCGTGCTGCCCACCCCCGCCCCTTAGTTGCATTCTTGTCGCGGGTGCTGATGGGATCCGTCACCGTCACATCACAGATGTAGACGGCGCCATTGGAGCGGCAGCGGAGGGCCAGATCAGCCTTCTTCTCTTCCACTGGGCTGAAAGCGGCCGTTTCAATGTGCACCATGAAGCCTGCGTCGCGCGCCATTCGCGCGCATTCATCTCTTAGCTCATTATGCGTGTTTGTGCGCCCTCCCCCTGTCCCACATCGTAGCAGGTGGTTTGGGAGCCGCTTGTCTGGGATTTGCACCTTCTTCGAGCAATTGCAGACCCCGGGAGCCGCAAAGGGGAGCCCCAGCCGAAACTGGAGCGCATTGGTGTAGTGCGGAGCCTCGAGGTGTAGCGCGCGGTGCAGAGGCACCGCGTTTAACCAATCCCCTGCGCCATACCCCGACAGGGACATCATCCGCTGCGTGTGACCATTGTTCGGGTTCGGGCTCATCCCCCTCACCTCCTCCACTTGGACAGCATAGCGCTGGCCCTGGATAGCCGTGGCCAGCCCGTGCTGCAGCTTCCCTGCGGTTGGGGCTGTTCTCTCTGCTTGCAGGGCTTCCTGAGCTGGCAGTGGGAGCTCCTCCTCGCATTTCGCTAGCCATTCGGTCAGGGGGGAGGCCTGAGTGTAGGGACCGCGCATCACCTCGCGTGTTACTTCCAGTGGGCCGGTGCATTCGTCCTCCAGGGAGTCCAGCAGGAGATGAGCCTGCGTGTAGCTGGCGAGGAAGCTGTAGCTTCCTTCCACGGACGGGTCCGTCAGTCCGAGGCCACCGAGCGATACGGGGAGGGAGGCCTGCGCCCATGTGCGTGATATTTCCTCCTCCCCCCGTGGGTGGTTAATGCCGCATGCCGTGAGCAGGGTATCCAACAGACGCCTCCCCCATTCGGACCACTCCCCTTGGGGCAGGGCCGGAAGGGGAGTCGTGCGGGCCAAGTAAGACACTCGGCGCGAGACGCACCGAGACAGCAGCAGACCCGCCAGCTGAGGCTCCATCCGCTCTATCAATCCCAGCGGCGCACCCATCGCTTCCAGGCTGGATCGTATGAAGGCGGATGTTGCTGTTGGGGTGCCGATGAAACTGCCCAGCACTTTCAACCCATCGCCGCTGAGTGGAACCCCCTCGGGCAGGGTGTAGTCCGCAGGCGACCCATCGGACCAGGCCCCGCACTTGGCGGGGTTGTGTCTGAGGCCGATTTCTGCAAGAAGGCCCGTGAAATGATCAAAAGCAGCCGCACATGACGACGGATCCCCTAAGAAGGTAACGTCATCCGCGTAAGCAAGACAGATGACATCCGGATGTGCCTCCGCCGCCGCCTTCAGAGCCGGTTGCATGGCCGCGGCAAAAAGAAGGGGGCCGAGGAGGTCCCCTTGGCGGACTCCGGTCTCGCTGAGCAAGGGCGCGTGGTTAAAGGCTGCGTCCAGGTGCAGTGCAGACGCCTGGCCGTAAGAGAAAATCACCAAAGGCAGTAGCGGCTCCAGCTGCGAGCCTTTCAGCGCTGTCGCTATGGCGAGGCGGTCGACGCTGTTGAAAGCGTTAGCTAGATCCGCCTGCAAGACTAGCGCCTCCGGATTGGCCGAGGTGAAGGTTCGAACGATGTGGATCACTGCCTCTGCTCCTCCCGGCACGGCAACCCCAAACTGTAATGGTAAGAAAAATTCTCTGGCCGCTTCTGCTAGCTGAGTAAGTGCTGCTTTGGCTGCCAGTCGTAGGATGCATTCACCTATTGCTATTGGCCTGGTCCCTCCGTCTGGCTTGTCAAGGGCTATCAACCTTGATGCGGTAAGAAGCCCCCCAACCTCCTTGCGCAGCTTCCCGCGAAGGATCGTGTTGACAAGCGCATGTAAGTGTGAACTGACCGCAGAATGCATCAGTGCAGCTTCGCGCAGGTGTTCGAACGTCGTGCCTGAAGGGCCTGCGCCGACCCCGTTCTCACACTTTGTGAGAAGTTTCAAGAAGGCTTCTCGCGACACTGCCAGGTAAGTGTCCGGCTCAGGCTGGGGCCACGGTGCGTCAGGATGCCTTCCACGCGGGTGCTTGGCGCGTAGAGATTCCAGAACTTCTGGGGTCGGCTTGCTGACTGGAGTGGCTTCAAGTGCCATGACAGCCCTTCGCAGGCTGCCACGACGCGCCAGACCTTCTGCCCTGGAGATAGCTCCCAGGTCATCTGGTTGGTGTCTGGGGGGTGGGGGCAGCTCCAGCGAATCCACTGTTTCCTGGTAAAGTGAATCCCACTCCCCTCGCAGGAATTTACGCAATCTGCTTCTGGTCGCCTTCCAATCAGGGTGCTTCGGCGACTGCTGACGCAATGTCAGGCGAGCGGCAAACAGCAAAACCGTCCAGGCTTGGGTGGAATCAGGGTCGTCGGCGAGTCGCAGCAGTGGTGTCAGTAAGACCATTGCGAAAAGCAGGCGCAGTTTTTCCGGGAGGCGACGTGCCAGAGGTGCGTTGCGACTGTCGCGTAGCTTGTCCAGATTCCAGTCACTGACGCTCGCGAAAAGTGTGTCATCCTTGGCGAGGGTCTCTGGCGATTTTTGGGGGAGGGGTTGAGACTGCTGTTGGTTACCCCTCGCTGCAGTTCGCGGTGCAATTACAGGTGTTGGTGGCGGGATTTGTTGGGCGGGCTGGTTGGCAGTGGTGTCAGGGTTGTTGGGAGCAGTTTGAATTGGTGGGGATGGTCGCGGTTGGGTGGGCGCGTGATTGAAATTTGTTGCCGCGCTTCGGGCGTGGGTTGAGTTGCCTCTCTGCCGTGCTGGGGTCTGTGACTGGGCCTCTTCCGAGGCATTCGAAGTTGAGTCTGATTCCTCCTCCTCCGCCTCATAAATACTCCCCGACAAAGCATCTGCTTCATTAGCTCTTCCCAACTCAGTTAAAGCCCTTCGCGCCGCCGCCTGGAACGCGTTCTCCGGTCCGCCCTCTCGCGTACTCCGTCCACGCCCGCGACCTCCGGCACGACCTCCGCGCATCCGCGCATTGGCTGCGGCCAGCTGTGGACTCACTCGACTCGCTTCTCCCGCGCTCTGGCGCGACCTTGCGTCCTCGATCGCCTGCTGCCGACGCGTTCGCCGTAATGGCGACTGAAGCGGAGAGGTCAGCGGTGGACCAAGGTCACACCGCTGAGAGTGCGATTGCTCCGCCTCCGGCCCCTGCTGCCGCTGTTGCTGTTGCTGCTGCTCCCCTGCTCCCCCCGGCTCCCCCTGCTGTTGTTGCGACGTCCGCGGTTCCGCACCCGCTGTCGCCGGCTCCCCCGCCAAGCCTTCCGCACGCTGTTCCCGTGTCCGGCGCGCCGGTTCCCGTTGCGCAGCCGTCGCATGTGGCGCAGCCGCCCGCCCAAGCTGTCGCTGGGGGCCCTGCGCAGGGGACAGCGGTGGGCGCCGGCCCCGATTCTGCCCACTTGGTTGCCCCTTCTGCTGCGCCGGTGAATCCCGTCGCGCAGCGGCTCGCGGAGTCCCAGATACGCGCTGCCGCGGGGGGCAATGCGGCAGCGCATCGGGGGCGAGGTTCTCCTCGGCGTCGTCCCTCCTCGTCATATCGTTCGGCGCACCGCGGAGGTCGCGGTGGCTGGTGGGGAGGTCACGGTCGCGGGCGCGGTGGGCCGAGCGAGATGCAGCAGCTGCGCGAGGATTTCCCGGGGATGCTGGCTGCGGCGATGCGCAACGCTCTGAATGGCGCACCGAATCTTGGTAGCTCCCCGGCTCCCGCCGCTCCTGCGCCCGCGCCTGCCCCTGTGAATGCGCAGGTTCCGGCCGCGCCCCTTGCTGCACCTGCTCCGCACGCATCTGCGTACCCGCGGGCTCCTGCTCCTGGCAGTGACCGTGCTCCGCCTGCCTACGTTCGTCCTGTGTCTGCCTCGCAGTATCCGCCCCTGCCCTGGATTCCCCCTCTTCCGGACACGGGATTTGTGGGAGCGGGAGGCGGAGGGGCGAGGGGAGCCTTCGTTCCTCCGCGTCGTTTTGCTGAAGCTCCGTCCGTGCAGCCTCCGCCCCCTCTTCCCGTTCCGCCTGCCGCGTTGAGGACCGGAGTGGCTCAAGTTCCCACGGCGACCCTCGCGCAGCTGTGGCGCTTGGTGGAGTGCCAGCAGGCCCTGACACTGATTCTGGTGAATGCGCACTTCGCCATTCTCCAGAGCCCAGGGAGCACTCTCGGTCGTGAGGCGCGAGGAGATTGCTTGGCGGCGGCTGCGCAACTTGCCTTCCTCCTCCTACCCTTGCTGGGAGCGCCCGCGATGGGAGGCGTTGCGGTTTCAGAACTGGACGGAACGGTCCAGGGTCTGACCGCACACCTCCAGGCTGGTGGCGGGATTGAAGCTGTAGGCGCGACCGCGTTAGTGGTCCAGCAACTGTGGAGGACCATGCGTGGTATCCTCGCGGCGCTGGAGGCCCATCTGATGTAGTTTCCGGCGCCCTCCGCGCGTAGACCCTTTGCATCTCGTGGTCTAGGAGTTGGGCGCGTGGCCCATCGCTGTCTTGTGTTGATTGCTTATTGTTTGTCTTGCTGCTGAACCTTGCCACCCCTAAGCACGCGGCCGAAGGCCGCGCAACGCGAGCGCTGGCGGCCGCAGGCCGCCGGCGCGAGCGCCTACGAAAAACTGGAAAACAGAATGAACTAATGAGGAGAGAGACCCATACGGGACCCTTATATAGCTTGGAGGCAAGGGACAGAGGCAAGGGACAGAGGCTAAGTCCTCTCTCTCTCTCTCGCTCTCTCCGCCTACGAAAAACTGGAAAACAGAATGAACTAATGGCACTGCCCTCGCCCTCGTCCTCGCCCTCACCCGGAACTGCCTCGCGGCCCCCCTCCGCTGCACCAGCTGCCCCGTGTTGACTCTCCTCTCCTCGCAAGCCCCGGCCAGAAGCTGCAGAAACAGGAGAGGCCTGACAGCGCGACTGTGGCACAGGTGGGTGTACTTGCAACGTGGGCTGTGACTGAGGCGCAGGAGGGAGGACGTGAGCGAGGGAGTCTTGGTGAATGCGGTGGAGGGCTGCTGTGAGTGCCGAGTGAAAAGCAGCTCTCCTCTTGTCTGCCAGCCTGACAGCACTGCGACGTGGTATGCGTTGCTGTGTACCTGGAGAATAATGGAGGATGATGTGGAATGAGAGGAAGTGAGTGAGTGCACACAAGACAACTGGGAGGCAAACCATTGGGAAAAAGAGAGTTGGGAAGCAGACGAGCCAGCTTCATGTCACCGGTGGCGTTGCACCACACAGGTGCCACAACCAACTAACCTCTCTCCAGCACTCACCTTGCATCACCATGCCTCCCCGCTTGATCTGCTGCTCTGGTGGTCGAGATGGGTCCCACATGCCCACCACCACAACCCACCCACCTCCATCTCATCCCCTTTTCTCCCCTCCCCTTCCATCTGCTCTCTCTTCCCTCCTCCCGTTTTCAAACCTGTCCTCCCCTTTCTCCTCGTACCCGTTCCCCTCCCCAGCTACCAGCGCTCTTCTCCCCTGCATGGTCCCCACCCCCCTCACTCCCGCTTCCTGCCTCCACCTTCTCACACTCTCCCCGCGCTTCCCCCTCCTCCCCCTCATCCTCCTCCTCGCCTTCCTCTTCCCACGTCCAAATCACTGAAGGGGCAAGTGCTGCCATGTCTCTGACGTCCTGCCAGCCAGGCACGTCAGGCAGTCACACATGCAAGGCACAGGGAAGGGAAGTGAGTGGCGCATGCAAGGCACAGAGAATTTAAGAGAGTGGCAAAATGGCGCAATTATTCACGCACTCATTTACCCGGCACACAAACCCCCCATTCGGACCATGACGGATCTGCAACAACCACCCTTGGAGCAGTCGCACACCAACCACCCACTCACTCTTTCGCTCACTCACTCACTTGCAGAGTGACGTTTTCGCCCTCTGCTCCACTCCCGAGGTCCTTCAGTGCGCCCTTTAGCCGTTTCCACATGGCCTGGAGTTGAGACATCGACGCACGAATGAAAGGCGGGGCGGGAGTGATGTTGACAACAGTCAAACGATATCCTGAGTCAGGAAAAAGCACATGGCATAGGGGTCAGCGTGGCAGAACTCAATGCCATACATGGACATTTACAGCACAGACGAGGCGTCTGAGATCGTAAAACGAATGCAGAACAGTAACCAATTCAGAGAAGTAATAGTTTGTTGTTCCAAGAAGCACACACACACCTTGACTGTCCGCTGTTCCAAGAACCCATACACCGCAGCGAGCAGCCCAAACTTGCTGTCCAACATGGCAATGCTGCGAGGCAACCCCCTCCCGCCTGCTGCCTGCTGCTCGTCTCCCCTCTCTGCCTTTCTCTTCCGTCCCCCCGGCCTCAGGACCTTGCTTGCGACCCCGTCCTTTCCTAGGCCTGTGTCGCCCCCCATGCGTGACCTACGCCCTGTGTCAGTAGCACCATCCCTTGTGCCAGAAGCACCATCCCCCATGCATGAGGAGGTTGCCGTGATTTCCACAATGCCTTGTTGTCTCCTGCTGCTAGCGTGCTCTCCTTCATCCCTCGCCAACCTGCCCTTGGCCACGTCAGCGCCAGGTGAACCGAGCTGACGTGTGCGAGCAGCATGGAAGGGCAGGTAGCGAGGAGGGGAGGGTGGCGAGATTGGTGCTGCTGGGGTTGGTAGTGCTGCTGGCGACGGTGGCAGCCGTGGCGATTCTGGCAATGGTGGTGATGCTGGTGCTGCTGGTACTGCTGGCGATCCTGACGATCTTCCTGCTGCCTCTGGTGATCCTTGTGCTGGGAATGGGGCTGATGCCAAACGAGCTGATGGCAAGCCTTCTCTGCTGCTGCAGCCTGCACCAGAGGAGAGGGGAGCGAATCCCCTATCGCCTGAGCGCCATTAACAACCTCAGCAGATTCAACGCGCTGTGCCCCTCCGTCCTTCCTCAGTGCAGCCGGCTCAGGCGGGTCCCTACTGGCCCGCTGCTCCGCTTCACCTATTGGGCATGCCTTGCTTGCAGCGGCGCTGCTCTGAGCTCTTTCCTCTGGGGCGAAACGCTGACTAGTCTGTACAATGCTAGGAGGTGTGGAATGAGCAGAAGCAGAGCACATGGTCGAATTCGGACGGCGAGGAGAGCCAACGCCTGTGCCTGTGCCACGTGGACCAGTCAATGACGTGGCAGCAGCGGCACAGCGTGGCGTTCCCCCAGGCTGCGACGACAGCACTGGACCCATCTGTCGCTGCTCCTTGCGCTGGAAGCTCATCAGAACCAGGAAAGCGTCTGCGGGTGCAGACTCAGAGCCACAAACTTTGGGGTCAGCGCCAGAAGAAGCATGAGGCTCGCCATGGGAACTGCCATTCATGGGGATGGAGCTGCCAGCACGGATAGATGGGGTCTTTGGCGTAAAAGCGCTGGCAGATGCTGACGTGGCAGATCCAGGCTGGAGGAGGCCGGGAATGTTGACCAATCGGATGGAGTCCTTTAGGCGAGAGCCCTGCAAGAGGGGTGAATCGGGTTAAAGAAACCAGTAAAAACGGTGGAAAGGTGAGCAACGAAGGCAAGCCATGCAGCCAGGACAGCGTGTGACGCATCGAGATCAGCATCGTCGGTGAAGAATCCGTAAAGAGATTATGGTAAGAAAAAGGAAAAAAAGAAAACGTCGGTCTGGCTGTATTGAAGTATACTACACGGGAAATGGTGGAATCACTAAAGCAGCTGGGGAATAGAACGGCATCAATAGGACCTACTTTATGGAAAATGACGTGTTTCAGAGACTCGTCCTTGTTCATTGCTCCAGCAGCGACTTGCTTCACGTCGCCTACTCGCATGTCGCACGTCGCCTCCACTGTCACGTGCGATCCGGTCAGATCCCTCACTACCACGCACGGTAGCTCGGTTCGATCCATGAAGGCTGACGTGGCAGCACCAGACACATCGATCTGCTCCCGTCCTGCCATGTCAGCTTACTTGCAGAGTGGTTCCGGCGATTAGGCTATCTTATCGCTACTCTCTTACTCATTAGGACTGGTACGACGGCATTCAATCCGTTAAACTCGCGAGCAACCTGATTTAGAACATATAACAAACCAAGGATAGCTGATTAAGGTTCGTGATCCAGCAAGCGGGTTTCGCAAACAGGTAACGAATCCTCGGAATTCGAAATAAGCAACCTTGAAATCCGTAGAACACGAAATGCTCCGACGATGCCCTGGATGGGCCTGAGATTATGCTTCCTAGCAAGGCAATGGCTATAACTCCTCCAGGGAAACGCCGATTGATGGGATTCTTATGCTGACGCTGAAGCATGGAATTCTTATGCCAATGCTGAATCAAGGATTCTTATGCTAATGCAGAATCATGGGACTCTTATCATGCTAATGCTAAATCATGGGACTTTTATGCTAATGCGGAATCATGGGATTCTTATGCTAATGCTGAATCATGGGATTCTTTCGCTAATGCTGAATCGTGGGATTTTTATGCAAATGCTGCATCAAGGAATTCCTATGCTAAGGCCCTGTAAACCCTGCTCTCAGGCTTGATTTAGGACGATGAGACTGCTGGCGTAGGCTTCATGAACTAGAATCTAGGTTGACAGCAAGTGCAGTAGTTGAACAATGGGATGGGAGAGCTGAATTGGGCTTGGGTTTCAGGAGCACTGCGAAATCTGTCAGTCAAGGTAGGGAAGCTCCCAGCTGCGTCACGGTTACGCTGACAGTAAGCCTGCCTTCGGGAATATCGAGGATTCGTTCGCGCTAGAGTTCACTTCGATTGTATTAACATTTCATCGTGCAACAGCCCATACAGCTACACGTAGTCGTTTCCATGATTGAAAATGAGAATGAAGCATAGTGCCGATTTCAGATATGTTCCAGCAAAATAGAGCAATCCAAAATTACATGTGGCACATTTGACAATCATAATGATAAGTCCATCGTATCTACACTCCGCAACGAAGTGAAGTGATCCATCGACAGCCACACCTGTGTGATCAACCCTCGCCATGTTAGCTCACTGCATTCCAAAGCCATACCGTATGTGCCTTGAGATCGAACGCAGACCTATCGGCCAGTCCAACGCACTCCACCCATCCATAAGAGCACTCGATCTCGGCATCCCAGCAGTCAGTCGCATAGTGCGCCATCTCGTGCTGCAGGTGCTGCCAGTGCTGCTGCATTAGCCATATACATCAAGTTTGAACCCTCACCGTGTGCGCCTTAAGATCGAAGGCAGAGCGGTCTGCCAGCCCAACGCACTCCACCCATCCATAAGAGCACTCGATCTCAGCATCCCAGCAGTCGGACCCCTTCCCCCGCCTCACCGGCCGCGTGCTGCTCTGACCTGAGCTGGATGGGCCTCTGTGTGCCTTGGGGATGTGTCTTGTTGGCAGCGGTATAGGCACGCTTGTGTTCTGTGTAGCAATACGGTATGCCAAGGATTATCGAGCAGCTAATGGGAAGGTTTGTTTACAAAATTCAACACAGACAGAAACGCAATTGGGTGCACAACAAAAACAGCTGCCATCCCAGCAGCACTAGAACTTGGTCCATTTCCGCAGCACCTCCTTCTGGGCGGCACTGGAGTGCGCCGAGTCCCGCCCCCCCTGCACGCGCCTCAGCTCCTCCCGGGCGGCAGCCAGCTTGCGGTGCACGGCGGCCAGTGTCACCTTGTCATGCGCGTGGCGCCCTGCCATCTCCTCGTACCGCCCCACCCGCGCCCGCACCTCCCTCACCCGCTCCTCCTGCTGCATCAGCTCCCGCCGCTCCTCCTCCCGCCTCTTCTTCCCTGCCCCTGCAATACCACCCGCTGCTGCTGCTCCTCCTGCTGCCCCTGACACCGTGGCCCCTCGCACTCCAGCTCGTCCTGTGCCCCCGCCCCCAGCAGATTCACTCCCTGATTCCCTCCTCCCATTCACTCCTCTCTGCACTCTCCCTGCCGCATCCCCCTCTCCCCTCTCTCTGCCAACCAAGTGTACGTTGATGAAGTCAAACACATCACCCCTCCCGGCCCCTTCCTCCTCTGCTGCTGCCGCTGCTGCAGCCTCTCTCTCAGCCGCTATCTTCTTCCGGTTCCTCGCCCTCTCCCCTCCCCGACTCTTCTTCCTCTTCTTCCCCCCTTCCTCCCCACCACCCGCACTCCCATCCCTCGCCCCACCCTTACCATCCTCCCCCGCCCCTAGCCCAGCACCACCCACGCCACCACCCTTCGCCCCTCGCCTCTCCTTTCCCGGCCGCACCCCAACAGGGGAGGTGATGCCCCCACCGTCCCTGCCCAGCCCGGCACCGCGTTGGAAGCCCATGCGAGCCATGAGCCGCGAGGCCACACCACGTGTGTGCTGCTCCCACGCTGCAAACGCCACCGTCTCGCTCTGAGGGCCCGCTGCCGCTGCCGCGTGCGCGTGCTGCAGCGAGGCGGCTAGAGATGCGGCTGCTGCAAGGGAGGACATGGAGGGGGGAGGATCGCCACCACCAGCAGCAGCAGCGCCATCGTTTTCGCCATCGTTTTCGTCATCGGATTCATAGCCCGCTCCACTCTCCTCACTGCTGCTGCTGCTGCATTCACTTGCAGAGCCACAGAGCCCTATCGCCCGTTCTTCCACTGCACCCGGGAATAAGGGAGGGGCTGTCTCAGCGGCACGGGGGAGGGAGTGGAGGAAGGAGAGGGGGACGAGGCAGGAGAGGGGCAGCGAGGAGGAGGAGCCATCACGCACGAGAGTGACCGTGCACGTGCAGGTGCATGTGGGCAGGTGGACTGCTGCTGATGCTGATGCCCCTGGACACGTGGCGTGATGTGATTGGAGCTCTGCTTGCTCCCAGAGGCGGGTGAGGGCGTGGGAGAGCGGGGCGGGGGGGGACGAGGCGAGAAGGGAGGAGCCGGGGGGGAGGGAGAGTGGGCAAGAGGGAGGGGGGAGGGCACGCAGGGAGGCGAGGGGGAGGAGACGGCCGTGGGAGTTACGGCAGCGATGGTGGAAGTGACAGGTGCGCGACAGGAAGAAGCGGCAGAGCTGGCAGGACGGACGAGTACGGGGGGGGGGGGGGAGAGGCGGGGAGGAGAGTGGGTTGGGCAGAGGATGAGGTGGAGATTGAGGGAGCATGGTTCTTGAATGATCCATGATGCCTGCATGTGACAGCATGTGTGGCGGCACACATGGGAGCAGCCAGCCACAGGCATGTGAGTGCGCGCACGTACCTGGTGTGCACGGGTCGTGGGATACAGAAACCCCACCCGCGCCAGTCGCTGCCCTCCCCGCCTGCTCCTCCCCCTTTTCCTCCGCCCTTCCCGCTCTCTCCCTTCCTCCCCCCTCCCCTCCCACTCCGCCTGTTTCCCTTGACCCTCGTCACCTGCCCCTGAGACGTAACCCAACCCCACTCTATCCTCCCCTCCTTCCTCCCCATCCGCGCCTCCCTCGCCTGCTCCCGCGCCTCCCTCGCCTGCTCCCGCGCCCTCACTCCCCCTCTCTTCCTCTTTCGCACCCCCATTGTCTCCCCCACATTCCCCTCCTTGGTTGCCAACAACCTTCTCCACTCCGCTGTCCCCGTCCCCCCGATCGTCCCCCCCTCCCTCGAGCGCCAGCACCTCCCCCGCATACCACCTGCCGTCCACGTGGCGGAACAGGCACCGCTGCCCCACACTCACCCCCCACTCTCCCCCTTTCCCTCCTTTCCCCTCCTCCCCATCACCCTTCTTTGGCTCTTCCCCTCCTCCGTCTTCCGCGCGCCGTTCCACTCCGCTCGTTCCGCCTATATCGGTCTCCTCCGCGCTGGCCGTTTCTGCCCCTCGAGCCTCTCCAGTTCCGCCACGAGCGGCCGCTTCCGCTGAAAGCCCCTCTGCCAGTCTGTCCGCGTGGCGCAACAGCCGCTGCCGCTTCAGCTGCAGCAGACTCGCCTCGCTCGCTGCCACCGCCTCCGCGAGCTCTCCGCGCACCTCCGCGATCTCCGGGGAGGGTTCCGCCTGAAGCAGCGCGTCCACTTCCGCCAGCGTGGCGCGCTGCGCGGCCAACTGCGCCTCGAGCTCGTCCTCTAGCAGCCGCTCGTCGGCCTCTGTGGCGTCCATGGCGGCGAAACGCGCGCGGAAACAGAGCAGCAGGCGCGGAACCACCTTCGCGGAATCCCTTGAAGGGAGCAGGCGACAAATTGCGTGAGATTTCCTGGTGGCTGGACTGGGGTGGGGGGTCACACAAAATTGCGTTAGAATACTGATTTGCATCTCTTAGAAGATGGAGCTGAAAGTGGTTTCCTTTAAATTTCCAACATAGAACTCCAAATAAATATCAATCACTCAACGGTACTCCATGTGCTTTCTGCTACATTTCCGATATACTACTAGAAAGAATACAAATACCACTACATGACACATGCTTCTAATTCCTGTGTGGGCTGTTCTGCTTGGCATTTCATCTGCTTCCTGCCTGCCTCTATCTCCGCCTTTATCGCATCCCTCTCTCGCTCCAGCTTCTTCTGCTGGTCGTGCAGTTGTGTGAGTCTACTTGCAGCGTGTGCAAGCTTGGACCTCAATTGCTCCCGCTCCGCCTTGAGTTTGGAAGCCTGCGTGAGATAAAAGCAGTGGGAGATGGATAGTGAGTGAGTCATGCTCACAATAATGCCCCCACACAATCACTGTGGCATGAGCAAGCACAAGTGGCACCATGCCATGGCACAAGCCAGCGACATTCCTCTTACATCGGATTCAAGATGCGATAGCAGTTGCTGGCGGCGTTGCCGGCTTCGCTTGGCCGACAGGCGGTTAGAGACCATCCTGCACAGCAGCAAAGAGAATTATTCAGAGCCACATTCAAAATCTGCAAACAATGGCAGAGATACGATGCCAATGTGCGGACTACAGTAGGGGAGGGCCCAAAACTGCTGTATTTGACAGCATGCAGAATCTCACCTGCGCTTTCTCCTCTCCTGCAGAATCTGCTCCACTGTCATGCCCTCCATGCATGCCTCCTCCTCCACCCCCCCTTCCTCATCACTCTCCTCTCCTCCCACCCCCCCCCTCCCCCACTCCCCTCTCTGCTCCCCTCCTCCCCATTGCTCCATTCCACCCCCCCCTGCCACCATGCTGCCTGCAGTTCCCCCCATCCGACCTGCCTGCACCGCAAGCATGCCGGAAGGCGCGTGCGCGAGCGGAGGCGGAGGAGCAGGGGCGGGATGGCGGCGTGCAGCGGGGGGGACATGCGCTGATTTTGATGCAGGCGCAGGCGCAGGCACGGCATGCACGGGGTTGTTGAATGGCACGTTGTACGCGGTGCCGCGCCCCGCACTTGCTGCGGTGCCGCTGCTGCCGCATGACGCGACTCTACCTGACGTCAGCATCACGTGGCCCCGCGTCGCCTCATTTCCTTGAGATTGCGCCAGCTCCGCCGACGGCGCATCCGGCAGGCCAGGGCCAGCCGTGCCGCCCACCAGGCGGCTCAACCACGCGCTGATGTCGTCGCCTCCCCCCAGCAGGCCTCCCTCCGCCACCCCTTGCGTCATCCCTTGCGCCGGCGGCGCGCTCATCCTCTCCGCCACCGCTTCCCATGTCGGCGTGCAGCGCGTCGATAGGTCCGCGTCATTCGCGCCCTCCTGCGGGTTGCGAGGGCCTCCTTCATCCTCCGCGCGCGTCCCCATTCTGCGCCTCACCGCGCTAGAGGCGGAAGGAGCCAAGGTCGAATTCACCAGCTCCGCGTAACGAGCTGGAATCACCACGCTCGGTGCCACCGTGGCTCTCTCTCCGCAATTCACGCCGACATCCCAGTGGTCGATCGGGACGAGCCGCGTGTCCAGCCATGAGCCCGTGTGTTCCGCGGGGACCCTCGCGGACTTGGCGGAAATTGTAGAGGGGCCCGCGGACCACTGCGACAGCGGCGGGGATTGCTGCGGAACAGGCGGGGGACAGGGCCGAAGGGGGGGGGGGAGCGCAGGAGGAGCGGACATCCCGGGGAAGTTCGGCGCAAAAGCTGAAGGAGCGGGAGGGTGCATGTAAGGCTGCGCGTTGTAGGGAGACCAGACGACCATCGGTTCGCGGATGCCGAATTGCACGCCGTAATGTGCGGCGTCGCGTGGCATCCATGGGTGGAATAAGCGCGTCGCGCCTCCACCGTGACACGCGGCGACGACAGGCGCGCTTGACAGCTGCGCCGGCTGGGAGCCACGCGCCGAATGTGCGGGCGTTTGAGCAGCGGAGTCGGCATGGGCGGCGGGAAGCCAGCGCGGTGGGTCCACGGAACTGGAGTCTCCTGAGCCGGTCGTCGCCATAAGCATCCTGCGAGACATGGGCATGGACGAGAACGTAATTACTATTATGTTTCGAAGCGATGCTGGTCAAATTGCGTCCGACTGCTCGAAATTGTAAAATTGGCAAATTCTCGAGTGAATGTAGTACGAGCCGTTTGTGCGCTACGATGGCTTACTTATGCGCCATGATCTGTTGCACTTGCTGCTCTATCGACCGTTCGATCGCTGCAATCGACTCGTCACGATCGCCGCACCCCATCGCGTCCCTGTCCCGCGTGCCATGAGCCGCCATACCGCTACTAGCTATGGCGATAAACCGATCAACGAGTATCAACACGCTCGACGCGCTATTGGAAACTTTGTGAGCGCGAAACTCAAGAAAGAGAAAAGTAGAAAGACGCAGAGAGTGATCCTTGCTCTGGAGATATGGGAGGCTGAATGTAACTGGATGCGCTCGAGACAACGAGGATTCGTACTATCGGACTTGAGAAGCTAGAGCTCTGAAAAAATATCAGCAAGGCGAAGAAGGAAAATGTATCAGCCTAGATCTTTCCTTGCGTGCTTTATGCTTTGCGCTGGCTGTCTTTACAGAAAAGGCACGTGACGCAGACATTTGTTGAGCGTACTCAAGCTCAGGCCCTGAGGAAGTTGAACGAGATGCGAGAAAACGATTCCGTGAGTTGGCAAGTTGATCGAGCATGGGGTCGATTTCACGTGGAACATCGACATGGTGGTTGAGAGTGGCGGCGAAAAAAACATATGTTCGCGAGAGGCAGAACAGCAGCATTCAACGAGTGGCAGCAAAAGAACTTCATGCTGTGCCGATCGAGAGGGGAGGAAATCGCAGTCAGGAATTGGGAGGAGGTAGAGAACAGCTGTTGAGCGAGCAAGTCGCGCAATTTGGCGCAGGATTCGCGCGAAAACGGAGCATTTCGCAGGCAGCACAGGGAAAAGAGGAAGGAAGAGATGTGGGGTGGAGCGGACGTCAGCCTGATCTTGTCTCGTAGCGTTGCCCAAAATATGTATCTTGTTTTTCTGGTTTCGTGTTCCTCTGAATCGGTCATATTGCATCATGTATTTAACATCAAAATAGGTTGACATTCCATGTATTTGCATAATCTTCAAAACCAGAGCGAGCATTCCTTCCTTTGATGAGGAGACTGATGAAAGGTTCCAAAATTTATCAACACATCATCTAGAGGCAAACAAAGAACCCCTTCCGAGTGTGCTCGTAAGGTACAGCCAAAAGCTCGGCGCGTGGAGAAATATCTGATCAGATATTTCCGAGATGTCGTACAAGTTGCTTGACGTTTGCTGCACCACCCATCAAAGGAAACAACAATCTATGGCCTGCCACGTGCCTCGACGGCGACCATTCGTCACCATGCCAAGCGTGCCGTGTCGATGAATGATTCGAAGTTTCGCTAAACCACGATGCGTAATCTCGTTATAAAGTGATACGGTAGTTCTTATTGTTTGCTACATCTTGACAGCTGCTATTGTTAGTTTGCAACTTTGCAGCAGCTTAATGTACTACGGTACATATGCACAACAGGTAGTCCTCTCCCACCCCAAGCTGAAGTGTAGGTGGGCCCTATCTACATAAACATGCGACAAATCCAGTGGTTATGTTCTCTGTTCTCTCTATCCTTAGCAACTTTATTTAATCTACCTCATCAGCCTGCTGTGACATGGGTGGCAGCAAAATCCTTAGATAAGCTTGCTGTGACAGCCGTTTGCATGAATTGCAACTAAAACATCTTGAATTTGCTGACGCACCTTCGTACCCTGTTGCCCATTGGACCAAAACTGCAGAAACAACTGCAAGACAGATGAGGGATGAGTGAATAAGAGCATACGCTATGACCACGTTGCACAACGCTATGACCACGCTGCACTGAACAAGTGCAACTCACGCTCATGTGCTGAGAAACAGTGGTGTGATGAGCAGTAATTACAAGCACTGCACAGGCAGGATGAGCTGGTCTTCTGCCTAGCTCAAAGGTCCCTTTGGATTGAGTGATGGCGGAAACGTTGGTGGTAGGATGCACGTCTGGTTCACCAACTTAACTGCACCCGCTGCTTACAGGAAATTTGAAATATGCAGCATTTACCGTACCTCTAAGATCATACTACTTAGAACCAGATTGCTCGTCCGAAGGCCACAAGGACTGACTCCAGTGCTTAGGTTGATCCTGCATCGGCCCGAACATAATTCAGTAGCCTTCCACAGTGTATTAATCCAGCACGAAGGGAAAAATGCCAAGGCATTACCATGCTGCGCTCTCGCAATTCTATCCGCCGCTGCGCCTCTATCGCGGTCACCTTATCATCTGCAAAAACGAGAACGCAAAAAATAAGTATATCGTGGTTTTTAACTGGCCGAAATCTGCGGGGCGGAGATAAACGCACAAAAACCAGTCTTGATCATGAAAGCCTCCATGGCAGCGCCGGTCAAGAAGCAAACTGCAGATAATTTCGCATACCACTTCCATCCAAACAGATTCACTGGGCGCTTATGTCCTCCAGGCAGTGAGGGCCTAATGGCATGCATGCGGAGCCTAGTGTGGCGTGTTGAGGCCTGTTTGGTTCACTCAAAGCAAGCTAGTGCGACTTTGCGGAAGGAGCGGGACAGGAAACCCGAAAAAATAGTATGGACTGACGCGTTACAGGGTCTTTGTTCAACCCTGCACAAGATCGTAAGGGTACAACCATTTAGTACAAATGGATGTACCATGAATGTATATCCGCGCTACTGCATGGTCGCTACATATTTATATCACAGAGTGGGCTGAGAGTATCGTAAACTTCAGTTCGACTGTTGCCCAAAACCCGAATATTCATTTTTTTTTTCGCTCATGCATTCAATGTATCCCAGCTGACTCGCTTTGCATGAACAGCCTAATTGTCAGACTAAGTAGGTCTACCATAGTCAACTACATGTGCTTGTGCGATTCCAGGACCTGGAAGTTTGCGTTTAATGCCCGTTGCCTCGACTTCCTGCCGTTTTTTCTCAGTCCATCGCCTAGTTAGCTACGTCGATCTATTGGCGTTCTGTACTCCGAACCGCAGCGAACAGCTGTACTGAAGTGTCACGCACAGCGATTTAGACTGCGGTTCTTCAACAGAGTACTATAAATGGTTCGTGACGTTCGTCAAGTTCTTACGTGTTTGCGTCACTTCGACGTGCTGACTCAGTTCCTTGGTCGCGCAGAGCATACTACTGCAGTCTGGCCTCTTTGGCCTTGGTCCACCGTGCTCAATCGCTATAAATTTTGAAGACGCAGAGACGCGAAAACAAGTAGGTGGTTCCAGCCGATTAGTCTTGCCCTGATTTCTTTATTGGAGCTCAGATCCGACGTTTGAACGTTATTAATGTGTGGGTATCTGCAGGCATCCGTTAAGCGGGAGAGTGGCCAAACAGAGTTAGTGCCCTTGTTTCATGGCCAAGACACGGTCGCGGGAGAGGTAGAATCTTTACGTTTTTGGCTGGTAGGTGCTGATACTAGGCATACATGTCTAACTGATACTCGGGTAATGTGACAGGTGAGGATAGAGCCTTTGCCGGGGAAAAAAATCGAACACACCGGAGTCAAGATCGAGCTGATCGGCCAAATCGGTCAGTGCTGTGTCCGTTTAGCTTCGGTGGAAACTGTGGGTCCCCTTTTTGCTATTTTACAGAATGTTTTTTTGGTTCACTTGTACCTTCTCAGAGCTTTTCTTTGATCGCGGAAACTTCTACGATTTTACATCTCTCGGTGAGTACCATTTGGGGAAGTTAAGATACGGATATGGTCGTCTCCCATAGCACGCTGACACAATTTTGCTGGAGCGTGGTCGTTGCAGTGAGAGAGCTCGACATTCCTGGCGAGATATCCCAGAGGAAGATATACCCTTTTGAGTTTCAAAACGTGGAGATGCAGTATGAGTCGTACAACGGTGTCAACGTTAGACTGGGGTACGTACCCTGTAATGCTTGTGGTCACTTAGTGAATCTCCCCGTCACGTTTGATTTATGCCACTAAGTGTTCCATATTGCTCAGGTACATTTTGAGAGTGACTGTCAGTCGAAATTATTCGTCCAACATTGTCAAGGAGAAGGACTTTTGGGTATGTAATATACAGGCAGATTCGTCTTTCCTTCTCTGTCACACCTACAAAGGGCTTGGTGTGACTTCTTTCTGCTAATGGCAATCTCTGCAGGTACGAAATATCTTGAAAGAGCCGGAAATCAACAACACAATCAAGGTGGGTATGGGCTCCAGTGCTTAGGGTTGCAGCCCTCTCGACTCAGCCTGAGCTCTTAGAAGCCCCTGCTTCGTCTTGGTGGTGCAGATGGAGGTTGGCATTGAGGACTGTTTACACATCGAGTTCGAGTACAACAAATCGAAGTAAGCTGTTGCAATTGTTGTTTGGGGGTCTGTTGTTTCAGGTGTTACTGTCAGTTCATGCTGTCTGACTTGCGATTTCCGTGTGTGGTACTTGCCAGGTACCACCTGAAGGATGTAGTAATAGGGAAAATCTACTTCTTACTGGTTAGAATCAAGATAAAGCACATGGAGCTGGAGATAAGGCGACGTGAATCAACAGGTTCAGGGCCGAATACTTACAATGAGAGCGAGACGCTTGCCAAGTATGAAGTCATGGATGGAGCTCCAGTAAGAGGTGAGTCCGTCCTGATTGTTCTTGTATTTGCTTCTGAATTTTCTCAGTGCTTGTGACCGGACACCTCTTTTTGAGATTGTAATCTTCCCCAGCTTCTCTCAGACACCCATTTGCACTTCATTTCCTACTGGCCGATTTAACTTCACACCCCCCCCTTCTCCCTCCCTCTTCCCTTTTACCGTATGTTTTTTCTCTGTATACAGGCGAGTGTATACCCATCCGGCTCTTCCTCAGCCCATATGATCTAACACCCACCTACCGCAATATCAACAACAAATTTTCAGTCAAGTACTTTCTTAACTTGGTGCTTGTGGACGAGGAGGATCGTCGATACTTCAAGCAGCAGGAGATCACCTTATTCCGAGCTGAGTGAAGGCCAAGAGAGCTGTGGTTTATGTTTCCCACGCTTGCATATATTAGACCCAAGGTTTGCTATGTGCTAGCACATAGTCAAATAGCCATTGCTTGTAGGTCCTCCTAATCCATTTTGAAGTTCTATGATGAGGTGGCTTAATTTGCAACTCAACATTATACCAAGATTGTGTATGTATCGTAACTCACCAGGCACGATATGACTGAAACATTTATCGAGTGTCCTCATTGAACGACGGTTGTTCAGCAGCACACCGCATCACCTGTCTGTTCTGTGCATTCCTTGAGCAACATCACGGTTTATTTTCCAAGCCAGCGTAATAACGCTTCGTTTTTAGGTGCGTCGTCCTAGAGTCGTAGTTCGTAGTCACTTCACCGGAAACACCAACGCATCCTATCCTCGCGATAGCATCTAGTCACGAAGCGTCGTGACGGCGTTGACAGGCATGGCAATGTCAACGTGCTCAGCCGCCGTACGTTGCGGGTGCAGCCCAAACTCGCTGTTTCATTCGCCAAATGTCGCATGGCGGGACCTGCGGCGGCCTACACCAACCCTTCGTTCTTCGTCTATGCCTCTCAGCCTCGCCTCCTCTGCCCATTCACAACGGAGTCGCTCGCCCTCAAACCTTCCGTTGCACCCAGTCTGTGCGACCCGTAGACGACGGAGGCTAGTCGTCGTGCGAGCGGGCGACTTCGATGGCGACGACGACGACGAGGGGATGGAGTTCGACGCGGAGGATCTCGATCTCGACGCCGAACTAGAGGTCGAAATGGACGGCCGAGATGATCTCTTCATGCTAGACGACCCCTCTGCGTACGGTCTCGACACAGTGGCAATGGGTCTAGGGGGAGACGCGGCGCTTGCGCGCGCGGGCGGGGGGTTGGCGGTGGCGGAGCGGGAGGGGGCGGGCGCGGTGGTGCGCGTGGAGTACAAGATCGAGGAGGCGGCGTTCCACTGCATCGCCATGGCCGCCTGCGACCTCTTCGTGCGACGAGGGGGCGACGGCGGCGACACCGACGTGTTCGATTTCTCCGAGGTGCGGCGGATACAGGATTGAGGTGCACGGCTGGGGGGTACTGGTGCGGGGTCAGAGCTGGGGGACAGGGTTGGGGGGACAGGGTTTGACAGGCAGAGAGACGGTTGGCGCATGGTTGAAAAGCTGTGCTTCGAGTCTCCCATTCTGTTTCCATCCTTGTCTGTCCCTGCTCTTGCTCTCTTCTCACTTCCACCACCCTCATCGCAATCCGCATCCCTTGCATGCGACTTCTTTCCCATGGTACCTTCCCCTCCCCTTTTCCCACCACCCTCCCTCTCCCCTTCCCCTCCCTTTCCCCCACTCACTGTGCTCTGTACCGTGCCCGCCCAGGTGTATTTCGCTCCGCCCGGCAGTGACGTCTACTCCATTCCCAGCAAGCTCGCGCCACTGCCCTCACAGGTACGTGGGCACTGGCAGCGCCATGCAGCCACTAGCCTTGCATGGCGCTTCCTCACAGGAACATGCCCGCTGATTTGACATATGTGACTGCCTTGCATGCATCGCCAAACCGCAACTTAACTTCCTGCGCTGACTGCTACCACGACCCCCTTTTTCCCCTGGTCGCCGCCCCGTCGCCCTGTCTGTCCACGTCAGCCCGTGCGGTGCCAGGTGGGGCGGTGGACGTACTTAGCGGGGAAGATCCTGCCGCACTCCACCGACCCGTACAAGCCCAGCGCCAAGGAGATCGAGGAGGTCACCAAAGTGAGCGTGGGGGGCATGTGGCCATGCGGGCGCATAGTGCTCATTGGCTCTCTAACTTGTGGACTGGATTGCTGAGATCCTCTTTTGTGTTTGAAGTATCATATGCCCCATTGTGATGCTTATTCCCTCTCTCAGTTGCTGAACATGCTCCATCCATACACATCAAAACGTCTCGCACTCCTCAGAATGCATCTGCTTCCTGTCCCCTGCCCTGCCCCACCAGGTGTTTTTCATCCGGCACCTGAACGATGACCCCTACGGCACGCGGGAGTTCATGTTGGACTTTGAGGAGGTGTATGTCTTCGACGGCCACGACAAGACACTGCGCCGCGCCACTGTCATCGTACGGCCTCACCGCCTCCATTCCACCCATGTGCCCATGTGCTCGAACATCCCACTATTGACCGTTCATCACGGCTGCTCATCTGCTGCTTCTGCTGCTGATACTGATTATTGCCATCATTATTCTCGTTTTCACATGCACCGCCCATCCACTCCCCTGTGCCCCCTTGTGGCAGCTGGATGTGCCGGAGGACCAGCCGCGCGACCGCAGAAACGAGACTCTGATTGTCAGGGACGATGGCAACACCTTCACAATCATTCCCAAGGTGAGAGTGGGCCCATGTGAGTAAGCGGGAATTAGGAACCGTGAGTAAGGATGGGATGTGGAGGGGAGTTGAGCTGGCGGGTTTACACATTGGTGTGGCTCCTCAATGTGACAGTTCTGTAGCTCTTCTCTTCCCTTCCTCTCCCATCCGTCCCTCTCTGACTCACAGAGCTCAATCACCAAGTGTGCATTAGAATCCTAACTATCTGTCCATGTCCTATGATACCCACTCGGCTTGTGCCCCCCAGGAGAGGAAGCGCAGTGCAGACGATGTGATACAGGAGGTGCATTGGAAGAGGACAAGAGAGTCCATGGAAAACTACCTCCGGGGCTTCCGTGACTTCCAAAAATCCAACTGGTTCTAACATTGCAGCGCTCTAACTCGTTTGTGGAATATAAATGGAGAGATTGGCTTTGCGCTTTACAACTCATTACAAGCATCAACAATGTTTCACAACCTAACAGGCAGCAAGCCAAGCCAAGCGTCCAGGCTGCAGAAGTAGCAGCTGAGGTGCACTTGCGAGGCTCTAAGCTCTTCGTGTATGTAACCCTGTAACGTCAAAACGCTTGGGTTGGCATCTCCCTGTGCTCCAGTCGTGGTGACATTTCCCCCAACATGGCAATGGCGCATTAGCGAAAAAAAATCGCGAAGCCGTGTCGCTAGGCGGAGAGAGGAACAGCAGCAGCGCCTCCCGCCATGCGGATCTGCTGGAGCGCGGGCGCGGCGAGGACGCGGCGCACGACGCGGCCGCCGAAGGCATGGACGAGGATCCAGGGGTGGGAGAGCAGCTTTGCGGCGGAGGGGCGTCGGCGCGGGTCGCGGTGCAGCATGCAGCGGAGCAGCCCCTTAGCCTCCGCCGACACCCCCGCCCACGCGCCGCTCGTCAGGTCCAGCGGCGCCTCCAGCACGGCGCGGAACACGCCGTTGTCGTCCGCGCCCCAAAACGGCGGGCTGCCGCTCAGCAGCACGTACAGCACCACGCCCAGCGACCACACGTCCGCCTCCACCCCGTACTCCCCTGTCAGTACTTCCGGCGCCATGTAGAACGGCGACCCCGCGACGCCACACGCGCGATGCCCGGGGGGAATGGGGATTGCAAATCCGAAATCGGCGAGCTTGGCGGTGCATCGCGAAATTCTGAGTGTGCACGAAATGTACACGGTAGCTTTTCCTGCGGGAAAACTGTGGAAAAGCTTCCGAAAAGCTTCGGCGCTCACATTCACAGCTGGGTGGCCAAAGTGACTTCACTGTGACAAATGGCCATCACTATGACGCAATCACAAAGTGACGAAAAAGTGGCTTTCGCCACTCTACAACCAATCACACAATTACCCACGTGGAGTTCCGCGTGGTACAACGGGTTTCATTGTGGTTCTCCTTTCCAAGAAAGAGACGAAGTTCACGAAATGTTACACTGATCTGACCGAAAGTTTGAACATTCGAGAACCAAACCACCAATCAACAAGCAGCGCGACAATCTCAAGCCAAACGAAATTAGCGAAGAACCAAATTGTCGCCAGACACTAACACCCAACGTGTGTTGCGTGGTACCCAACCAGCTGACGTTTTTTAACCAATCAAGAGAGGAACCAAACACTTTCCCACCAATCATTGTGGTTCCTTATCTCCACGTCAACACTTCACCCACCACCTACAGAACCTTCTCGAACCATATTCTCGACCACTTCTCAACCATTTCTTCTCAACCTGTTTCTCGATCATTTTTCCTTCTTGTTCATTCTCATCCCTCGCCCACTTCTCCCTTTTCCAGATCTATCCGCCATTATTCGCTGACGGAATGACGCTCTAATGTGCCTCATGGTGCCATGCTGTGCTTTCGGTTGAGAACTCCTAAAGCTAATGTTGAATTATTCATTTCTTTTTGTGCCGTCTGACTGTTGGCTGCAGGTACGGTTCAACTATTAATGTCAACTGGGTTCGTCTTACCACCGCACAGCGGATGGCGCACATCGTGTTGCATGTTCCGGTACGTCGCAGCATGTCTCGCTTTTCCGTTTTATGCTCTTATCGAAGTAGACGCTCTTTTCCAACCAAGCACGTCTCGCGCGCTTACTAAGCGGTGCACAGAATGGATTTGTAAGGTGAGGATGGTCTTTCGTATTATATGTGCATTCTCTCTTATGTCCGGTGCGCAGATGTGTCTTCATTGCCGCCACCATGCCACGTTATTGTATGTCAGATGAAATCGCGTACAGGACAGGTAAATAGTCAGTGAGTACCCTCTCGTTTGAATCACTTGCAATGTTGACTCCCTGTTGTGCTGCGTACACTTGGACGTCTGTTAATCTAACATCAGATTTTGCGGGTATCCTGGCTAACATCAGTTTTTGCAGGTACCATGGCCAAGAGGGAAAAAACGACTTTGCGTTTGTTGAGATTTGATGTTTCTGTTTTTACGTGTGTTTCAGAACTCCAGGCTCAAGTGGTTGAAAGGGCAGCAAGTACATTCATGTAGATAATTTAGTTGTGCCAGATCATGTTGATTATGGTGTTAGTGCGAATTGTTAGCTCTGATGTACTAGGATTGTATTTATAAAAGACTAGTTTTCTCAATGTACATGTTTTTCACACATTTTATTGGCCAATAGGCGTCTCGAAATCTGATTGGTCCACGTGGCATTTTTCCGTCCACTATTCACCCTGACACCTGGCATAAAATATCTGAACACGTGGCGTTCATGCATCCACGTGGCAAAAATGGACTTAAAGCCCAATACCTTCGGACAAATGTCACTTCTGATGTCACCTTTTAGTTGGGTTGTGTTGTTGCGATATGGCCGTTCTTTTGCAGCTTTGTCGTCACTTTTCCGCAACTTCGAAAGTCACCCCGCCCCAGAAGCATTTGACCTAGACTTTTTTCTTGCGAAACCAAAGTTGCGGAAAAGCAACTTTGAAGCTGCTGGCCCGCAACTTTTCGGGCCTCACACTTTCGCGATGTGGGGAATTGTGCCGAGTGTTGGGATGCGAGGAGGATGTTTTCGGGCTTTAAATCGCGGTGCATTATGTTTTTAGAGTGACAGAACGCGACGGCGGAGGCTATTTGGCGAAAGATGAGCGCTGCATCTCTTTCGGGTAACCGCCCGCGTCGCACGACCTCGTCGAAGAGTTCGCCACCGTCGCACAGGTCCATGACGAGGTGAACCTGTCGCTCGTCTTCGAACACCGCGCGCAGCTGCACCACGCCCGCATGCCCCGCCACGCTCCGCATCGCCGCCACCTCGCGTCGCACTTCGTCCCTCGCCGCTGACGTCAACAAGCGGTCTTTATTGATCGTTTTGCACGCGAAGGCCTGATTTGTTGCATTCTCGACGCACCGCCTCACAACGCCGAACTGCCCCGCGCCAAGCGTCGCTGACTCCAACGTGAAAGATTTCTCGAGCTTGCCCGTGTGGAAGTCGAAGATTGGGCAGGAGGCGGATGGAGAAAAAGAGTCAACTTGGGCAAATCTCGTCTGCTTCAGGGAGCGCGATTCGGACTCAACGAGCGCGGACTCGATCTTGCGTTTCTTAGAGCCGTCGAGCGACTGATTCCTTCGAATCTCAGGCGCTGCTTCACGTGGAGAGTCGTCGGATCCTGACCGAGCCATGGGGGGATGAGATATCTTTCAGCAACCAGCAATGTCAACCTTTCAGAAATGGAAAATATATTTCGGCTGGATGGGGATAAAGGCTGGGTGGGAGGGGGAGAGTGAGGCAAACGAGCAGAAAAAACAAGCAGGAGACTTCGCTGCTCGCAGCGCAGGGAACATGAATCTTCGCGCAACGGGGTGAATCAGGGATTCGATGTCATACGAAACCCAAGGTTCAGGTGTTTTGGGCCCTAACACCGTTCTATCATCTACACTGCCGTAGGATTTACCGTATATATTTAGGAATTGGAATTGTTTTACTTTGCAAAAGATAGGTAGAGTGAGCATTATTGACGCAGCAAATATCTTGTTGCCAAGTTTGGCGCAGCAACCAGATTGACCAAACAGTAGCGTGTGTGGTTCGTCAATCCGGTCCAGAGCCAAGCAGATGGGTAGATATTTCTTACCTGTACTGTACCTCATCTGATCTGTAGCGGAAGCGAGGGTTTTCCGCCTTGAAGTACGACAACGCAATAATCTGACCGTCGAATATCGTTCTCCACTTTCATCGAACGGTTCATTTCCGCATTCCTAGATTCCCTAGTTCGATGGAAGAGGGTCCGAGTCAGCGGGAGTCGGTCAGTACGTTTCGTTTTGATGGACAGCCGGCCTCCGACGTTTCGACTTGGACGAATCCAACAGCCATGGGCAACCAAAATCCTGCCTCTTCAAGGGACTTCGGGATCGGAATCCGTCCAAATTGAAGCGTCGGAGTCGGGCTGTGGGCTGTGTCCTGGTTGGAGCAGTGTTTACCCTGCTCCTCAGAATATTGTACCGTATTCTCCTCTATTTGTTTTTTCAGACAGGACGTCAAAGTCACCCTATTGAGTTGAGTATGCCTAACTGCAGTAACAAGTCGCAATCAGCGAGGCTTCAAATCGGAACTTGCGTACAGAGAAATGAGGGTGGGAAGAATGTAGACTTCCAAGAGAAAGTCTCTAGAGATTTCAAGCAGCTGGGGCACACCTATTCACTAACTGACCCTGAACTCCGTAAGCGAACCTAAACATTAACCAGGATACTCGAGTTGTGAAAACACATTGGGCCTCAAAACGTATGCTGTGCTCATGACCTGATGCAGATGCAGAGAGGCCACAAATATCATCGTTGGTCCACTGTGGCTTCTGTCGCTGGCTGGCTAACTGCCATATTTTTCCCCTTATTGGCTGTCAGCCCACGACTCGTCATCTATCCGGCAAACCCGTTGTACCTTCTGTCCAACAGCCACTTGTTTGCAGAGAAAATCGACGGGCAGCATATGGATGGATTCGGTTGAAAACTCAAGACAGGACACCAGCAACACTTGGCTTGGACCTCCAACTTGTGCAGCTCAATTGTGACAAGTGACAATGGACACCTAGAAACACCAAAACAGTACACCTTGGCTGATGAGCTCCACCTTATCTTTCAGTTGTTTCCAGTTTTTGCCCTCAAACTGCTCCATTTGTCAGCCTTTTTCACAGCAATTACCGTGCATCTATGTGTATGAAAGCACACATCCGGTGCCATGTCTCCATCTTCCAAACTATCCAAACGCAAAAAGGTACACCCACACGCCGTCACACAAAATCAGTACATGCTACGAGGGTCCTCCGAAGGGTTGGTGTACCCTGGAGCCCTGTGTATGGTGCGGCCTGCATAGCTCACATACTCAGGACTCGGGGACCCCATCTGGCTGTAAGGCGACACTGGGGAGAAAGCACTGGACCCTGGCGTGTGGAACGCAGACCTGGGGCGCTGAGGGGACGGCGTGGGGAGAGGTGAGGGTGGGGGCTGTGGGTGGGGGATGTAGGGTTGGGCGGGGCTGACGAGGTGCAGGAGTAGGAGAATGGCGGAGGCGACGAGGGCGGTGAGTGCTGCGAGCCACAGCAGGTTGAGGGGAACGAGGGTGGAGGGTGTAGCAGCTGCATTGAAGGTCACGTGCACCGTCTCCCTTTGGCCTGCGGTGCATGTGGGGTGGTAGGAGTGATGGGGGAGATAGTTGGATGCAGCATGCAGTGGATGCAGCATGCAGTGGATGCAGCATGCAGTGGATGCAGCATGCAGTGGATGCAGCATGCAGTGGATGCAGCATGCAGTGGATGCAGCATGCAGTGGATGCAGCATGCAGTGGATGCAGCATGCAGTGGATGCAGCATGCAGTGGATGCAGCATGCAGTGGATGCAGCATGCATTGGTTAACATGCAGGTGCGGTAGCAGTGCGGGCGAAGTACCTGTGCCGAGGTGAGTGAACACGATGTCATCTTCGAAGGATGCCCGCGCGTGGTCAGCATGGTCCCCTAGCACAACCTGTGGCGAGAGCAGATAGGTGGGGACGAGGATGAGGGATCTAAGGCGACAGCAATAAGAATGGTGGAGAAATAGCAGGAAAGCAGCACGCAGCAAGGGCGCAGGGGGATGAGGCCTGACAGACTTTCCCAGAGGGATTGACTATCAGCCCACGTGTGACATACTCAATCCCTCACACCAAGCCCACCTGGACGGCAAAAACTGTCTCATCTGCCAAGGCTGCAAGCCCTTCTGGGGCAGGTGAGGTGATGCGAGCAGCACGGGTGCTCTGCCTGCCTCCCTTCACACCCTGCCCTGACGCCGAGCCTATCCTCCGAACCACCAGCGACGCTCTTTGCCTCCATGTCACTTGCACCGAGCCTGCAGTGAGGGAGAGGGTGCAGCGAGAGCGACAAAGTAGCAAGAAGAGGAGACTAGAGAGAAGCCTGTTCTGAGGGCAACAGTGTGAGTCTGCAGCTTGATCGATGTTCGTGCAACAGCTGCCGACTGTGCTCGACACTAGTGCTTTTGCAAAGTCGACTAGCTTGATTGCAAGGTAATTGCTTAAAGCAGTGCACTCACTTGTGTTTCCAACGACGCGAATGGTGGTGGCGTTGGCGGCGAGAGACAAAGAGATCTGCACGCACACACATCCAATGACCGTCCGTGAGGGACGAAGGGGGGCAGGAACACACGAAGGAAAGCCATTCAAGAGGAGAAGGAAAACCAAAAAAAAGAAGGCTCAGCGCGTTCGACAGCACTGCAACATGCACAAACTGTTGGGATTGAGGAGGGGTGTGGAGCATGGTGACGTCTCATGCATGCATGACTCCCTGCCATTGCCCTCACCTCGCCTGCGCCCAGCACATCAAAGCCCCCCACAAATGGCAGAGTAGCCTGGCCTCTCACAGCCGGGCGGGCACCCGGCGCTGCCCCTGCCTCCACCACTGCCGCCACCGCCACCACCACCCCCCCTCCCTCACTGCCCGCCCTGTCTCTGCTCACTCCTCCCAACTTCGCCCCCCCTGCTGATGCTGCTGGTGCTGACGATGACGAGGAGGAGGAGGATTGAGTGAGAGAGAAGATGCGGGCGGGAGAGGCGGGGGTGAAGGAGCAGATGTAGGAGTTTAAAGCGGTGTCAAAGCGAGGCACGGCCGTGCTGCAGGGCATGCGGGGGGGGGGGAGAAGTGGGAGATGTGGGAGGGAGGGAAGGGGAAGATGGGTAGGGAGGGAAACGTGAGGGCATGAGAGCACTGTGGGGCATAGTGGGAGAGGGCAGTGTGAATGAGGAGAACGGCAGATACGATGGCAGTGATTGTGGTGGAGTGGAGGTACCGTGAGCGGAAAGAGCAGTGCAGCGGGTGCAGGAAGCGTGGTTGACCACACCAGTGTTGTCACTCACCCGCGCAGGTCGAGCATAGTAGGCGCCACTCACCCGAGCATGCTGGGGGCCACATGGCATGAGAAGGGCACGTCTGGCGACTCCACGGGTCGTCCCATGGGCTGGCCTCGAGAGTCCCTGCGAGTGAGAGGCATGGGCGAGAGGCATGGGCGCGTGGGAGCATGAAGGGAGTGTGAACTGGGAAGGGGGAATTGACACGGAGTGGCAAGAACTGGCGGGCTCAGAAAGTGGAGTGAAAGGAGAACAATCATGAATGTAGGCACCCAGCACCGCCACACACCGCACCACAAAGCACTGCACAGCACCGCAGAGCACCTCACCTGAACTGGACTGGGAAGTGGAAGGGGCGGGCGGCCGCAGCGAGGGGAGGCGCGTTGGAGAGGAGAGGCGTGGAGGGCGGCGGGGAGACGAGCAGCGACGCCACTGGCAGCACTGTGACCCGCGTGTATGACGTCAGGCGCGACGCGTTGAAGCTCACTGGGAGAGCAGAGGAGGGTGGGGCGAGCGAGGGTATGGGGAACAGGGAGGAGGGGTGCTTGTCGGAAAGAGGAGGGCAAGAATGCAAAGAAACAAGGCTCGCAAAAAGGAAGGAGAATGTTGGAGAAACAGTAGAAAAACTTTCCAGATGTTTCAAAAGTCGCCTGCTGACATGGCTAGCGAGCAGGGAAGCAGCAGGCAGAAAGAAGAGGCGGCGGGCAAGGAGTAGCAGAGAGTTGGTGAGTGATGGGAACAGGGAGAGTGAGGGGGGTACAAGCGGTGGGTGTGAAGGGGCGACTGACCGACAGTGGAGCCCTCCCCCACGGCCCTTGCCTCCCCTGTGCTGCCATCCACTGCCACCACACTGCTGTTGCCACTCTCCCACCTGCCTCTCCTGCTGCCCCCCATGGCTGGGAAAGGGCGGGCCGAGAGGAACAGAGAAGGGGAGGAGAGGGGAAACCACACAACAGGTTGACTCTGCGTTCCTGCACATGGCATGGCATGGTATTGCACGGCATGGCATGGTATTGCACGGCATGGCATGGTATTGCATGGCATGGCATGGTATTGCATGGCATGGCATGGTATTGCATGGCATGCCATGGTATTGCATGGCATGGCATGGTATTGCATGGCATGGCATGGTATTGCATGGCATGCCATGGTATTGCATGGCATGGCATGGTATTGCATGGCATGGCATGGTATTGCATGGCAAATGAAAGGTGGCGGGCATGTACCTTGCTGGTGGTGGCGGTGTGAGAGGGAGAAGTTGAGCGAGGCACCCAGAGGGACAAGGGGATCCCGAGGGAACACGTATGCGCCCACTTGCACCTGGTGGGAAGGGATGGCAGGGAGAGTGCGGGAGTGAGTGAGGAAGTGAGTGGGTGAGCGAGTGAGCGGGGCACGAGCGAGTGAGTGAGTGAGTCAGTGAATGGCGAGTGAGTGAGTGAGCAAGTGAGTGGGGCACGAGACAGTGAGTGAGTCACAGAGTGTCCGAGTGGCTACACCAGCTTGCGTTTCCCATGCCCAAAGTTTAGCTCACAGTGATGAAGTCCACCAATGGCAGGTTGCCACGTGTCCCTCGCCCTGCCCCTGGCTGCACCCGCACGCGCACCACTGCTGTGCCCTGCTGCACCGCCTGGAGGGGGAGAGAGGGGCGGGGGGGGGGGATGGATATGGCAGTGAGCAGAGTGAGGAAGAGAGAGAAACGAGGGGCGCACAGCAAGCATGGGTGGTAAGTGAGTGGCAGCCGGGAAGGGAGATGCTGTGCACTGGGTGCATCCCTGTGCAAATCAGCGCCCCGATCCCCTCCACCACACACACACGCACGCACACGCACCTTCACCACCACTGTCATGTTGGCTGGCTGCCACGTGTCAGGCCCTGGTAGGCTGGGCACCACCGCCACTGACACCACGTCAGGCCTGTCCACATCCACCTCCACCCGCGCATCGGAAGCTTCCAGGAAGGGCACTCCTGCACACAGTGAAAACCGGGCGAGGGTAGCAGGCGCTACGAAATCAGGATAAAAGATCCTGATACCCTGATTTTCAGGGTGTTGCTACTAGGTACTGTGCCCTGAAATTTCAGGATTTGGTTAAATTTCACCCTGTAGATTCAGGATAGTGCATCGTGAGGGCCCTGAAATTTCGGAATGGAAATAAATTGTTGCCCTGAGGTGATATGATCTCTGTCGGGGGTGCCATGGCGAGGATACAGTAGTATGGGGTGTGGGGGTGGTGAAGTAACTTGTTTTCGGACTGGAATCGGCGCCGCGCGCGCCTCGGTCCGGGCGCGCGCCTCGGTCCGCGCGCGCGCCTCGGTCCGCGCGCGCGTTGGTCCAGGCGCGCGCGTTGGTCCTGGCGCGCGCCGCGCGCCTTGGTCCAGGCGCGCGCGTTGGTCCAGGCGCGCGCGTTGGTCCAGGCGCGCGCGTTGGTCCAGGCGCGCGCGTTGGTCCAGGGGCGCGACTTGGTCCAGGCGCGCGACTTGGTCCAGGCGCGCGCGTTGGTCCAGGCGCGCGCGTTGGTCCTGGCGCGCGCGTTGGTCCAGGCGCGCGCCTTGGTCCAGGCGCGCGCGTTGGTCCAGGCGCGCGCGTTGGTCCAGGCGCGCGCGTGGGTCCAGGCGCGCGCGTTGGTCCAGGCGCGCGCGTTGGTCCAGGCGCGCGCGTTGGTCCAGGCGCGCGCGTTGGTCCAGGCGCGCGCGTTGGTCCAGGCGCGCGCGTTGGTCCAGGCGCGCGCGTTGGTCCAGGCGCGCGCGTTGGTCCAGGCGCGAGCGTTGGTCCAGGCGCGCGACCTGGTCCAGGCGCGCGCGTTGGTCCAGGCGCGCGCGTTGGTCCAGGCGCGCGCGTTGGTCCAGGCGCGCGCGTTGGTCCAGGCGCGCGCGTTGGTCCAAGAACGCGCGTTGGTCCAGGCTCGCGCGTTGGTCCAGGCGCGCGCGTTGGTCCAGGCGCGCGCGTTGGTCCAGGCGCGCGGCCTGGTCCAGGCGCGCGCGTTGGTCCAGGCGCGCGCGTTGGTCCAGGCGCGCGCGTTGGTCCAGGCGCGCGCGTTGGTCCAGGCGCGCGCGTTGGTCCAGGCGCGAGCGTTGGTCCAGGCGCGCGACCTGGTCCTGGCGCGCGACCTGGTCCAGGCGCGCAACCTGGTCCAGGCGCGCGCGTTGGTCCAGGCGCGCGCGTTGGTCCAGGCGCGCGCGTTGGTCCAGGCGCGCGCGTTGGTCCAGGCGCGCGCGTTGGTCCAGGCGCGCGCGTTGGTCCAGGCGCGCGCGTTGGTCAAGGCGTGCGCGTTGGTCCAGGCGCGCGCGTTGGTCCTGGCGCGCGCCTTGGTCCAGGCGCGCGCCTTGGTCCAGGCGCGCGCGTTGGTCCATGCGCGCGCGTTGGTCCAGGCGCGCGCGTTGGTATTGGCGCGCGCGTTGGTCCAGGCGCGCGACCTGGTCCAGGCGCGCGCGTTGGTCCAGGCGCGCGCGTTGGTCCAGGCGCGCGCGTTGGTCCAGGCGCGCGCGTTGGTCCAGGCGCGCGCGTTGGTCCAGGCGCGCGCGTTGGTCCAGGCGCGCGCGTTGGTCCAGGCGCGCGCGTTGGTCCAGGCGCGCGCGTTGATCCAGGCGCGCGCGTTGGTCCAGGCGCGCGCGTTGGTCCAGGCGCGCGCGTTGGTCCAGGCGCGCGCGTTGGTCTAGGCGCGCGCGTTGGTCCAGGCGCGCGACTTGGTCCAGGCGCACGACTTGGTCCAGGCGCGCGCGTTGGTCCTGGCGCGCGCCGCGCGCCTTGGTCCTGGCGCGCGCCGCGCGCGTTGGTCCAGGCGCGCGCGTTGGTCCAGGCGCGCGCGTTGGTCCAGGCGCGCGCGTTGGTCCAGGCTCGCGCGTTGGTCCAGGCGCGCGACTTGGTCCAGGCGCGCGACTTGGTCCAGGCGCGCGCGTTGGTCCAGGCGCGCGCGTTGGTCCAGGCGCGCGCGTTGGTCCAGGCGCGCGCGTTGGTCCAGGCGCGCGCGTTGGTCCAGGCGCGCGCGTTGGTCCAGGCGCGCGCGTTGGTCCAGGCGCGCGCGTTGGTCCAGGCGCGCGCGTTGGTCCAGGCGCGAGCGTTGGTCCAGGCGCGCGACCTGGTCAAGGCGTGCGCGTTGGTCCAGGCGCGCGCGTTGGTCCAGGCGCGCGCGTTGGTCAAGGCGCGCGCGTTGGTCCCGGCGCGCGCGTTGGTCCTGGCGCGCGCCTTGGTCCAGGCGCGCTCGTTGGTCCAGGCGCGCGCGTTGGTCCAGGTGCGCGCGTTGGTCCAGGCGCGCGCGTTGGTCCAGGCGCGCGCGTTGGTCCAGGCGCGCGCGTTGGTCCAGGCGCTCGCGTCGGTCCAGGCGCGCGCGTTGGTCCAGGCGCGCGACCTGGTCCAGGCGCGCGCGTTGGTCCAGGCGCGCGCGTTGGTCCAGGCGCGCGCGTTGGTCCAGGCGCGCGCGTTGGTCCAGGCGCGCGACCTGGTCCAGGCGCGCGCGTTGATCCAGGCGCGCGCGCTGGTCCAGGCGCGCGCGCTGGTCCAGGCGCGCGCGCTGGTCCAGGCGCGCGACCTGGTCCAGGCGCGCGACCTGGTCCCGGCGCGTGCGTTGGTCCAGGCGCGCGCGTTGGTCCAGGCGCACGACCTGGTCCAGGCGCGCGACCTGGTCCAGGCGCGCGCCCTGGTCCAGGCGCGCGACCTGGTCAAGGCGCGCGCGTTGGTCCAGTCCCGCGCGTTGGTCCAGGCGCGCGCGTTGGTCCAGGCGCGCGCGTTGGTCCAGGCGCGAGCGTTGGTCCAGGCGCGCGACCTGGTCCAGGCGCGCGCGTTGGTCCAGGCGCGCGCATTGGTCCAGGCGCGCGCGTTGGTCCAGGCGCGCGCGTTGGTCCAGGCGCGCGCGTTGGTCCAGGCGCGCGCGTTGGTCAAGGCGCGCGCGTTGGTCCAGGCGCGCGCGTTGGTCCAGGCGCGCGCGTTGGTCCAGGCGCGCGCGTTGGTCCAGGCGCGCGGCCTGGTCCAGGCGCGCGCGTTGGTCCAGGCGCGCGCGTTGGTCCAGGCGCGCGCGTTGGTCCAGGCGCGCGACCTGGTCCAGGCGCGCGACCTGGTCCAGGCGCGCGCGTTGGTCCAGGCGCGCGACCTGGTCCAGGCGCGCGACCTGGTCCAGGCGCGCGCGTTGGTCCAGGCGCGCGCGTTGGTCCAGGCGCGCGCGTTGGTCCAGGCGCGCGCGTGGTCCAGGCGCGCGCGTTGGTCCAGGCGCGCGACCTGGTCCAGGCGCGCGCGTTGGTCCAGGCGCGCGCGTTGGTCCAGGCGCGCGCGTTGGTCCAAGCGCGCGGCCTGGTCCAGGCGCGCGCGTTGGTCCAGGCGCGCGCCCTGGTCCAGGCGCGCGCGTTGGTCCAGGCGCGCGCGTTGGTCCAGGCGCGCGCGTTGGTCCAGGCGCGCGCGTTGGTCCAGGCGCGCGTCCTGGTCCAGGCGCGCTACCTGGTCCAGGCGCGCGCGTTGGTCCAGGCGCGCGGCCTGGTCCAGGCGCGCGCGTTGGTCCAGGCGCGCGCGTTGGTCCAGGCGCACGCGTTGGTCCAGGCGCGCGACATGGTCCAGGCGCGCGACCTGGTCCAGGCGCGCGCGTTGGTCCAGGCGCGCGCGTTGGTCCTGGCGCGCGTGTTGGTCCAGGCGCGCGCGTTGGTCCAGGCGCGCGCGTTGGTCCAGGCGCGCGCGTTGGTTCAGGCGCGCGCGTTGGTCCAGGCGCGCGCGTTGGTCCAGGCGCGCGACCAGGTCCAGGCGCGCGCGTTGGTCCAGGCGCGCGCGTTGGTCCAGGCGCGCGCGTTGGTTCAGGCGCGCGATCTGGTCCAGGCGCGCGCGCTGGTCCAGGCGCGCGCGCTGGTCCAGGCGCGCGACCTGGTCCAGGCGCGCGACCTGGTCCAGGCGCGCGCGTTGGTCCAGGCGCGCGCGTTGGTCCAGGCGCGCGACCTGGTCCAGGCGCGCGACCTGGTCCAGGCGCGCGCGTTGGTCCAGGCGCGCGCGTTGGTCCAGGCGCGCGCGTGGTCTTAGCGCGCGCGTTGGTCCAGGCGCGCGACCTGGTCCAGGCGCGCGCGTTGGTCCAGGCGCGCGCGTTGGTCCAGGCGCGCGACCTGGTCCAGGCGCGCGCGTTGGTCCAGGCGCGCGCGTTGGTCCAGGCGCGCGCGTTGGTCCAGGCGCGCGCGTTGGTCCAGGCGCGCGCGTTGGTCCAGGCGCGCGGCCTGGTCCAGGCGCGCGCGTTGGTCCAGGCGCGCGCGCGTTGGTCCAGGCGCGCGCGTTGGTCCTGGCGCGCGCGTTGGTCCAGGCGCGCGCGTTGGTCCAGGCGCGCGGCCTGGTCCAGGCGCGCGCGTTGGTCCGCGCGCGCGCCTTGGTCCGCGCGCGCGCCTTGGTCCAGGGGCGCGCCTTGCTCCGGGCCCGCGCCTTGCTCCGGGGGCGCGCCTTGCTCCGCGCGCGCGCCTTGCTTCGTGCGCGCGCCTTGCTCCGCGCGCGCGCCTTGCTCGGGGCGCGCGCCTTGCTCCGGGCGCGCGCCTTGGTCCGGGCGCGCGCCTTGGTCCACGCGCGCGCCTTGGTCCACTCGCGTGCCGACTCGCAGCGCCGACTCGCAGCGCTGACTGGTTAACCCCCCAGGCCAGCCAACCTGTAACCTTCCCTATGATCAATCGGGCATTCACAGTGCTTGCATCTTACCTATCCTGTCTCTTACCGAGGCTGTCACGGAGGTGAACAGAAAAGAGCTGGTGGGCAGGCACAGAGAGCTCAGCCGCATGGAAGGGGAAGTCGTTGTCGCCCACCGTCAGCTGTGCTGCCTGCCATGGGGCACAGGGGTTGGAGGTGGCGCAGGGGGAGGTGAGGGAGGGAATGGGGTGAATGGTGCGGAGGGACGAAAAAGTGAGGGTGGAGAAACAGGAGATGGGAGTCGAAAATGTGAGTGGAAGGCGAGATAGAGCAGGGAGGCAGTAAAGGTGACTCACAACTGCTGTCACTTGTCCACAGCAAAGCGACACACACAGCTGCGAAGCGAACTTCATACAGTGATCACACGCTACAGGAGTGGCGACACCAATGCCAGGCCCCCATTCCACCTGAACGCAGCAGAAACCTCACCTGGGCGGTGCGCACGCAGGCAGCGATGTCGTGGCGGCCGCTGGCAGAGTCGGCCACGGCAATGCACCCCAGCGCTGCCCGCTCGCCCGTTGCGATGCGCCCCCCTGCTGCCAGCGACAGGTGCGCGCTGCCCAGGGGTGACTGGGGTGGTTGATGGGTGGGGTGTAAGGGAGTGCGGGAGAGGGTGTTGAGAACGGTGCAGTGTGGTGAAAGCGGAACGGGAGAGAGGAGAGGAAAGGGGAGAGCAGGAGGTGCGGGATTGTAGGCAGTTACCTGGTCGTGCAACAGGGAGTAGGAGTAGCGTGCAGCGGCAGCATTCGCCGCGCCTCCCGGGGTGGTGAAAGCGAGAGAGGGCGGGAGCAGAGGGGAGGAGGTGTAGCCAATGGGCAGCAGCCACGTGGCAGGGATGCCAAGCGCGAGAGGGGGCGTGGGGATGATGGAGATGGAGGCTGAAGCGGAGTAGGAGCGGCGGAGGGGGGCAGCTGAGGGCTTGGAGGAGGTGGGGAAGGAGCAGGTGAAGGTGAGAGAGATCGTGGCAGTGCCAGGCGCCCTGAGGGGTATGAGGTGGTTAGGACGATGGGAGAGAATTGGCAGGGAGGTGGGATTGGGAGAAAAAAAAAAAAAAAAAAAAAGAGCATGGCATGGAATGTAAAAAAGGCACAGAAAAACAACGGAGCAGCAGCAAACAGAGACGGTTTCCCCTCCCCTGCGTTGCAGCTGCGCTGACCTGGCAGTGATGCGCGCTGAGAAGCCGATGTCCACCATTGCACTGCCACTGTCGGCGGCACTGTCACTCCCGCGGTTGCTGCTGCTGCCCGCCCCCGTGGTGCTGCCAGGCACCTGTGTGCCGAGCGATGGCGCCGTTTGTAGGTGCAGCAGCTGTGAGGGGAAAGGGGTGTGGAGGGGGATGAGGAGTGGAGTGAGGGAGGGACAGAACAAACCGTGCCAGTTGAGGACATAGAAAGATGCTAAGGGATGACAGCCCACAGACGATCCGCGTGACATAAGCATGGTGGGCTCACCTGGTTGTGGCTGACGCTCCACTGGTAGCCGTGGCACACCCGTGCGAACGAGAGCAGATCCTCTCCCTGATGGTGGGGGAGAAAAGGCGGGAGCGAGGGGGGGAAAGAAGAGGAGAAAGATGTTGAGGAGGGATAGAAGAGGTGAAGAGGGAGACAAGGAAGAGGGTGAGAAAACAGCAATTCAGATGTTGATGTCTCACCTCATGCACCCCGGTGGGAAACACGGCCATGTCCTCCCCCACTGCCAGCTGCCCGTTGCCCACACTCAGACCCACCGCCTCCATCACCCGAACCTCCACCCGAGACTCGGCAACACTCAACACCTGCCCTGCCGAGCCTAGCGCCATGGCTCGGATGACAGTTGTGCCAGGCGCTCGAGACGTGACGAGGCCAGACGACGAATCAACGTGCGCCACGTCAGCATTGGAGGAGGCGAATGCGATGGTGGTGGTTGGGGAGGAGGGACCTCCTGTGGCTTGCAGCTGATGACGTGGCAGGGGGACAGGAGAGCAGGAGAGCAGGGGAGGATGGGAGGAGATGGGGTGTGAGCGGGAGGTGAAGTGGGAAATATACCAGACGATAAAAAGCAGACAATTAGTTACCATGCATGCATGACTATTTAAGGGAACAATGGAGGGCAAGCGGGGAAAGGAAGTTAAACAGATGGGGAGGGGAGGGAAAGGGGAGTGTGAGAGGGCAGGAGCGCGCACCATGTATGATGCTCCCGGGGCGAGGGTGAGCGAGGGCGGGTGCAGGGCGAGCGGCGCATACACGGTGATTCGCACGGCATCTGAAAACACCCTCCTTGTTGACAGGTGGATGCCCGCACTCACCTGCTCGCCCATCAGTGCATGGGGGGACAGGGTGAAGGGGGATGGGGCAGGGGAATAGGGGGGCGAGGGGAGAGTGGCACGGGTAGCGGGGATTGGGAGCCGATGGGGGAGATGGGAGAGTAGTTGTGGGTGTTACAATCAAGATAGGAGATGTACAGTGAACAGAGAAGTCCATGACAGCAGTTGCAGTGGATGCATGGGGAAGAAATGTGTGGATAGAGAAGAAACGCTGGGGTTGGGGGGCGAGGGGACACTGGAAACAGCAGAGTGGAAACAGGGGTTGAAGAAGGGGACAGGGGAAGCGAGGACCTGGAAGGCAGTGGTGACTCCCACAGCAGTCCCTGTGAGCTCCAGCGAATCAGAGCACGCCACGTCATCCCCAGCAGGGGGGGAGAGCGAGCAGGGCAGGTGTAGGGCGACCACGCCCGCCATGCCATGCGCCTCCAACCCCATCCACTCGAACTGCAGGAGGTGGACGAGGGGGGTTGGGGGAGAGAGAGCGGGGAGGGGAAAAAGGCGGAAGGGTAGGGGGAAAGGTGGGGGGGGGCGGGAAAGAGAGACGAGCGCACAGGTGAAGGACTGGGAAGCTCAGGGAAGACAGTTGAGCGTGCATAATGCAGGATGACGTGCGGTGAACGTTAAACAGCAAGGCAGCATTGTGAAGTGCGCAGGGAGGTGGGCGCACCTGTGAGGCGGGGAAGAGGCGGCCGCGGTCGTCCCCCACAGTCACTGTGATGCTCGCTGCTGCCCCCACCTGCACCCACCACTCGCCCGCCCCTGCTGACGTGGACGGCTGTGCGCCCTCGGGGTGCAGGCGCACCCATGCCACGTCAGCCACTGACACCTGATTGGCGGATGGGGGCATGCGGTGGTGATGTGGGAGCAGAGAGGAGGGGAAGGGAGAGTGAGACACGATGGTGTGGACAGGCAGGGAGAAGGTGTGCAAGGCAAGACAGGGCTGATCCTGCAGCCTGCCCACAGGAATGAAGGCACGGAGCTTGGAAGATACTAGAGCAGCAGGAAGTGGGCGTTGGAGAAAGGCGGGCAGAGCACGTATGGGCACATAAGGCGGGGGTGGGATGGGGGAGGTACCGAGGCGTTGGCAGAGAGCGGATGGGAGAGGCCAGCGTCCACTGCTGTCAACGTGGCATCGCCTCGCGCACGTGCTGCCAGCTGGACTGCTGCTGCAGTGCCACGTGGCAGAATGGCAGCCACTGATTGGTCGGAGATGGAAAACTGAAGCTCGGAGGTGCCCCCTGTTACTGTCACATCCGCCTGGGGGACGTGAGCGGAAGAAGCAATGGGATGCCATGAATGGGCGTTGGAATAGACGATGTTTTGGGAGGTGTGAGGGGGAATGCATGCACGAGCAAAACAGCACTGCTGTCTAAACATGCAGAGTGCATGCACAGAAGCAAGAGAAGGTCACGAACATGGGCGTGGGGGTGGTTGACCAGCAGCACCGCCTGTGGCTCCAACCTGAGCGCCTTCACCACCTGCATGCACGCACGGGCATTGCAGGGGAATGAGAGAGGGGTAGAGTCAGTGGTGCGCGCATTTGGAGACTACATGCATGAGCGACCGAGCCAACACCATGAGAGTTGGAGCAGCAGGCAGCGGTAGCAATTAGGCGAAAGCAAAAGCAAGGGCAGGCGAGCAGCAAGGCACAGGTGCGGCGAGAAGAGAGAAGATGTGACGCGAGCAGCAGAGAGGGGAGGGGAGGGTACCTGCAGGAGGGCGGAGGCGCGCAGATGGAAGGCGTCCGTGTGGGCGCCCTGCCCCTCTCGCTTCATGTGCAGCCAGCCCTCCAAGGCGTGTGGTGCTGTCACATCCACATGCACCCGACACTGCCAGGGGCAGGGCAGGGCAGGGCAGGGCATGGCATCAGAAAGTGGATGCGATGGGGTAAGAGGTCTGAAGGGGCAGATGCCAAGGCGAGTAACTCATCTGCCGCACTGACAGCCACCAGCAACCCAGCCCATACACCCTTGTCAAGCAGATTCACTGTTCACGGCACAGCCCCCTCCCACCCCCCACCCACGCCTCACCTCGCCTCCGTTGTCGCCTGTGTGCACCCATCTGCTCCACTCCTCCCCTGAACCACCCCCCCCACTGTCGGGCTCGTCCGCACCCCACCATGCCATGTCATCACACCACTCCAGCTGCCACGTGGCGTGTAGCCACTGGCTGGACGCGTTGGCATAGGGTGCAATGGAGGAGGAGAGTGCTGCGGCGACCAGCCGCACGTGCTGATGTGTCACAAGGGTGATTGGTGCCACGTGGCATTCTCCCGTTGGTGGATGGCATGAGGCTGCTGATGCTGCTATGGCTGCAGGGAGGCGGGCTGCAACGGAGAAAAGTGGGGAAAAAGGGAAAGGAGGGCGGAAGCACAGTACAGGGGGTGAGAGGAAGGGAGGTCAGAGAGAAACGAGTGTGTATGGAGAGAAAAGCACAGTCAGTGAGGGGATGCTGAGATGAGAATAGCAGAGAGGCAGGGCGCATGGGAGACTGAACAGGGGAGGGCAGGGCAGAGCAGCGCAGTGACGCACCGGAGTCATCGAGCAGGATGGCGGCAGCAGCAGGCAGCGCGCAGTGCAGCACGATGGACGTTGAGGGGAGCGTCGCCGGCGAGGCGTGGGAGGATGGCTGGTGGCCTCTTGTGAAGGTCACCACCTGGAGATGGTTGGGGGGGGAAGGGAGAGGGAGGAAGGGAAAAACAAGGAAGAGGATGGGTGGTTGAGGAAACTACAGGTGGGTGCAGGGGCAGGAGGCGATTGGTAGGAGTGTGGGAAAATGGGTGCATGGGGGAAGGCGGGCAGAGCAGAGAAAGCACGTGTGGGTGCCACGAGTTACTTGGTACTCACGTAGCTGTCGTTGGACGCCACGTCACCAGCACAGCGCACCACGTACCCCCTGCCACCCCGCCCCCCCACCTGCTCCACCTCCACCGCCCCTCCCTTCTCCCCCTCCCTCCGCCCCTCTCCTCCTTTCTCCTCCGCCTCTCCTCCCACCAGCAGTCCTTTCTCCCCCCCCAACACCGTCACATGCACCTGCTCCAGGAACTGCCTGCCTGGGATCCACCTGTCGGGCCCGCCTGAGAGGGCGAGGGTCATGGACGCCCCTGGCGCCAGCAGGAGAGCCGGCACTGACAGCCCTGCTCCAATGCCCACCGCTGCTGCTGCTGCTGGCGCTGATGCTGCTGATGGCAGGGCATCCGTGCCTGCTGCAGCAGGCACGTCTCCCTGCCGTCCAGACACAGCAGGTGCAGCACTGGCAGCAAGGGGGGAGGGCAGCCCATAGCCGCCCTGGCGCCACCCATCCCCCGCCTGCACCACTCGCATCGCCTCATACCCCGCCACTGCCCACTCTCCCTGCACGCCCTGCCCCCCGCCCTCTGCGCCCCCCACTGCGTTCTCTTCTGCACTGTCAGGGGCGTCAGCATCAGCAGGTTTTGTGTGTGGCGGCAGGGGCAGGAGGGCTGTTGCTTGTGTGCGACCGGGTGCGATGGCCGACAGGGAGGTCCACACGCAGATGGACGAGAGGGCGGATGGTGGTATCAAGGCGACGATGGGTGGTGAAGTGAGGGTGAAGGAAGGGGGGGTGGCAGGGAGTAGCGCTTGCAGATGCCACTGCACGAATGGGTTCACAGCGGTGCAGTTGGTGTACAGCTCTCCTGAGGGAGAAGGGTGGTGACACGAAAGAGAGAAGAAGGGAAGAGTGCAGAGTAAATGAGCGGGCTGAAGAGAGTGAAGAAGATCAACAAGGGCAGCCAGGCGGAAAGCACGGAATCACTCAGGGAGGGAGTAGGCACATGCGAGGAGGGCGTGAGAAAGCGGTGAGCACATGAGCGGACCTGAGGAGGAGAGGAGGCGGGTAGCGAGCAGCAGCGAGTCACCCACAAGCGCCTCAGCGCGCACATTCAGGTGCAGCGCGCTGCCCTCCTCCTCGCCCACTGCCTGCATGACACGTGGCTCACTCACCCGCACCTCCACCTGCTCCCATGCCCCCGTGGCAGACGCACATGGGTGGGGATGGGTGAGCGAGCATATGAGCATGTGGCATGGTGTGCATGGCGCATGTGCATTCTAGACGTCACATGAGGTGACTGCACGATGGGCTGAGCTCAGCACGAGCTAGAGAGAGAACAATGCAAACAGCAATACACATTTCTGAGTTCCCACCTCCCTCATCCATCCACTCCTCTTTCTCATCCCCCTTCCCCCTTCCCCTTTCCCCTTTCCCCCCCCTGAGCTCGGATAACACCACGCGCACCTGGTGGAAGTTGTTTCCGTCCATGGCTGCTGCCACTCGCACCACTGCAACTCCCGGCCCGGCCACCGTCAGCCAACCAGAGGGCGCCACGTGGACGACGGCGGAGTCAGAGCTGGTCCACACGTAGTCAGCAGCACGCTCGCCACAGCCTGGTGGTGCGGGGTACCGGGATTGAAAAGCAATGGGTTAGGATGGAATGTAAATCAGAAATGATGTCGTTTCAAAATACTTTCTGGAAAAGGTGGCTGTTGTGCTGACGGCACCGCCCCTCAATGCACTGCAACCTGCTCCACTGAATCAATCAACTCCTCTCTCATCCTCTCCTCCTCATCCTTCGCCTCACCAACACTCTCGCCGCCTTGCTGTGCCCTACCAGGCATTCTCACTCAGGGTGTCAGCACGCGGTCACTCACCTCCCCACGCCAGCAGCAGCAGGTGCTGCCGCTGGGGTGGCGGTGCCGAGTCAAGCTGCGGCACCCACGGCAGGTGCACCACGTGCACTGGGTGCACAGGGGGAGGAGACGAGGAAGAAGATGAAGAGGCAGAGGCAGTGGGCGTGGGAGAGGGCAGGTGCACGAGCACGGGGTCGCACACACGAATCGCCTGCGCCGCCACCACCTTCTCCTCCCGCCCCTTCCCACCGCTCTGCACCACTCGGTACCGCAGCTCAGCCTGCACCTCGCCCTGCCCCTGCTGCCCTCCTTGCACCACAACCACGCGACTCCTCTCCTCTCCACCACCCCCTCCCCCCTCCACAGCAGCAGGCGCCTGTGCAGGTAGAGAGGCAGGCACAGCATCGTTCACAACGGTCCAGAGTGGTGGGTGGTCAAAGCGCAGTAGCAGCGTGTCCGCCTCTGTGAGCAGCACGGGCCGGCTGGGCAAGCCATGGGCAAACACCTGCACCCACAGGGCATATTCCCGCCCAACCACAAGGTGCCACGTGTCTCCCCCACTGGCCACAGGGTCCGCCACAGCCCTGCACGCTACAGCCCCCGGCAGACCCCCTCCCCCAGCTGCACCTGCTCCAGAACACACCTCCCCCTCGCCGTCCCCACCGGTGCCCCCGTTCCCCGCTGGGAGAGGCGCCAGGGGTGCGAGGAAGATCTTGACATCGCCAGGTGGCACGACGTGGATGGACGCGGCCTGGTGGTGGTCCACCAAGCGCACGTCGGTGGCGGTGAGAGTGGTGGCGCCCTGGGCGAGCGCGGTCAGCACCCCCTGGGCTGGGTGCACTGACGCCACTGACGTGTTGCCTGTCGCCCACGCGTAGCTGGGGGAGGGCAGTTGCACCGCTGGTAGGGAGGAAAGGGGAAATTGAAACATGAGAGGCAGGAAAATTGGGTGATTGAAAGTAAGGAGAGGAGCAGCAGAAGGAAACAGGCCGTGGGCAAGAGGGAGAGAGGAGGGTGGGCGGGAGAGGGAGAGGAAGGTGAGCAAGGGATGGGGGGAAGGGTGGGAAGGGGGAGGGCACGTACGGTGGAGAGCATTGTGGGTGAAGGTGAGGAGACGGAAGGGCAGGCGGGCGCCGGGCAGCAGCAGCACGGGGGAGGGCGGCTGCAGGGAAAAGGCCTGCGCCACCGTCAGCGTTATGGCGTCCGATGGCAGCGCTGCCGCTCCCCCTGCTGCTGCTGCTTCTGCTGCGGCGGCGGCGGTGACGTCAGCATCCATGAGCTGCACGGCGACCCTCTCCTGCCCCGGTGCCACGCCCCTCACCACGTACACGTCTGATCGCTCCACCTGCTTGGGTGCTCGATAGAAAGGGACATGGGCACAGGATGGGAGGTGAGTGATATGACGATGAGAGGCACACGATAAACCACTGCACTGCTGACGCTCTCCTCCTCATGCTACCTCCCTGCTGTATCCGACCCTCGTTGACAGCCCTCCCTCTCCATACTCTCCTGCCTTCGCTCCTCACACCGGCCCCACAGCACCCACCCTGACAAAGCCCGTTCTTCCCACTCCTCGTCCCCCCAGCCCAGCCCAGCACCCATCCACCCACCCCCAGGTCGTCCCGGGCAGCATCGCGACCCTCCTCGCCGCCCGCCAGAAGCAGCGCCGCCTCCTCCAGGGGCACGTGCTGCAGGCGGTGCTCCAATGCCTGCTTGCCAAGTGGCGCCGTGGTGGCCGCAGGTTGGCGGTGGGCGGGGAGGGGAGAGCCGAGGGGCGTGAGGGTCCAGCGGAAGGCGAGCCCAGCCACTGACGAGAACACGTCGCCTGGTGGGGGTTGGGAGGGGGAACGCAGGGTGGGGACAAAACGGGGGTTGGTTGGGACACGATGCACGAGGTAAGGAGGGGGGATGGAGGCAGAGCGGAGGTAGAGCGACAGGTTACGAGGGACGGCGCAAGCTCTTGCTGTGACACCAACGCAGCATACACCCCACATCCCACACTCTGCAGAGCCCGCACCGTGGTCATTGAAGGCGAGCACCTCGAGGTCCGCGAGTGAGGAGAGGCCCATCTTGAGACTGCGGTGGAATATGGCCACCCTCTGCACCACGTCCACCCGCACCTGTGTGGCACCGATACGGGGGGGGGTTGTTGGGCACACGCCCGGGGAGAGGGCGCCGAGCGCAATGGGCGACAGGTCAGAGGTGAGGGCGCGATAGATGAAGGGCAAAGGGTGAAGGGCGAGGGTGAGGGCGAGGGCGACGGGAAGAGGGGAAGAGCACAGGGCAGGGAAGAGGGGAGAGCGGGTGAGTGCGAGATGAACGGGGGGGAGAGACAGCAAACGGGTGAGACGAGGCAAGGTGTCTCCTTTGTGGCTCCGCTGTGGCACGCGCAGCACTCTGTGAAAGCTCCAGCTTTTCATGATCCAAGTGCACCACTACCACTACCACACCACGCATGGTATCTTCGCACTCCTTCATGTCTCCAATACTGCAGCATGCGCAGACTGCGGTGCAGTCACTGCTCGTGAGCGTCAGCTGCATTCACACACGCACCCACCATCACCCGCACACTGCCTCAGATATCACCCACCCAACCGCCCACCCAACCACCCATCCACCCATCCGCCCAACGGGCCCCACCCCCACCCGCCCACACGTGCAGAGCGCACCTCGCAGCGCAGCACGGCCCCAGAGAGCAGGTCCGTGGCGATGACGGCCGTGGTGCGCGGCGCGCCCGAGTACGGCGCGATGGACGAGATCAGCGCGCTCGTGGAGCACCCCCCGCGCGCCCCACTGCCGCTGCCGCTGCTGCCATGGGACCCCCACGCTTGCCCTCCTGCCGCTCCTGCTGCTGCTGCTGCGGGCGAATCAGCGTCATCATCGGTTGTGTTGAAGAGAGGCTGCACGTGCAGCAGGTCGTGGTGGTCCCATGCCCTGCACGTCACCCACGCACATGGTACCAGGGGGGAAGAGAAGATTAGGAGAGGGGACCAGCACCAGCGGGGTTGATGGCGAAGTACGCTCGTCTACAGATGCTGACGATCGCCATGGATTAACGGGATCATGGATCATCAGCCCGGACGGACCAGATTAGGCGATTAAATTGCGCGTTTCCTACCAAGAGAAGCAGCCGTTGGATCCGAGGAGATGGAATCTGACGGGATTGCGCGCGCGGGGCGGCAGGAGCAGCAGCAGGCTGCTGATTTGCGGACCCGCCTTGGGCGCCGCATGCGACGGCGAGGCGATGCCGCGAGACGCGGAAAGAGACGAGATGCTAGGGTTCGGTCCGATCGACGAACATGCCGGCACGAGCGCTGCTACAAGGCATGCAAAAACGAAAACCGAGCTCGTTCTTAAGCCTGCGAAACCACCCTTCATGAGATTCGTCGCCATGGGAGCCAATGCATGCACCTTCAGGGGGTTACGATCCACTGCAGCCAAGAACTAGGTTCAGTAAATCACCGAATTCAGTGCTGACGGTTGCGACCGAGTCGCAAAAAATAGGCGGACTTTCCTTGAGCCCTAGACGCGGGGTGAGCCTGACTTTCCTTCACTAAATTTGGTGACGGTTCTAGAGTCCCCCGGGCTAAGAAAAAGCACTTCCATCATTAAAATGCTTCTAATGGCATTGTTGACCACCAGCCGTCTCCGATCTCATACGAAACATGAATACAACGGCGGCAGTTAGGACGACGTTGGAAGGGGAAAATCAACACCTTCACAGGAGAGTGAAGGAGACAAGAGGATGCAACGCAAGCACAGGCACCGCAATGGATTGTAACCCCCTGAAGGACTGACTGATCAGGCTGGGCTTGACCATCCGCCGTCATTGGGGGATTCGAATTCCCTGCTTCGCTGAAAGGGCTTGCCGCCAGAAGCTCTGCTCATTGGCAGTGGTCTTCCCCTATTGTACACTAAGTTACCCTAGAGGCTATATGTTCAAATTGTAAGCTAGAGAGATTAGATTTTGTTGGGATCAGAAGTTGATCGCCCTCAGGATCACCTCAGGAAGGTTCGCACAATTCTAGTCTAGTGGTGGTGGGCCCTTTGACCTCAATAGCAGAGTGAATGTAAATGCTTGAGATGATAAAAACATGCAATACAAAGGATATAAATAAGATTACAGGGAAATGCCAATCGACCTAGCTAGCCATGTACTCTAAGGGGTACATTCCCTTATTGCAGCGAAATCCAACCGTGCGACTCCGGACAGTTACGAAACTGTTCGGGCAGAATCCTCGCCACTGCTGCTGCATGATGCTGTCTGCCCGACGGTCCAGATCCTTTCGTAACCGTGTGACTCTTCGTGTCACCTCCGCCTGTCCGTCTTCATTCTCGGTAGTACGTGCTCTGATTGCTGCGGTGAGGAGTGTGTAATAGTGTTTCAACAATCACTATTCGTAACACCCCCCTTCACTCCTGGCCGTAGCGAGTCTTGACCCTCTTGACTACCCCGCTGAGTTCGGAGCAGTGCTGGTACTGCTGACGTGACAGCTTCTTCGTGAGGAAGTCAGCTGCCATGTCACCCGTCGGGCAGTAGGTTAGGTCAACCTTGCCCTTGTCAACTTCGTCCTTGACGAAGAAGTACCGCAGCGCGATGTGTTTGGTGCGATTGACGAATCCCGGCTTGTTCGCGATCCTGATCGCGCTCTGGTTGTCGCAGTGCAGGCGGAAGTTCGTCGAGGCTGGAATTTTCGCCTCCTGCAGCAGCTCCTGAAGGTAGAGGCCTTCGCGAACGGCTGCTGTGGCTGCGATGTATTCCGCCTCTGCTCATGATAGGGCAACCAGCTCCTGTTTCTGTGAATTCCAGGAGATGGGGCCGCTGGGCTCGAGGCGGAAAAGAAAGCCCGTTCTGGACTGTCGATTGTCAGGGTCAGCGGCGTGATCGGCGTCCACGTAGCCGATGAGGTTGAAGGACGAAGTTGGGATGGTGGAGTAGCAGAGCCCGATGCTGGGCGTGGAGATGAAGAACTGGAGCGCCCGCTGGAGATCTAGCAGATTCTCAGCCGTTGGTTTGCGAGAGTACTGAGTGTTAGAATCCAGAATAGAACGAGAATGAATGAAACTAGGTAGGAGGGGGATACAAGTAGGAAACCCTAACAAAGCTGTACCCCCTAAGGCTAAACCCACTATAGCCTACACAATATGAACATATAATGTTTGACACACCCCCATAGGCTAAGTGGGAGACAACCAGATGGTCACAAGACCAGTCAAAGCAAAGCAAAGCAAGCTCAGGGTGGATCTCAAGGAAACCACACAAATTCTAAGCACAAGCAAGTGGTCACAAGACCAGTTCACATGCAGGTTGATAGTATAACAAGAGATACAGTGATCACAACCTAGCAAGAGTAAACAAGCAGGTATATATATAGAGATCACAGTACAAGCAGAGTCAAGAAGTAAGCAAGTGAGGCCCAGTAGGCACGAGGCCTAGAACAGTACAGAAGCGCTGATGGTCACAAGGCTGAAGCGCCTTGGTGAACACATCAGCAGTGTTGGCCCGAGTGGCCACGTAACGCAGACGAAGCTGACCGCGCTGCTGCAGCTCTCGAGCAAGGAAGTAGCGCAGAGCGATATGCTTCGTTCTGTGCTCCAGTCTGTGCTCCTCACACAAGGCAATGGCAGCCTTGTTGTCGGTGTACAGCACTGGAGGAGAACGAGGCCGCTCTCCCAAGTCGGTCAGCAGGTAGGTGAGCCAGCGTAACTCCTGTGCAGCCATGGCTGTGGCGTAGATCTCAGCCTCACAACTGGAGCTGAGAACAGAAGACGAGCGTGTAGAACGCCAAGAAACTGAACCAGAGCCAAGGCTGAAGGTGTAACCCTGAGACGACCGCTGAGTAGCCTGGTCGTCAACCCAAGACGCGTCTGAGTGCCCAGTGAGTACAACTCGGTCTCCTCCTCCAAGCACTAGCCCCATGCCCGACGTACTGCACAAGTAGCGCAACACCCTCTTAGCGGCATCCATGTGCTCCTTCCGGTGACGGCCAGGAGCGACATAGCGTGCAAGGATGCTAAGAGGGTATGCAAGGTCAGGTCGAGTGCAGGTCATCAGGTACATGAGGCAGCCCACAAGCTCTGGATACGGGCCACTCGGCTCTACGTGTCAGAATGTTATAATTGTCTAGCCTGCAGTGGGGTACTCCATAGTGAGTACAGCCCAATTAGGGTTTGCTATATGTATCCAACTGCTTGCTAGTGAACCTCCTCCTTTCTTCATTCTTACTAGTGACTCATCCGAAGGCAGAGCTGAGAGCGAGTGACCGGTAGGCAGAGGAGTGGGCTGAGGCGAGGAGTACGTGAAGCGGAAGCGCTGAAGGACCTGCTGCACCATGTGTGACTGAGTCAAGGTGATGGTGCGCCGTGCTCTGTCCCGGGTGATCCGCAAGCCAAGATAGCTTGTCAGTTCACCCAGGTCTGTGCACGTGTGTCTCTTCTGCAGCTCCGACTTCACGTGGGCGAGTGCCGCAGTGTCTGCAGTGGCAAAGACCAAGTCGTCGACGTACACGAGGATGTAGAACGGCGGCAGCGAGGTGTCGGTACGTAGAAACAGCGACGGGTCAGCAGTAGAAGGAGCGAACCCAAGAGCCGCAAGTGTAGTCCTCAGTGTGTCGTGCCACTCACGTGGCGCCTGTCGGAGACCGTAGACAGGCCGCCGGAGGCTCCACTGGGTACCAGGAGGGAACGACCCAGTGAAGCCAGGTGGGCGGCGCAGCCAGATCTCCTCGTGCAGGCTGCCCTGTAGGAAAGCAGTGCTGAAGTCAAGAGAGTGGAGCTCGTAGTCACGCTGAGCGGCGACGTGCAGCAGAACCCGAAGAGTGGTCATCTTCGGGGTCGGGGAGAAGGTCTGGAAGAAGTCAACTCCCTCTCGCTGACTGAAGCCTCGTGCAACGTAACGCGCCTTGAAGACAGGCGGAGAACCCGGCGGCCGCTTCACCCTGAAAATCCACATGCCACTGACGATGTTCGCCCCAGGTGGGGGAACCTCGTCGACGTAGGTGCCTGTGGACTTCCAGGAAGCCATCTCTGCGTCCATGGCTGTCTGCCACTGAGAGGAGTGGGGACCCTCTATCGCCTCTGCGTAAGAGCGCGGAGTCGGGATGTCTGGTGCATCCGGGTCTCCCTCAGGGGCAACTAGCATGGACACGAGATGAGGTAAAGCAGCGGCAAAGCACTCAAACTCCTCCTGCCTGTCCTCAAGGACGTCCGTGCCAAGAGCACACTCACCCCCGACGGACGGAGGACAGACAGACTCAGACTCAGCAACTAGGCTAGCGGCGTAGTCTAGACGACAAGTGGCAGCAAAGTCGACAAGCTCGGCAACTAAGGCAGACGCAGCAGTGGACTCAAAGGAAGGGTCAGTGACAACAGTAGCCAGGAGACGCGTGACAGTAGGACTGGCAGCACGAAGAGAGTCAGACTCAGGGTCAGCAAGAGCAGGAAGAGAGGACGCAGGAGGAGCCGGGAGAGGGACACGCTGGGGAGCAGTGGAAGGACGAAGCGCCATCTGGTGAGTGCCTGGGACAGCAGGAGGACGCTGACGCGGGACGCGACGACCAGTGTGAGCAGCACGAACAGGCGACGCTCGACGAGACTCAGGTGACGCAGGACAAGACTCAGGCTCACGACGCTCCGTAAGACCTCCAGTCGGACCAGTGTAAGGAGAAGGACCAGGGAGAGGGGAGGCAGACGGTAACTGTGACTGCGACTGGACAGACGGAGGACACTCTAAGGAGGGAGGAGGACAAGGAGGAGGAGGCTGACCAAGAACCTGCTGAAGGAGCGGAACGAAGTACGGCCGCGGCCGCGCAGCGTCTCCAGAACCAGCAGAGACACCAGCGCCAGGGTCCTCAGCACCAGCAGCTGCTCCACCTCCAGGGTCCTCAGCACCAGCAGCAGCTCCGACTCCAGGGTCCGCAGCACCAGCAGCAACTCCAACGCCCGGGTCCGCAGCACCAGCAGCAGCTCCAACGCCCGGGTCCTCAGCACCAGCAGCTCCAACTCCAGAGTCCGCAGCACCAGCAGCACCTCCAGAAGAAGCAGCACCTCCAGCAGCTCCAGCAGCCCCAGCACCAGCAGCACCTCCAGCAGCTCCAGCAGCACCAGCAGTACCACCAGCACCAGCAGCACCTCCAGCAGCGTCAGCAGCACCAGCAGCTCCAGCACCAGCAGCACCTCCAGTAGCGCCAGAAGCACCGCCAGCAGCAGAACCTCCAGCAGCTGGGTCCGCGACACTAGGAGCGCCACTACGAAGACTGCAGCGCCGTGCGTACCACTCTCGGAGTCGCTGGGGAGAGGGCAGCTCCCGCCTAGGAGGGGAAGCACTAGCACCAGCTCCAGTAGTACTCCTGGCTCCAGAAGCACCTCTCCTGAGGCTG